ACCTTTCCCCTAGGGGATAGGGTGATAGGGAACTAATTAGAATATCAGTCTTTAGGATGTAGATGCATTTGTTTGATTCTTTGTCTTAAGGCCTGGCCCACAGCTGGAGGAGTCTGTTGCCCCCACAGTTGCAAACCATCCAAGTTTCTGCTCTGGCTCCTTGGAAGACCTAGCCCTGTCTCACTGCCTATAATATTTCTAACTAGCTCAGCTGCTTGCAACAATCCCCCCTCTGAAGAAGTAACCCAAACTGCCGTGAGGGGTAGGGGACAATGACCGATTGGATTTCAAGCTGAACAGGGTTGCAGTTACTGAACGTCAGTCAGAGGTACTTCTGCAGAAGTACCTTCTGCAGAGGTACTTCCTGTCTAGAGGCCCTCGATAGAAACCAGGCATTTTCATCTTGAGTGTGCTCACAGCTTTAAGTCTGAAGGAGACTGATAGAACTGTGCAGCTGAAAAGATAAGAAGTATGAAATATAAATGACCTTTATTTTGAGAATGTGGGGAGAGGCACCCCCGACCCCCTGGGGCACAGCATCTCCACCCCTGGGCCGGCGATCTCTCTGTGGAACATTGGAATGAGGCACATAAGTAGCCTCGGCTTGGGGTGGAACCTAAGGGAGGCATTAGGGATGCACAGGTAGCCCATTGGTCTTAGTTTGGCACCAGAGCTAGATTCCTAAGAGTGGGGGAGATAGGAGCTCCTTGGCTTTACCGGCTGCAGTGTCCAGCCTGGACCAAAACCCTTTCAGAGACAAAGCCAAAGAAACAGTTAGACAATCATGAGTACAGTTAACAAAGATTTCCACCAAGAGAAACTAGAGTTAATTCCTGTAAGAATAAAGTCCAGGGAATTTTAGAATCTTTCATGTCATTGATTTGTTATCTAATATCTTGAATAGCTACAGAGATATTAGCAGAAGAAGCAGGAATGTATACACAGCATTTAGTCTTTACAATTGCACAAGTGACCCTCTGTGCTGCTTTTAGAATGTCTAATGCCACCTGATTTTGGAGGACAGCCTGTAATAAAAGATAGCTATCTCCTTATATTTTATAGGAGATCTATTGGCTGTTAGGTAAGTTTTTCTATATGGCTGCATTAGCATGTAAAGCATATGTAGAATCAGTATAAATATTGACCTTTTGTCCCTTGCTGAGTTGTAAGGCTCCGGTCAGAGGCATGAGCTCTGCTAGCTGAGCACTAGTTCCAGTGCAAGTGAGGACCTTTCAAGAATATGGTGTAAAAAAAAAAAAAAAAAAAGAATATGGTGTAAAGTTACCATTGCATAGCCTGCCTTTTGAAAAATTTTTTATGAGGTAGCTGCCATAACAGAAGAGTTAAATCTGTCTGTCTTCTAAGTCATTTAGGTACCCTATAGATTGTTGAGCAAGTCCTTAATGCTGTGTAAGCACTCTCAAAGCCAAGTCTCCCCTCTCATCTACATATAAATTGAATGGTAACCTGTGGGTAGGCTCAGGGCGGGGCACCCAAGTGCTGAAGCTTTTGGAATGCAGCTTGTGAATCAGGTCCCAGCATAAAATATGTATATCTGCCTTTTGGGTCTCTTTTATAAAGTAATAGAGGGGTTGTATAATCTCCTCATATGGGGTATCCAAAGGCGGCAAAACCTGTAACTCTTAGGAAATATCCTTAACTGTTTTAGAGTTTTGGGCTGTGGGAAGGAGAGAATGGGTTTAATTTTCTTTTTTTTTAAGTCTTTGGATCTTTTTGGGTATGAGGCCTAAATATTTTACCTCAAGACTGCAAAGTGATGCCTTAGATTTAGAGACCTTGTAACTGTGTCTGTTAGAAAATTTAGCAGAACACAAGTGTCTCAGCTACAGAGCTTTTTGAGGGGGCACATAACAGTATGTCATCTACGTATTGCAAGATTGTGACCTGGGAAAACTCAAAACATGCCAAGTCATGGGAAAGCACTTGTCTACAAAGATGTGGACTATCTCTGAACCCTTAGGGAACACAGTCCGTGTTAATTGAGATGCTTGGTCCTGTGGATTTATTGTCCTATCTATTCTACCTTTAGTTGTCCATATTTCAGGATTTCTGTCTCCATGAGGGGAGCATACCTTGACCTGGGTGTATATGTATATCACAGTACTTAAACATGATAAAATATCTCTTTCTAAGAGAGGAACTGGACTTTCAGGCATAATCAAAAGTGAATGTGTAAAAAGAAAACCATCCCAGTTACAGCCTAAGCATTGTGAAAAATAACAAATTATCTCCTCAACAGTGACTCCTTTCACTGAGGGGTGGCGACGAGAAGGAAGGCCAGGATTGAAAAGAAGGACCGAGAGGCATAAGCCAGTAGCTGGTTTCTTTTCCCTCTATAGTCATGATTACCCGGGGCTCCTCTGAGGAGAGGACAGTCCAGCCAGCGGGAGAGGGCAGCGAGTGCCCTGGGGCCTTGGCCTCAGAGGGCAGTCCAACCTCCAGCGTCACCTTTGCAGTTGGGGCATGGCCCAGGGGGCTTCAGAGTGCAGTCCCTCATAAGGTGACCTGGCTTGTGGCAGTGATAGAAGATCTGCGTTTTCTTTGAATACTTCTTGGATCCCTGAGAATCAGACTTAGGGTTTCTTTTTCTTAAGGCTGCAGCAAAAGTGGCTGCTTTGTTCTTGGTCTCTTTGTTTTCTCTCCTTGGCTTCCTCCTCATTACAGTTACAAAATACTAAGGAGGCAACTTTTACTAAAGTACCAAGTGCACTATCTGGAGCAAACGCCATCTTTTGTAGCTTTTTTCTAATATGTGGAGTTGACTGAGTAACAAAAGTCCTTAAGCAAAATCTCTGCCTCTATCGAATCAGGAGCTATAGACATATGTTTTTTTATTGCCTCTGATAAACGATCTAAGAAGTCAGAGGGGTTTTCACCTTTTTCCTGAGAAGCTTCATAGAAATCAGTGGCTCTAATTCTTTTGTGGATAACATATTTCTATTACAGCAGCCACTTCCTCAAGGTTCAAAAAACAGGCATGATAATATTATGTCTTAGCTTTGCCGTCAGAGATGTCAGGGCTTGAGCTCAGTGTTCTCATCCGTCAAGTGAGTGTAAGAATCCCCATCTTAGCTGGGTACAGTGGCCTGCACCTGTGGTCCCTGCTGTACACTAGCAAAATGAGCTTCATTATGTTTGTGTTATGCCTAAGTTATATGACCAAAGTTCCTGTAACACAGCTGTACTGTTGTGTATGCGTTTTTTTTTTTTTTTTTCTGGGTGACCTAATTGATATGTTAATAATGCTCCCCTCTGTAAAGAATTGTAAATCCCTGGGAACCTAACCTAATTGATATGTTAACCATTGCTGCCCTCTACAAATAACAGATGTTAGCTAAAATAAGTTGACAAAGGATTGTTAATTACTGCTGGACTTCTCTGTCCTCTGCAAAGGGAAACAAAGGTCTTCCTCATTCCTTAGCAGATTTCCTGATCCATGCCCATAACCCCTTACTTTGTAAACTGTGCTTTCTACAAAAGGTCTGGAAAGTTTTGAGGGAGACACACAGCTTTTGCAAACTCCAACTGCACTGTGTTGCTGGGCCCAGAATAAAATAAATCAGCACTGCTTTTTTTTTTTTTTAAAAAAAACATGTCTTGCCCCATTTTTGGACTCGAGGTTGGGGGCTCTGAGGGGCTCGTTTGTGGATTACAAGAGTCCCATCTATTGAGGAGGCTGAGACAGGAGGTTTGCTTGAGCTCAGGACACCATGGGCAATACAATTAGGTCCTATATCAATAAGGGATGGCACAAAGGGTTTAGAGGTCCTGGGTTCCATCCCCAGCACTGAAAAACAGTTTGCACCTTGAAGAATGGCTGAAATGGTGAGGTAAGACTTCCTGTTCTAATTGTGCTCTCCAAATGGGAGTGCACACACGCTGCACACCCTCCGCATTGCAGGCACTGTGCTCGGTGCCGAGGACACACAGAAGAGCACGACAGGCTTCATGCTTCACTGAGCTGACGTAGCAAACAGGGAGGATGATAATGCAGTGGGATCAATTCATCTCCAAAGAACGGGAAGCAGAGAGACTGTAAACAGTGCACACAAAGGCCGAGGAGGGGCAGGGAAGGCCTCTCTGAGGAGGTGATCTTTGCCCTGAGCTTTCAGTGAGGAGGAGCAAGTTGATGACGTGGGGAGGACTGGGCAAGGCTGTGGAGGTGGCCTGAGGAGACTCAGTAGCAGCTGAGGTTAAGGGGCAAGGTGACTGGAGCCCCGGGAGGCGGAGCCACCTGTGTGGACCCTGAGGTCTCTGCTGTTCTTTCCACTCCTGGAGTCACGCCCTTGGGACACACACACACACACACACACACACACACACTACTACCACCACCACCACCGTCAGGAAGTGCCAGAGAGCTGCACATAGCTTCAGTTCTACTCACTGCCTGGAAACTGACCAGGAGTTTCTGGAATGCAGAAATGGTCATTGCTGGCTGACATCACACTTCGTGGTTTGAGGCCAATTGAAAAATAACCTCCTGGAGTCTGGGGCCTTTGAGGAAGCATGGGGAGCCCACCCTGGAGAGAAAGCAAAGGCTTGGCCACCCCAGTTTAAGGTGTTAGTGCAGGTGCAATCCAGGCACAGCAGACATTTAGGGGCCTGGCAGCCTACCAGCTCTGCCCACCTACTAACTAGAACAGGCAGTGACTCCAGCAATCACAGCTCCCTGGGAGAGGATCTGATCACAGTTCTCATGTGATCTCAGAATCTTAGTATCCTTAAATGGAAGGCAGAGATAATGACCAAAACCTCCCGGGGCTGTGTTGAATACAGTGCACATGGGAGAGATGATGGTTTGCTTATTCAGTCATTTACACCTTAGTGTGAACAAGTCTCAGATCTTTTGCTGAGACCAGGTTTAGGTCTAAAGAGGTGGGCAAGAACATTTGGGAGGAAAAGGACTGAGGATTGGGGCAACTCTGTGATAGAGTTATTTCCAAAAGATGAAAAATATTAACAAAAGATGAGAAATATAAAATAAAAAGCGGCCTTTATTCTGAGAACACGGAGAGAGATGACCGGCAACCCCACCGCTGGCGTCCGGCAATCTCTCCGGCGGACACGCGGTGTGGGGGCCTGTAAATAGCCTCGGTTTGGGGTGGAACCTAAGGCGGGCATTAGGGATACACAGGTAGCCCATTGGTCCTAGGTTTGGCGCCATATGTAAATTCCCAGGGGCGGGAAGATGGCGTCACAGGTAACTTCCTAGGGGCAGGGCAAGATGGAGCTTCCTGCTTCCAGTTGTGGCTTTCCTGGCTACAGTGTCCTGTCTGGGCCAAACCTTTCATATCCTGTCTTATGGTTATTATGAAAAGGGGCGAAGATTTCTCTCTTTAACTACTTCCTGCTGGCAAAGGGCGCTGTACTGGAGCCTAGGGGAGTCGACGGGATGAAGGTTGATGCCCAGGTTGACGCTGGTGCCAGGTGTTTTAGCCAGAACAACTTCACTGGTGAATGCACGTATGTCAGACTGGAAAAACAAAGAGACAAGATGTTATGAGGAGCCATGGCACTGTTATATTTAAGGACCTAGGTGAGGTAGAAGGAAAGGTGCCTTTGATTTAGACATATCATTCTATCAGGACCATGTTGAGGTAGAAACATTTCCACAGTAAGGCAGAATTCTGAAAATTAAACGTGGGGGGGTTAGGAGGAGTGGAGTTATGAGAGGTGATTACTCCCCCATCTGAAAGCATAAAAGTTAAGACGGTAGGTTGGTAAGGCTTGTCTCTGGTATGTATGACGTTAGAGTCTGTAGGCAATACTGTTAAAGAATCCTGCTGTAAAAATGATCATTAATAGAATGTAAGAAATTAGGAACCAAAGTGGATAACAAAACATGACTTAGCCTGTTAACTGTGGCTGCGCGGCCTTTGTGAGACGGAGACGGGTAGGCGACAGAAGATGAGATGACCACTCAGAATGATCAGATTTAGGGCTGGGAGGGCATCTCTTAGCCTGAGTGATGTGAAATCAGGATGGCAGTCTAGCAACTTTGATTTAGGCATGGGTCACTGCAACCTGGTTGTAGTCCTTGGAATGATTTGCTGTAACAGAACTTTAGCAAGTATGAGAAAGGCTTTTATGTATCCTGAAAAAGTATAAACCAAGTGAGAAGACAAAAATGTATCTGAGAGTCTTGACCAGGGTTGTCTGACAAATTGGTGAACAAGAAAGGAAGGGGGTGGTCTATATCACTGAGGAAGGGTCCACCAGCAACAACAGGTAGGAGCTGTTGAGGCCTCAGTGTGTCTAAGTCAGCCTGTATAAAAGGCATTTTAAGATTTAGGACTGGGACCTGCACAAAATAGGCCCTGTTTTTATTTATAAATGGCATAGGTTGACCATCAATACCCCATGATAGAGATTGAGGACTTAATATAGTAGCCTGAATACTCAGGAAGAACTCTGTATATATGGCCTCTATGTCCACAAATATAGAGAATGTCTTACCTGAGACTTTAGTACGACTTGGAATCTGAGATGGACACCTTAAAGGGGGCTGTTGTTGCCCTGAACTTTCTCAGTCTTCAGCAGCGATTTTCTGTCGGTGACGAATTTGGCAGTGTCAACATTTTCTGTGAGGGCTAGGATGACTTACCCACTCTCTGGTGGCTAGGACAGTCCAGTAGCCCTAGAGTAAGGTCTCAAAGAACGCCAGGATGGGGCATTTTCTTGCCCAGTATCTTCTGCTGCATTTGAGCGTGGTCCATGGAGGGGGCAGGCAGCTCCACCTTGTATAGGTTTACCTGTCTCAGAACTCCAAGTGTCACAAGTGTTAAAAATATGAAAAAAAATATTAAGATCTCTATAAGGTTTGAAGGTCAAATTTTGCCTTTTTGTTTGGGATTTGGACTATAGTAGAATTAAGTAAGTATGCAGGAATTTAATATTGGCATTTTGGATTAGAGAGCAGGCTTTATCTGGATGGCATACCACTTTTTTTATAGGGCGACACGTAGAATTAACAAAAAAGCTTTAGTCTGCCAAACAAGGCTTTAATGGAAACATTTTGCAGTAAAGGTTTAGCAATCTTATGAATAAATCAATCAAAACTGATCTAATACTGTCAAATTCTGAACACATTTACTTTTAAAGTTGTTATTTGCAGTAGTATGAACCAAGACAAATAAAATAAAACTTTGAAGAAAACCCTTGTCTTGAAATAGAGCTAGTGGTTCCCAGCAAAAAGGAATTTATAACCTTAGTTGTTAAACAGGAGATTGGTGAAGGCTTTGATTGATAAACAAGGCTGGTAAAATTATCAGGTGGCCAATAACCTTGATTAAATGGTTTGAGAACTGTAATAAAAAAGCATCTTTTGAGCGGAGCCAAATTGTAAAAAAAACCATGCCTGAGCAGAGCCGCTGAGCTGCTGTTTCGCAGCGCTCCGGCAGAGCACGCCCTGTGGGTGAGGCAAGCGCTGGGATGTAGCACGCAGGGGTGGGCTCAGACTGCCCCCGGAAACGTGTAAGGTGGCAGCGGCGGCGACGGCGACACACAGGGGAGGGAGGGGCTGGGACAGCACATGGGGGAGGGGCTGGGAGGCGGCCCGACACAGCGCGCAAAGCTGGAACTGCTTGCAGGGCGCAAGGATTAGAAAGCCAATTTAGGAACACAGCTGGGTTTTGATTAGCCTCCTGGACCTGTTTTAAAAGTTTGTTATAGTTAGTATGCTTGTCCTGCTCTGGCACAGATATAGGCCCAGAGTCATTATAAACGTCCTTAAAATGTAAATCATAACAATTAGTAATGAATTCAAATTGCCTGATATAATTCTGTGGGTCAACAGAGAGGCTACCTAATTTATGGGTAATCTGAGCTAGATCAGAAAGGGAAAAAGGCACATGGATGTTAACAAGTCCCTCGGGGCCAGCTTGCTCCCGAAGCGGTAGCAGAGCCTGAGGAGATTCCAGAGCAGAGGGCTTTTGAGCAGCCATCCTTCCGGTAGGCGCATGTGAGCAATCGTCTGTAGAGCGGCTACAGAGCTGCTGCCAGTCACCCTGGGAAACACGAGCAGATGGCATCTCACTGTGTGCCTTGCAGCTAGAGGACTGCTGTCGGCAGCACAATGAAGCGTCATGTGCACTGCAACAGGGCGGCTGTTGTAGTTCACAAGAGGAGCCACAAGGAGACGCCTGTTGACAGTGAAGGCCCTGGAAACATGGCGGCGCCCTGTCACGTGACCCAAAACATGGCAGTGCCTGGGAACATGGCAGCGCCCTGTCGCCATGTGGCCCTCCTGAACATGGCGGCGCCATGCCACGTGGCAGAGGGTTGCAACATGGCGACTGTTCCCCGTGCAAGCTGGAACAATCACGCGACCTGCTGGAAGGACATAGCGACCAAGACCTAGTATGGTGGGCGGGCGGTGAGAATGCTGTAGGGGATACAGAATTCTCAGGAGAAGAAGAAGTCAGAGATTGCGGGGAAGCGCTAACAGAAGGATCAGAGCCACTGGGAGAGATATGGGTCCCTGGAGACAGAGGGGGAGAGGATCGAACACAGGGAGATAACTGCGACACAGAGGGATTAGAGCTGCTGGGAGAGTTATGGGTCCTGGAAGGCAGAGAGGGAGATGATCGTACAGTGGGAGGTATCTGCAATCGAGAGGGATTAGAGCTGCTGAGAGAATCAGGGATAGGGGGAGGAGAGTGCGGTCCGGTGGGAGGTAACGGCAGGGAACGAGTTTGGTGGTAGGCAGGCGGTGGCCGGGAAAACAATGGAGGACAGGACAGAAAAGTTTGCGGCGCGGTAGAGTTAGCTAAAAGTATCTCAGCGGGAGCACAAGACTTAATGAGAGATGGGCGTGTTCTCAGAATAAGAAAGGCTTGGACATAAGGGAGTTCTAATAACTTGTTGCCAGCTTGACAAAAATCATACAAGTTCCTGAGAATGCAGGGGTCAAATGTTCCTTTTTTGGGCCAAGGCTTGCCGATAAGCGGGTAGGTTGGCCAGACCTCCTGGCAGTAAAAAGTTAGTTGTTTAGTTTTTATGGTACCTTTAATTTTTAGAGTACGTAAATTGGAAATTAGGCATTGTAAAGGCGTCTTTTGGGAGTTAGAAAATATGTTCCCCATGACTGATTCAGGCAAGAAAAAAAAACCGGAGGTCCAGAAAAAAGTCGTCACTTATTTGTGGTACCACGCGGCAGCTACGGTTCCAAACCGTAAACTCCAGTTGTCACTGAGAGTTTTACGAATGGAGTCTACGTGGGGTCAGTAACAGTTTTGCCCGTGAAAGCGCAAGGTTTTAAGGGAAGTGAGGCATTCTTTCAGTGTGGGCAGTCCCAAAAATCTCTGCTTTGGGCTATCCGAACCCAAAGAACGTGAGAGATTTTGTGGGCGCAGGTTTGCCCAGAAAGAACCCTGCCCTGGGCGGTCCTAAGGACGTGAAAATGCACAGACCCACGCAGACGGGGAGAACATTCCACTGGGGCTGCCCAGTGCGAAAAGTTCCCCGGGGAGTGCTCACCTGAAATCAGTCTGGCCGATGCGGAGTGCAGGCGGCTGGCGACAGGAACGTCTCGGGAGAGGAAAAAGCTCGGGATTAATCCAGGATGTTATCTGATTATCGGCGAGGAAACTCTGGGTATGTGGCCCAAGAGTTAGTTGCCTGCCGATCGAGTCACGGCACCAAATGATAGAGTTATTTCCAAAAGATGAAAAATATTAACAAAAGATGAGAAATATAAAATAAAAAGCGGCCTTTATTCTGAGAACATGGAGAGAGATGACCGGCACCCCACCGCTGGCGTCCGGCGATCTCTCCGGCGGACACGCGGCGTGGGGGCCTGTAAATAGCCTCGGTTTGGGGTGGAACCTAAGGCGGGCATTAGGGATACACAGGTAGCCCATTGGTCCTAGGTTTGGCGCCATATGTAAATTCCCAGGGGCGGGAAGATGGCGTCACAGGTAACTTCCTAGGGGCAGGGCAAGATGGGGCTTCCTGCTTCCCGTTGTGGCTTTCCTGGCTACAGTGTCCTGTCTGGGCCAAACCTTTCACTCTGGAGCCACTCTGTGCTTGGGTGGGGCCCCGAAGTCAACAGAGTAAGTTGAGAGTGCCAGGCCCAGCCTCAGCTCCCTGGGGTGATGCATGTAGACCAAGTAACCCAGCAAGTGGAGGAGCAAGTGACAGCAATGGTGAAGGGTGAGGAAATCCCAGACTTTACCATCTTGGTCAGAAACAGTTCAGCGGGCAGCGGCAATAAACAGTGATAAATCCGCTGGTGCCCAGTGCCATGCTGTGTAATCACAACCACCACGCTCCATGTTGCCTGGTTCTTCGGGTCTGTTTCCTGTTATACTACGATGCTGAAAAATTAAAATAATTGATTAAAATATAATTAGCAAAAATAGTTGGTTAAAAGGATAGTTATTAGCAGTATTGTCATTCTGTACTGGGCTTGTTACCCTCGTAACCAAGCACCACCCACATAGTTATAAATTAACTGACTGAGTCGTTATGCTGTTCTGTATGCGTTGCTCCCCTCCCCCCAAGTAACCTGTGTGCTATGTCAACCTTTGTTCCCCTTGTAAGAGACAAATGATGTTGTGCCAAACATTGTTCCCTTTATGAGAGACAAATGTTCCTGGAGTTGGCAGACCAAGGGCCATGAATTGGCAAACCACCCACTGTGAAATGCCTCTGACCTCAAGCAAAGGGGAACAAAGGCCCACCTTGTTTCTGTTTCTCATCACTATGTACTTAATTATCAATGAGCTAATCATAAATGAACTGTAAAAATCAGTCAGAACTCTAACTCAGTTGCACAGCTTTGCAAATTCCAGGGCTGGGGATTTAGCTCAGCAGCATAAGTGCCTGCGTTGCAAGCAGGCAGTCAGTTCCATCTGCACTGTGTTTCTGGGCCAGCTAAAATAAAACCGCTTCTTCGTAAAACATCATTTTGCCCCATTCTTTTTTCATCTCGGGGCCCTTTTGGGGGTCGTACAACCTTTCCCTCCAGTAGGGACACCCACATGCAAAATTTTACTCCTTTGTCTGGTTTAGTTCTCAGGGTTTCATTTTTGCACATATTCCCTAAGTTTTTTTCTGATATTCACTGGTGAGATCTTCCAACTTAATTAGGGTATAAGCTTTCTCTTTCCATTTCAGAATTTTTTTTTTTTGTCTTTTCTTGTACAGTTTAGACTGAACTTGAACTCACTTGGTTGCCTAAGCTGGCCTCGAACTCTCAATGATCCTCCTGTCTCAACCTCCCGACTGCTGGGATTACAGGCGTGTGCTACCATACCTGGCTCAGATCAGATTTTTTCTTTTTCTATCGGTACCAGGGATCAAACCCCCAACCACACACTTGCAAGGCAGACACTTACGCCACTGAGCTAAATCCCCAGCCCCAGATCAGATTTTTGTATGCATTTCACTGGCACATGACTGGCTCTAACGATGGGCTTAGATAGTGACTTAGTCTGGCCAGGGTCACACAGCTCACACATGGCTTTCTTGGAATCCACAAATGAGCCCCCCAGAGCCAAACCTCAAGTTCAAAAAAATGGGGCAGCTCATGTTTTTTTTTTGTAAAGCAGTGCTGATTTATTTTATCCTAGGCCCAGCGACACACTGCAGTTGGAGTTCGCAAAAGCTGTGTGTCCCCCTCAAAACTTTCTAGACCTTTTGTAAAAAGCACAGTTTACAAAGTAAGGGGTTATGGGCGTGGATCAGGAAATCTGCTAAGGAAATGAGGAAGACCCTTGTTTCCCTTAGCAGAAGACAGAGTAGTCTAGCAATAATTAACAATCCTTTGTCAGCTTATTTTAGCACTACATCTCTTATTTGTAGAGGGCAACAATGGTTAACATATCTATTAGGTTAGGTTCCCAGAGATTTATAATTCTTTTTTTTTGTTTTTGTTTTCTTTTTCATTTTTATCGGTACCGGGGATCGAACTCACGACTGCCTGCTTGCAAGGCAGGCGCTTATGCCGCTGAGATAAATCCCCAGCCCCCTAGGATTTATAATTCTTTACAGAGGGGAGCATTGATTAACATATCAATTAGGTCACCCCCAAAAAACGCATACAGAACAGTATGGCGGCATTACAGGTACTTTGGTCATATAACTTAGGCATAACCCAAACATAATGAAGCTCTTTTTGCTAGTGTACAGCAGGCCTCAGAGCCTGAGCCCTTAAGTGCTACTCTGCTGCCTTTGCTTGAAAGCCTGCATCCTGCTCAGAGTGCCTGGAGGTTCACTGATCCTTCATGCTGCTCCTGCAAAAGCAGGGACAGAGCAAAGCTGTCCTCTGCTCTGCTCAAGGCAGAACCAGGCCGTGGTCTGTGGTGCCCTGAACCTGGGCACCCTTAGGAGGCCTTAAGTCACCTGTGCAGCACCCCTGCTGCCACGGGGCCCTGCCTCATCCAGGCTCAGGGCAGTGGCACTGAAGTAGCTCTCTTTCCCTTGCAGGGAAGTTTTGGCACATCTCTGACCTGCACCTTGACCCCAACTACACGGTATCCCAGGACCCCCTCCGAGTGTGCCCCTCGGCTGGCACCCAGATGGTGTACAACCCGGGGCCCTGGGGTGACTACCTCTGTGATTCTCCATGGGCCCTCGTCAACTCTTCCGTCTATGCCATGAAGGAGATCGAGCCGAATCCAGACTTCATTTTCTGGACAGGGTGAGAGCAATCATGATGGCAGCTCCCCTTTACTGGGCCCCTGGACCCTCTTTGTACCCTCTAATCCTCCCATCATCCCTGTTTCAAAGGCCTATGTAATTTTCCCAAGAGACCCTGGTTGATGCCCAAGTCTGCCCACAACCTCCAGGTCCTCATCTTGAAAACAGCTCTCACTGAGGGTGGGAGTGTAGGTGTGGCCTGCCTAGGCACCCAGAGAAGCCTTTGGGTGTAGGCTGGGGATGGATAGTGAGGCCACTGTCCTTGAGGCTAGGCATGACAAGTGTCCTGATCAGCTGCTGGCCACCCCTGGGCAGCCCAGGTCCCCTGAGGATTACTCACTGGTCAGGACAGAGACTTCATTTCTGTTTCCCTCCAGAGACTTCATTTCTGTTTCCCTCTGGGGGTTTCAGGGATATACCTCAGTAGCACAGCACCTGCCTGGTAAGTGCAAGGTCCTGAGTTCGATTCCCGGTAACCTCATCCCGCCTCTGTCCCACCCAAAAAAAGAGGGCCTTCATCTTCCCTGGAACTTTCACTCCAGGTCACTCCAGGTTCTCCAGTCCCTCCTGTGTTCTCTTACTTGCCAGGTCGACCTGTCTCATGCCCAGCCCTGGGGTGGTACTGGAGAACTAAGATGGTGTAGAGGCCAGTTTGTGATCACATCCCAGGGAGGAGAGTGCATCCCCTGGAGGACATCGGGGCATCACAGGACACTCCACTCCAGGGCTTCCAACAGGAAGTGGTGAGGCAGGGAGCTGGTGAGGAAGGTTGGAGGAGCTTGGACTTGGTGCTTCCTCAGCTGGCCTCAGTAGATTCTTCTGGAAAGAAGTGTGAAACCTGGGGTGCCCCTAGCTGTCTCACGCTGTGATAAGAAAGTGCCCAAGAATGACCCTCAGAAGGACTCTTAGTTACTTTCCCATTACTGGAACAAATATCCAACATCCATAAATTAAAGGAGGAGTTATTTCAGTTCACAGTTTGTAGAAATTTCAGTCCGTGATCAGTTGGCTCCACTGGCTGCGGGGCACTGCAGAGGAGAAACAGTCCATGCAGGGCAAGAAAGAAGGCCGCAAGCAGCAGCAGGATCGAGCCTCCTTTTCGCCTTTATCCTATCCAGGCTTCAGGCCAATCGAACCCAAGGCGGGCCTGGCCATTATCCACATCCAGAACTCTGCTAACCCAAGTTAGTTGCCACACACCTGTAGCCCCAGCATCACACACCCTAGGTGGAGCCACCTCTGACGAGCCCTACGTGTGAGCACATGAGGCTTTAAGGGGACATCTAGACACAGCCATAATAGATCCTGTGGTTGGCAGGGAAAAGGCAAAGGCTAGACACAGAAAATGTGCCAAAGTCTCAGGAGGGGCCTGGACAGGCCTGGCTTCCTTGGGCCCAGGAAAAGTGTGAGATTTAGTCTATGACCTTGGACACTGGTTCCCTGGGGGATTTTTCTGGGAAGGCCTCTGATTTCTCTGAAGCAGAGGCTGTGGTGGAGTAGATAACATTCTGAAAGATGTAATCTCTCTGGGAAAGGCTTTGGGGGAATTCACAGTTCTTTCATAGATGCACAGTTCTTCTGGGAACTCACCTGGACTTTGCAGATTTTTTTTTTTCTAGTGCTGGGGATTGAACTCATGACCTTGTGTTTGCCAGACAAGTGCTTACACTGCTGAGCTAAATCCCCAGCTACAACTCTGCAGATTTATATGGCATTGGATGAGATCAGTGATCTCTTGAATACTCTGTAATTCTTTACTTATAAAGAAAACTGACATCTCTGAGAGAGCTGTAATCCATCTGAGGAAAATTCGAAGAAACTAAATATGTTTAACTAATTATTATTTTATTTTTATTTTTATTGGTACCAGGAATTGAACTTAGGACCTTGTGCTTACTAGGCAGGCACTATGCCACTGAGCTACATCCCTGGCTCTGGATGTGTTTTTTTTTTAATTTCTTTTGTTTGTTTGTTTGTTTGTTTGTTTCTTTTTTCTTTTCTTTTTGAGACAGAGTCTCTTGTACATTTCAGCCTGGCCTTAAACTCACTATGAACTCAAAGTGATCCTCCTTCCGCACTCTTCCAAGTGTTGCAATTGCAGGCGTGCACTATGACACCCAGGCTGGATGTGTTTTCTATTAGACAATTAGATTCCTGAAAGTAAAAAAAATAAATTGGGATTTTGTCTCATGTTTTCTGGTTCCTGGTCTGCCCCAAGAAATCAGCAGGGCTAAATAGCTCCTTTGTCTGCCCTAACTAGTGTGTGAGAGCCCCGGGGCTGGGATGACTGCCTTCAAATTTTGATCCTACCTTTTTCTATTTAAGTGTAATTTCTAGCTTTATTGTGCCTTCAGTATCTGTCAGACAGATAGGGATGTCACTCAGTGGCAGAGCACTCACTTAGTATGCATGAGGCCCTGGGTTTAATCCCTAGTAAGGCAGAAAAAAAAAAGAAAAATTAATGTAGTGCCCAGTTCTAGAGATCCAAAGGCACCGTACTGGCAAGTGTGTAGGTCTGGTGAGGGGCTTCTGGCCATATCCCAACACGACAGTGGCATCAGAGAAGGTGCGCAGGGGAGAAGGACAGAGCAGCCGCATGGCAAGGCAGGAAGCCAGACACTCAGGGGCCAGGTCATTCATAACAACTTACTCTCCCAGGACCTAGCCTGGGTCCTGGGGGAATGACCCTAATAACTTTGGAGAGCACCCGATGACCCAGTTACCCTGCTGTGTGTCCCCTCTTACACGTCCTACTGCCTCCCAGCCATCACCACCCTGGGGAGCAAGTTTCCAGTATATAAACTTCAGGGGACAAACACATTCATTCAAACCATATCCAAACCAGAGCAGCTAGGATACAAAGTGAGCCAGCTTGCGTTCTTGGCCACTGTGCTAGTCAAACACTGAAAGCTCCTATTAATACCTCTTAGGCGTCTACCCCGAGCATCACTTGTTTAGTACTGACTGTCCTGCGTGCTGCTCGGGCAGGTGTCATTTCAACCAGTCAATTATGAGTAAATTTGAAAACACTATCGTTTTTATGCGTCCTGTTGTATTATCTTATAAAAATTAATGAAAAAATATGCAATTTTTGGTCATCCTGTATTTAAATAATTGGACTGGTAAGTGGTTAAACTGGTTACCATTCCCAGAAGAGTGCCTGGGAGCAGATGCCGCCTTTAGTCTGGACCGGCAGAAGCCTCAGGATTTAGATTTTCCACCCTTCTACCCATCCCTAAACCCTCCCCCCAGCATTCTCCTTCCCTGGCTCCCTTACCTTGCTGAGCACTGTTAGGTTGAGCGTAAGAATTTAGGTCAGTTGTGTTGGGGGCAAAAAGGTCCTGGACCTGCCCTAGGGAAGATCGAACTCTGTACTCAGAAGCCAGCTCCAGTTGTGTCTGAGGGAAGAAGGAGATTGCAGAAATGGCTTCTGGACCGTGAGCTCCCTGAGATCTTGGAGGTGGGACTTAAACTCCCACCCCTGTGTTCCCTAAATGATATGGTAATACAGAGATAAACATATGTCCAGCCATGATGGGCTTCAACCAAGGGAGCACCTGCAAGAAACTTCACCATGTTATTTAAAACTTTTTTTTTGATTCAAGATCTCACCATGTAGTTCAGGTTAGCTTTTTCTTTTTTTAAGAGCAGAATATATTTATTGAGAAAAAGAAAGCTTCTGTTTGAGAGACAAGGGCAAGTGGGTTGCCCCAGCTTTGAACTCACTATGTAGACCAGGCTGGCCTTGAACTTGGGGCAAATCCTCTTACCTCAACCTCCCTGGGGTTACAGGGGTGCACTACCATGCCTGGCTCATTTTTCTCCTTTTTGGAAGTCTCACAAATACTCTATCATAGGTACTTATTATTCTCTGTTCTCTAGATGAGCTAATAGTGGCTCGGACAGGTTAACACCAGCCCAGGGATCCACAGCTGTCTGATCTTGGTTGAACTCTGCCCCATCCTTCTCCTCAGCACCCGGATTCCCAGCTCCACAGCTTTCTTCTCCCCGCAGAGCTACCCCTTCCTCTTCTTGTATCCCTTCCTGAGATGCCCACCTCCAACTGGCATGGTGGTGTTTTGCAGTGATGATACGCCACACGTGCCTGATGAGAAGCTGGGGGAGGCAGCTGTGCTGGAAATTGTGGAGCGTCTGACCAGCCTCATCCGGGAGGCCTTTCCAGGTGAGGCTCTGCCATCAGTCCCCCAGGTGGTGTCTGCTCAGGAGCACAACAGCAACAAGGAAACCAATGACAATGATGGCATCTGGCCTGGTCCCACTGCAGGCTTTACAGCCAGCATTTCTCACCTTCTTGAAAACTCTGCAAGATACTAGTGAGCTCCTCAGCCTGTGGAAACACACAGGCTCCCAAATGCCTCACATTCACAGCCTCTGCTTCTCCCTGTTTAACCAGACTCTCAAACCCTTCTTGGTGGTGTCCCCAGTATTACACGGGTGTGTCCAGATAAGTTTCACTGGGTGCACACACAGTCCTGTGTCCTGCTGTGGGCCTAGTGTTGCCATCTGCTGTCCCAAAGCCATCCCAGCTGCAAGGAGATGCTGGAGATGCTGATTTCCAGCCAGGGCACTGTTTTCTAGGGGCTTCCGAGGCCTTCGAGCCTGGCAAAGCAGGCAGGGAGTGGGAGTGAGTGAGGCATGGCCAGTGGGACACAACAGGGAGGAGAGGGTCTACTACCTCTTACAGTGTCCCTGAGCAGGGTTTTAAGTGAGCTGTGCCAAATGCAAGGTCCTGGGGTCCTAATCAGCTGCACTGAGCTGCCCCATTACCTCTTTCAGTTCTGGTACAGCTGCTCTTTCTAATGGTCTTGGTGATGGGTCCCCAGGGGCTAGATAAGCAATAACAATATGAAAAGAAATATAAGTACCGCATATATCTTGTGCCCCATTACAGTTGTTTTTTTTTTTTTTTTTTAACAGCATCTCCCTATGCAGTTCAGTCTGGCCTTGAACTCTCACTGTATAGGCCCAGGCTGACCTTGCACTAGCACTGATCCTCCTGCCTCAGTCTCCCGAGTTCTAGGATCACAGATGTGCACCACCATGCCTGGCATCACCTCTGTTTTTATTGATGAGGAATGTGAATCTTGGGGTCACGTCAAGGTTATGTGACAGAAGTTGGGCCCAAGTCCCAATCTGAGTGCTGCTCTTAGTTACCAGTCCTACTGTGCTTTCCCTCTCGCATAAGCCAGCTCGTACAAAGAGAGGCCCGGCTTCTTCTCGATTTTCCAAGGCAATGCAGCATCTCCCACCCAGCTGCCCCTGGTCTTGTTGAAGTTGCTGGACAGGGCGCTACTTAGGGCCAGGACACCCTCTGTCTTCTCTTCAGCAGTGGGCATAGTGGGCATTATGTCTCTTCTCAGGGAGGCCTTCAAACTCAGATCCAACTGTGAGCTCTATTTTCTGTTCCACACAGGGCTTGTGGAGTATGGCTAGGAAACTGCTTTATTGGTTGGGCACACCTGTAATCCCAGCACTTGGGAGGCTGAGGCAGGGGGATCACGGTGAGTTCCAGGCCAGCCTGAACTGCATAGTGAGACCCTGTCTCAAAAACAGAAACAGAAACAAAAACAAAAAAAAAACTGCTTTATTAATGATGTTTTAACATAGACATTTAAACTATAAGACTGTAGTTTATGTCACACTGGCACATTTATAGAATTTCTTCGTATCCATTGACTGTAAGAGGCATTACTGTTTTATGTTTTGCTAAGAAAGAGTGCTGCCTGTTCAAATGACATGGCGCTTTCTCATGACCACACTGGGATGACGACATGCCACCCTTTCAGAGATGTTAAAATGAACCGAGCTGAAGAGAATTATAACACAAGGCAAGCAGAATACTTTCAAGTGTATAGCTAAAGGAGAGGAGAGAGAGAAAAAGAGAGGAGAAAGACCGCAAGTAGAGATTTTGGGTTCCACATTATGAGTAGCGGCCATAATTAGAGTGGCCCGCCTACGTTACCCACCAGTCCTTCTGGACACTGATCCTGCCCGTCCTGCGTGATAGAGTGGCTGAGAATATGGATGTTCAAGTGCCACGCTCCATTCCCGCTGCCAAAAAACAGGACTCTGGTCTCAGCTCTCCCTCTGCCACATTCTAGCATCCAACTTCTATTTTCTTCCTGTGAAAAAAGAAAAACAATGTACTTGCTCCTGGGTTGTTATGCTAATGAAACAAGGTAATCCATTCACTCATTTAGTCAATAACAAATATTTGTTGTCTACTATGGGGTAAAACACCAAATGGTGTTTGGAGACATGGAATGGACAAGATATCAGACCATGCTTGCATGGAGCTTATGCTTGTTAGGAGCCTGGCACACAACAGCAGTAAAATGGTGGGGTCGGGAGTGGGGAGCGATTCCCTCCTTCTCATTTGACCTTGGGATTCCAGGGGTTGGTGTTTTTCAGAATGGCTATTGAGGGGTATGTGGCAGTGCACACCTTAATCCCAGCACTCAGGAGGCTGAGGCAGGAGGACTGCTGTGAGTTGAAGGCCAGTGCGAACTGCATAGCGAGACCCTCTCTCAGAAAAACAAAAAACAAAACAAAACAAAACAAAAAAAAAAAAAGAAAGAAAGAAAAACAAGAATGACTGCTGATATTTACTTTAGGGAAGTGAGGGTCTTCCAGGTAGTCTCAGTGAAGATTCCACAGCCTTCTATTTTGGTGGAGTCTCTGCATTTGCAGAGCTTGTACACAGGGCAAAGGGCTTGTTACAGATATTTCCCAACTAAGAACTGGAGGCTCCGGCCACCCGTGCTGGTTTATCATCTCGGAGGCCCCAAGTTCATATGATAGCTCTGAGCACGAGTGGGTTTCCCTTTTTTGCTTTTTTTCATTTGTCAAATATTAACATGCTCATTGTCAAATATTATCATCTTTTATGTGCCAGATCCTGAAACAAAAGCAGGAAGAAGCCTGTTCACAAGGAGCAAATGAGTCTGCCCACATCTGCTGTCATTCTCAGAGATCCCTCCAGCCCCACTCCCAGCCTGTTACTCCCCAGCAAGGGGCCCCCTGCTTTCTGCAACAGCCCTCACACCTCTGATCACTCAGTACCTCTCAACCTACTGTGCTGCAAGTTCTCTGGGACTGGAAGTGTGGTTTCCAGCTCCACATTGGCACACAGTAGAGGCTTAATAAAATGTTCATCGACTGCACTAATGAGAACTCCCGAGGCCTGCTGGAGTGAACCAGACCCCTTCTCCAACAGTAAGAGGAGTCTGTATTGAATGAGAACACAGAACATAAAATTACCAGGTGGATGATAATGAAGTGAATGATTTAGACCTTTTAAAGTCCCCCACCATCTAAGATCTCCTTTGTGAACAGGGAATTTCCTGCTGGGAAAGGGGTTAGAGACCAGGATTAGGCAACTCACTGCTCTTCCTCCCCAGTCAATACGAAGTTCAGTCAGATTCTATCAGATGTGGTTTTGTGCTTATTCCTCCTTGATGCTACCACTTCTGCATTAGCTCAGATGGCCCCTGGCCAACTGAAAATGACTAACTCTACCAATGGCTCCTGAGTATTTTAATCGTATGTCTTCCCTTCCTCCCAGATACTAAAGTCTATGCTGCTATGGGAAATCACGACTTTCACCCTAAAAACCAGTTCCCAGTGCACAGTAACAATATCTACCATCAGGTAGCAGAACTGTGGAGACCCTGGCTTAATAATGAGTCTGTCAATCTCTTCAAAGAAGGTACTAACACCATTGGCTACTACAAGAAGCACTTTCTGTACACCAGGGGCCGATCTGGTTTTATCTTCACAGGAAACTCTTGAAGTAGGGGTTGACTTTATTCCCATTTTATAGATTGGGAGAATGAGGCCTGAAGAACACAAGTGATTTGACCAAGGTCACACAGCTTAGAAAAGGTGAATTTAAGGGTAGAATCCAACTGGCTGTGGTGCTGCACATCTGTAATCTCAACTATTTGGGAGGCCAAGACAAGAGGATTATAAATTTGAGGCCAGACTAGGCAGTGTAGCGAGATCCTGTCTCAGTGGAATAGCACTTGCCTAGCATGTGTGAGGTTCTCAGTTTAATCCCCAGGACTAGGGGAATAACAGAAAAGGAGTAGAATTCAGGACAGACTCCAAAACCCGTGTTCTCAACCCCACAGTATGAATTGTGAGTAGTTTGCTGTGTGCCAGGCGCCATCCTCACTGGTTTGGGGTTGACATGGGGGCTGCAAGGTGTCTGGTGTGTTGTAGGATGTTTAACACCACCCCAGCCTCCACCCACTGGTGCCAGTGATACTCCAGTTCTAACAGCCTGAAATGTCTGGGCATTGCAAATGTTCCCTTGGGGCGAAATCTCCTGGTTGAGAACCACTGGTGCAGTGACATGGCCAGCCCATGTCCTTGACCTGCTGCTGCCAGGACCCCTCGTTGGTTAAACTCATCTGGAAGCCCAAGACACAGGGCCTATAGGTTTAGTCTGAATGGATCGGCTTCTGGGGCTGTGTGGAGCACAGCTGGCAGTGGATCTCGATGGGCAAACACACATCACTGTTATTCCCACTGTACTGATGAGGAAATCAAGGCACAGAGAGATGAAGTAACTTTTTTGAATCGCACAGCTAATGAGTGATACAGCTAGAGCTGAACCCAGGCGGCCTGGCTCTAAGTCTTTGGTCTGACCCCTAGATGCCCTTTCTAAGGGGAAAATGGGAAGGGAGGATGCCAGGGAAGCAGCGGGTGGGAGAGTGAGGAGGCCGGCAGAGACTCCCTTCAGGTTCTCTCTGGCCATGACTCCCAGGTGCCTTCTATTCCGAGTTGTTGCCGGATCCCAGCAGTCCAGGCCGAATCGTGGTTCTCAACACCAATCTCTACTACAGCAACAATCAGCTGACGGCAGACCTGGCTGACCCCAGCCAGCAGTTCCAGTGGCTGGACAGTGTGCTGACCAACGCGTCCCACGCTGGGGAGAAGGTGAGGCATGCCTGGCCTCGGGTATGTCCGTCTGTCTGCTGAGTGGGCAGCGGCATGCTGCCCAGCACATCATAGCAGGATTTAATAGCTGGTGTTCATGACCATGGGGGCCAAGTGCGCAGTTTCTGTCAGTTGAGTGACCTGAGGAGTGTAAGACATGAACACACACATCCACATGGTGTATGTTGTACACCAATGGGTGGATGGCTCAAGCAGTCTTGGGAGGTTCATCGAGGCTTCATGGAGGAGGTGACCGTGGAGCTGGGTTCAGGGTACGAGTGAAAAGGAAATGTTCTCCAGATGGCAGGCAGAGGCACAGAGGTGGGGAGGTGGTGGCACACTTGTTGAGACTAAACTGGGGGCATCTCTGAGTTCCCTGCACCCCCTTCTTTGCAGGTCTACATAATTGGCCATGTGCCCCCAGGGTTCTTTGAGAAGACACGGAAGAAGGCGTGGTTCCGGGATGGCTTCAACAAGGAGTACCTGAAGATGGTCCAGAAGCACCACCACGTCATAGCAGGGCAGTTCTTTGGGCACCATCACACTGACAGCTTCCGGATGTTCTACGATGATGCAGGTACTCACCGGAAGGCGGCTGCCAGCCCACCTGCCTCCTTCTTTCACCAGCCTTTCTCATTCCTGCTGTCTCTCCCCCAAAAGGTGCACCCATAAGCGCCATGTTCCTTGCTCCTGGGGTCAGCCCGTGGAAAACCACGCTGGTTGGAGTGGTCAATGGGGCCAACAATCCAGGCATCCGGCTGTTTGAGTATGACCGAGCCACACTGAACCTGCACGTGAGGAGCTGGGGGTCTGCTGGGGCAGAGAGTGGGGGGCCAAAACCGATCCCTGCCTTCCCTAGTATCACTTAACTCACCCATTACTGACAGCTGGGCCTCAGGAAGGTCAAGTTTCTTTCACCCTCCTTGAGCTCGCGTTCAGAACGTTGCATCCGCCTACCACCAAGGCAGGTCAATTCTTCTGCCCCTAACCCTGGGTCATTGCTACAGTTTCTGCCTGCTCTCCCTGCTTCCAGCCCAGCCCTGCTGTAACCCGTCTGCCATACACTACAGAAGGGGTAATCTCTCTGAAGCACTGCTTTCAATTTGCCCTTCTGCTCAATGTTGAGGCTGATGCAGGAGGATCACCAGTTCGACACCAGCCTGGGCTACAGTGAGATCTTGTCTTGAAAAACAAAACAAAATGTCTTCCCAGTACCCTCACTTTGGGTCTTCTTGGCCTAGTGTTGAAGGCTTCCCGAAATCTGACTCCAAGCCCAATGCCCATTGCTTCCCACTGGATGAGGCTCCAACCACTAATTTATGAAGCAATCCTTGTGATTGTTGAAATGACAGAGGAATGCTATTCTTTCATACTTCTATAAAATGTGTGAAGCACCTGCCATATGCCAGATTCTGTCCTAAACTCAGGAGATACTTAAGTGACCTGAACCAAGTCCCTGTTCTCCTGGGCCTGGTACTTTCACAGGAGAGAGGCAATTAACAAATAAGTAAACAGAATTATGGGGATCCCCAAAGGGAATGGCTAACCAAATGAGGAGAGGAGACACAGTGGAGATGGCTGCAAGTATGTGTGCTGTGTTAGATGGAGGGGACGGGAAGTGTCACAGGTGATGCTTGTGTCCTGAGGAAGCCAGCTGGGAATGAGAGGAAGGTCGAAGCAGAAGCAAGTCAGACCTGGGGCGGGACCGTGCTTGGTGTCGTAGGGAAGAACAAGGAGGCTGGGTGACCAGAGCGGCAGGCACAGTGCGGCTGGGAGGGACACAGCTGGATCTGTAAGCCCTGAGGACTGGATTTGGAGGGTTTGGGGCAGAAGCAGGAGATATTTTAACTATGCTTATAAAATCACTATGTCTGTTTGATAGAAAACAGGCTGCAGGGGCTCAGGAAAGAGGCTCAGCAGCAGAGACAGCTGCAAGATGACCATGGTTCAGGCCAGGATGGTGACAGGGGGTTTGTGAGAAATACCGTCAACCACAGTTCTGTCAGCTGTACTCTCTCTCCTAATTAATTCCATAAATATTTACCAAAATACCTGGAGGTATTTTGTAGGCAGAGTGGCTGGGACTCATTCGCAGGTTGGTGTCAGCCATGGCATGTGACAGGAAGAGCAGAATGGAGGAGGAGCCTAAGGCTTTTGGCCTGAGCCCCTCAAGGGGTGGGGCTGCTGCTTACTGAGATGAGTGGGGACTGTGGGAGGACCCCGTTTTGGAGCAAGAATCAGAGGTGTGCTTTTGGGGTGGCTAAAATGGCCAGGGAGGCGGCAAGCTGGAGCTCTGGGAGCAGGTGAGTGTACATGTTTAATCTGGAGCTAAAGAGGACATTTGAAGTCAGCGACAGCCGGTCCTTGATCAAGAAGAGGTCCGAGGACTTTTCAGAATGTGGCCTGAGCTGCTTCATCTATAAAATGGAAGTGACAGATGGGGGTTTTGGGGAGGATGGAATGAAACAAGGTAATAATACATCCAGCACGCGTGTTTCCTGTCCATTCATAGCAGCTTCCTCCAGTGACCACGGATTTAACTGGAAAGTGTTGGACCAGGGGCTGGGGATTTAGCTCAGCGGTATAAGTGCCTGCCTTGCAAGCAGGCAGTCGTGAGTTCAATCCCTGGTACCGATAAAAACAAAAAAGACAAAAAAAAAAAAAAATTCTTAAAAAAAAGAAAGTGTTGGACCAATAAACCCTTCATGTTCTAGTCCGAAAGATGCCCCTAGGTCCCCAGGGGTCTTGAGTGTGTCCTAGACCCCCACCAACCACAGTTCTGTCAGCTGGATTCCCTCTCCTCATTAACTCCATAAATATTTACCAAGCATCAGAGCTGTGCTAAGCACATGTGCCTCAGACCCTGGTGGGACAGATAGAGGATACCCAGCAGTGAGGTCAGCATGCTGGGGTCCAGGCCCACCTTTGCATGGAACACCTGCGTGGCCATAGCCAATGAACTGACCTCTTTAGGCGTCTGTTTCCTCTCTTGTGAAATGGGGGGAATAAGCCTGGTTCCTCATCAGATCCAGTCAGGGGATGTCTGCCAAGCAACACCCGGTGAGCAGTGAAAATGCTCACTAATGCACAGCAGAAGTACATAGGAGGAAATGCAAGGAACAGGGCTGGGGGTGCACTAGATAGCTGCTCACTGCTGGCCCCCTTTGTGTACCTGCTCCAGGACATGAGGACCTACTTCCTGAACCTGAGCCAGGCGAATGCACAGGATAACCCGCACTGGGAGCTCGAGTACAGGCTGACTGAGGCCTACGGGGTGCCAGATGCGAGCGTCCGCTCCATGCAAGCGATAGCAACTAGCATAGCTGGTGACCAGGACAAGCTGCAGCGCTACTACGTCTACAACTCTGTGAGCTACGACACTACAGCCTGTGGTGAGACCTGCCGTACGGAGTTCTTGTGTGCCACGCAGGAAGTGGACTTTGATGCCTACGACACCTGCCTGAGGCACACCAACGCCAGCCCCAGGCTAAGGGGCCTGCTGGTCTTGTTGGCCCTGCTGCTGGGCCTGCGGGCTCTGCTTGCACCCTGACCTTGAGCACCACCCTCCCCTTGTGGGGCTAATTCCCCTGCCAGTAAGATGGGGTGGCATCACCCCCATAACTGCTGATTTTGCCACCATTTCCCTGTGTCAGAGGAGAGTAAACTGGAATGGGACTGGCGAGATCAGGAAATGAAGTTCCAAAACCCTTCTGGAAGCACATTTCTTTCAGGTTTTGGGTTTTATCTGCAAAATCAATGTGTGTAGTGCATCTTGTTCTGTGCATTATTCCTTTTAATATATAAAAGTTTAAATCAGCTCACTCTTGGTTATTAAACTGTCCTCTCTTTGCTCTGGAGTACTCTCTTAATCTATCCCCAGCTCAAGGACCACACTTGAGCACATGCAGTTTGCAAAACCCCCACACTGATTGCCACTGTGCCTATCTAAGGGATTGTTAACTGCCAACAAACCAAAAGTGTATTCCACAACACAAAGCAATGCCTGCTAGTTTTCTACCTCTGAATCTCTTCCCACACCAGTCAAATGACAGGTAGGAGTTCAAAAGGGTGATGGCGCTTAGTCACCCAAATGGCACTGGTGAGCGTCCTAAGAGAAGGTCAGATGGTTATTTCATTAGCCCAATACAATCGGTGGGGACAGCAGATCCCTGGAATGCTCTATCCAGTCGGAAACCAGACAGAGGCCAGCAGCGTCCCAAACCTTTTCTTTTTCACCCACAGAAATATTTATAGCAGCTAATTCCATAAACAGGAAAGGGAGAATTCCCAGGTGCAAAAGTATCCCTGGCAGCTGCTGCAGTGTTCCTGGAGTCTTGATGATAGGTTTAACTAGCCACAAGCAGTCAGGTCCTCCACCCCCACCCCCAGCGCCTGTGGTCTGGCCAGTAGGAAACCAGATCAGACCTCTCAGGAGCCAGAACACACCTCTGGTCGGCCATTCCAAAAGTGTGATGGGCCTCTGGGGTCCATAAACTCAGGTCCCTTTGCTTACTGCTGACCAAACCAAAGGAAGCCATTTATTTTGGTGAAAAGGAGAAAGGGTTTATTCAAAGTTAGCTCCCAGGAGATGCAAGGGCTTCCCTTGCTCCAGAGGGGAGAAGGGATGTAAGCGGACAACTCTGGATTTGTTTCCTTTGCCTGGAGCCCTACCTCAGGGCCTGCACTTGCATATTCTCCCTGTATATCTAGGCTGAGAAGGAGGGGGCATTTATGCCCTAGGCATCAAAAGGTCCAGAAAAGCCATTTGTCTCTAAAATAAATAATTTTTAGCTTTTTGTTGTGCAGTTTATAAGTTATAGTGCTTGCTAAATTGGAATGATACCGAGAAGATTAGCATGGACCCTGTGCAAGGATGACACGCAAATTTGTGAAGTGTTCCACATTGAAAAACAAAAACAAAGATAACAGTTATAGCTCTAGTTCTAGCCTCAGGGCTGTTCCTAGCTATAGTGCCTATAAACCCAGCAGTCTGGCAAGAGGAGGCAGGATTACAAGTTTGAGCCCGGCCCGGGCGATTTAATGAGCCCTAGTCTCAAAATAAAAATTTAAACTGGGGGTGGTGGTACATGCCTGTAGTCTCAGCATTCTGGAAGCCGAGGCAGGAGGATCCCTGAGAGTTTGAGGTCAGCCTGGGATACACAGTAAATTTCAAGACTAGCCTTAACTAGATGACATGACTCTATCTCAAAGCACCAAACAAAAGCAAAATACATTTTAACAGGGGAGCGGGGCGCGGGATGTAGCTCATTGCGAAGGTCCTGGGTTCAACCCTCACTACCGTTACAAAAAAAAAAAAAAAAGCCGGCTAAGCGAAGAGCTTCAGTCCTCCAGGTCGCTGCAGCTCCACAGGGCTGGGCTAGGAGACCCCAAACGCTGCGCCGAATCAGGGGGCCGGGTCGACCGCGCCCTCGCTCCGCCCCGGACAGGGGCGGGACTTCAGGGCGGGACAGGGAAGTCCCGCCCCTCTGACCCGGCCTCCGGGTTGCCCCAAGGCTACCACCGCGCCTTCGCGTCCCGGGACCCGGTCCTGAGGAAGGCGGGAGGGCGCCGAGGCGGGAGGGCCATGCCCTGGTCGCCCCGCGCCGCTCTCCTCCGGGACCTGGTCTTGGGCGTGCTGGGCACCGCCGCCTTCCTGCTCGACCTGGGCACCGACCTGTGGGCCGCCGGGCAGTACGCGCTCCGCGGCCGCTACCTGTGGGCCGCGCTGGTGCTGGCGCTGCTGGGCCTCGCCTCGGCCGCGCTGCAGCTCTTCAGCTGGGTCTGGCTGCGCGCCGACCCCGCCGGCCTGCACGGCCCGCAGCCCCCCGGCCGCTGCCTGGCGCTGCTGCACGTCCTGCAGCTCGGCTACCTGTACAGGTGAGCGCCCCGCCCCGGGGAGGGCTCGGAGGCGACCCGCGCCGCGGCTCACGTGCGGCGGCCGGAAGGGCCGCGGCCGGAAGCGGCGCCCCGCAGGTGAGCGGCCGCCGCCCGGGGCCGCGCAGCACTCACTTCCGGCCCGGGCGGAGAAACTGAGGCACGGGAAGCAGGAAGGGGTTCTTGGGCTTCGGAGTCAGACTTCCCTGGGGCCCAACTCCGGCGACACCGACTGTGACTTACTTTCTGCCTTTCTCCCAGCCTCAGTTGGCGCCTCTGAAAGGAGCAGCCCGGCCTGGCAGGCGGGAGGCTTGTACCTTTCCGCTGTGGGTTGGGTCTTGGGCAAGTCCGTGACCTTCCCAGGCCTCGTCGTGCCAGTGTTGGTGGTGGTAATGCCAGACCTGTTTTCTGAGGATTAAGCAAAATGACACCTGTAAATTCCCCTGGCACGAGCATTTGACAAATGTCAGCTAGCTCCGTGCTACCTGGGCCACCCCGTTCTGCCGACTCCACTCCCCGAGCAATGCTTGTTCCCTCCTTCTTTCCTTTCCTTTCTTTTCCTTTCTTCTCCTTCCTTTTCCTTCCCTTCCCTTCCCTTCCCTCCCCTTCGCTCCCCTCCCCTCCCCTCAGCCCAGGGAGTAGGCTTTTTAAAAAATTATTAACTTTTTGGTACCAGGGAATTGAACTCAAGACCTTGCACTTGCCAGGCACTTGTGTCGCTGAGATGTACCCCGGCCCCTCTTTTATTAATTTAATCTAATTTAGCCTTGAGTTCGATTCCTGGTACCATGAAAAAAAATTAATTTAACTTGTTCCTTGGGACAAAATTTTGTTAAATTGCCTAGACTGGCCTCAAATTTACAATTGTCCTACCTCAGCCTCCTGAATAGGTGGGATTACAGGCTTGTGTCACCACACCTGGCCCCTCACACCCTTCCTTTACCATTTGGCAGCTTCTTCCTGAACCTTTTGCTTCCCTTTCTCAGAATGAGGGTAAACATGGGTGATGAATACAGCCAGGGCTGGACACAGACCAGGTTTTGGAAAATGTGTGTGGCCTGTGCTTTTCAGAACTGTCAGGGTCCCATAAAGATGGAGACATTTAAGTGTGTTTGAAGTGATGGGGATATTTTGAGTAGGAGTAATAGAAATGTTTCTTTTACTGTAGGAAGAAGAAAAAGATGGAGAAACTGAAATCATGGGGTTAGAGTCATGAGATAAAGTCAGGACATCTTGTGTGGTATGGGTTGGTGTGGCTGGAGGCAGAATCTGCTCCAGAACCCCTTTGTGAGTTTCCTCCAGAAAGCTATCTGGAGTCTCCAGCTGTGGGAAGAGGAACTTTGAATATTGCTGTTTTGCTTGAGGGTGCTAAGACACCAGTGAACCCCGGGAGGGTCCAAAGGGTCACAGCAAGAGGAGAGCCCCACATTCCTGGCTCCCTCCTGCGTCTTCCTGTCTCCTGTTTCTGACTAGCTTTGGGTTTGAAAACAGGCTCCCTGTTCCTGCCCAGGCTAAGGTGGGGTCCTGTGCCTTAATATTATCAGGCCAGGCAACAGCAGTCAATGTGCTGACTGGATTTACAGTGGGCAAATGGGTCAGATGAGATGAGTTCTGCGTGGGGAAGACTCGGTGCCTTCTCCACGCCCCCCGCTCATGCCAGCGGCTCTCCCAAGGACTTTTTCTGGTTTCCTTCAAATCTGTATCAGTCTGTCCCTACCTTTCCAGGCCAGGCTCTCACCCTTTCTCCTCAGGTGTTCAGGGGTCTGCTGCGTGGTATCCCTACTTCCACTCTAACTCCACCGACCCTGACCAGCATGTTCTGCAGGCTGAAGCACATTCTGCCCCTGGCTGGCCCTTGCTCAGAAGCTCTCTGTAGTATCTTTGCTGTGGGGCCCTAGGAGATTTTATTTTTGTATGGGGGGATTGAACTCACTACCTCATGCTTGCCAGGCACTTATGCTGCTGAGCTAAATCCCTGGCCTGAGATTATTTTTCTGATACCAGGAATTGAACTCAGGACTTCCAACTTGCCAGGCAGGCACTGTGCCAAGATTTTTACACATAAGAACATTGAGGACTGTCTTGGACAAACTTTACAATCCTGATTACCCAAGTTGTTAGCTTTTTGATGCTTTTCCTCTTCTGTAAATGGGGCTCTTAAGAGAAGTTAACAGAACGAGAATTGTGATACGTTTGGGCTGGCGGGCACACAGCAGAAGTTGCACTTACCTCCATTTTACAGGTGAGGAAACGGCTCAGAGAGGTTAGGGGCTTGCCCAGGCCCCTTAGCATGTATGTGATAAGCTAGGATTGGAGCCTGTCCTCCTAGACCAGATGAGTGGGAGCCTGGGGACTGCACAGGACGCTGACCTGGACTTGTGGGCTTTTGTGTGTGCCTAGGTGCCTGCAGGGGCTATGGCAGGGGCTGTTGGTGTGGCAGCAGGCGACGCCCTCCGAATTCGACTTGGCCTACTCTGACTTCCTCTCCCTGGACATCAGCATGCTGCGGCTCTTTGAGACCTTCTTGGAGACGACGCCACAGCTCACACTGGTGCTGGCCATCATCCTGCAGAGCGGCCAGGCTGAGTACTACCAGTGTGAGTGCACCAAATGAGATACACAGAGCCTCTGCCTACCGGGTGATAAGATTGTAAAACAAGTGGTTACAGTAAGTGGTGAGAGATCAAAAGAGGGAGAAGCAGTGGCAGAAGCTGGCAGAACCTCCTAAGCCATGGGGGAGGCTTGTACAGTGAGGAGCCTTGGAAGAGTTTCCCCTAAAACAAAAGTGACTTGTCCCAGAGCCGGCCAGTGGCCAAGGTAGAACTCCATCTCACATCCGATTTGGAGTCCAGGGCCTTTTCTTGGCCTTCAGTACCCCTGCTCATCTCAAGGCTCTCTGCAGTACCTGCCTGGTTCTCACCTGCCATCACATAGAGTGTGACCCTACTTCACACGAGGAAAGAGGCGTACACAAGTGACGTGATTTGAGTTGGGCCACTCAGCACTCACATTTGTTTGTTTTTGTGGTTTGGGGAATGAAACTCCTGACTTTGTGCTTGCCAGGCAGGGCTTGTACCCCTGAGCTAAATCCTTAGTCCTTGCTTTGGTTTTTTGAGACAGGGTCTCACTATGTAGTACAGGCTGGCCTTGAACTCATGGAAGTCCTCTTGCCTCAGCCTCCCAGAGTGCTAGGATTATAGGCATGTGTCATATCCAGCATCCACATAGTCTCATTTGTCTATCTGAAGGTAGTGTCTAGGACCAGGGCCAATTGGAGGCAGACTATACTACTGGGCTGCGTGGGAAGAAACGAATTTTTCTCACGTACTTATTTATGCCAGGTACTGGCATAGGGAGTCCAGATGAGCAGACTCTGTTTCTACTCTCCAGGAGCTGAGAGGCAAGGAAGTAGTTTACTGTAATTTTAACAGTGTGATAAGACTCCAGGCAGAGGTGGGTGGGTATTACCAGGACACTTGACACAGCAGAGCCATTGGAGAGGGGCTAGGTTAGGTGACCCAGGGGATGTTCAGGCTGGGGGCCAGGTGAGGAGGGCGTGGGCCCCTGGGCAAAGTTTGTGAGGTCCGAGAATGCGGAATGCTGGGCACACTGGAAAGAACATCTGAGCTAGAGCGAGGATAGTTAGTGTGATGACCACAGATCTGATGCCAGGCTGGAGTGGGTTCTGGGTACTGAATAGGTTCCCAGTTAACCTCTGTTGAGTGAGAAAGGAGCAGGGAAGCTTTTTAGGGTGATCAGTGAGGAGGTGGGGTGAGACCTCTACTATAAACCTCTAGATCCGGGAAAATGAAGACCGGGGACCAGGTTGCATGTTAAGGGCCATGAGGGGTGAGAGGAGAACTTCTGCCACAGCAGGGCTGTTTCTCCCAGCCCTCAGGACACCCTGGGCTCTTCTGTCCTTACTTCTGTCCAGGAGGAAGGGGGAACTTGGACTCTGCTGATTTTCAGATCTGAGAAAGGTTTGGCTTTTCTGGGGGAGGAAGCTCTAGGAGATGCTCGGGATGCAGCCAAGGCCTCCTGGCTCAGGGTGCCAAATGCTGGGTGACTGTGAGTCAACACCCTCATCCTTGGAAGTGTCACAGGGTGGCACCTGACCGTGAAGCATCGTGGGGTAGGGCTGGCTCTGTACTCGAATCCCTGCTCTGTGTTTGGTAGGTTGTGTGAACTCAGCAAGAATATTCTCTTGCTGCCGGTTTCCCTTCCACAAATGGGGATTCTAAAACCTACCTCAAGGTGGCTGGGAGGGCCCTGAGGGTGCCTGTGAGCCCCAGGGGTGGGCCAGGTAGGCTACCCACAGAGCTCATCTGTTTGCTCTTGCTCCTCTTAGGGCTTGGGGTTGGCACGTCCTTCGTGAGCATCTCATGGGCACTGTTGGACTACCACCGGGCCCTGCGTACCTGCCTTCCTGCCAAATCCCGCCTGGGCTGGACTGCTGCTGCCATCTACTTCCTGTGGAACCTGCTGCTGCTGTGCCCCCGACTCCTGGCTGTGGCCCTGTTCTCAGCCCTCTTCCCCCAGTACATAGCCTTGCACTTCCTGGGCTTATGGTTGGTGCTGCTGCTCTGGGTCTGGCTTCAGCGGACAGACTTTATGCCGGGTCCTGCCTCTGAGTGGCTATACCGGGCGACAGTGGCCACCATCCTCTATTTTTCTTGGTTCAATGTGTCTGACGGCCACACTCGAGGCCGGGCCACCATCCACCTGGTATTCCTCCTGAGTGACAGTATTCTACTGGTGGTCACCTGGGTGATTTATGGCCCCTGGCTGCCCACTGAGGTCTCATTACACATGTGGCTAGCTGTGGGAGGCATCAGCTTCCTTGTGGGTCTGGCTTTGCGCCTTGGCTACTACCACTGGCTGCACCCTAGCTGCCGCTGGGAGCCTGATCCAGTGGACAGAACTCGGGTGGATGGGCCCCGGAGTTTATCTCCTTGCCAAAGTCATCAGCTGCTTGGGAACAGACGCATGACTCACTTGGCTCAGAATTTTTTCCCTAAAGCTAAGGATAAAGGTGTTTTGCCAGGGAAGGGAAAGGTAAATGGGGTCCTTTAGGCAGCACAGACCCAATGACGGGTTCACCGTGTGAACAAGATGAGAAGGGCTAGCATTAGAGGGTCAGTGGTGCCAATTACATACAAGCCACGTTGGCAGGAATGAAGACTTTTCTCAACCAGTACAGCTGGTGCACCCAGAACTTCCCATTGTTGGTATTTTCACCACCCTGGCCAGGCACCTTTCAAGTGGTGGAAGTTCTGTCCTATCCTTTGCTTCCTCTATGCCAGGCTAAAAGGCCCCAGGAGTTTTCCAGACTCCTTCCCTGTCCTACCCCATTCATTTAATTTATTAACAAATGTTTACTGAAAGCACTATGTGCTACGAATAGCATTGTAATCTTGGCACCAGTGCCGCTCTAGCTTCATCCCTACCCAATCAAACCAGTTCTGGGTAGGAGTTAAAAGGCTGGAAGCCAGAACACCCAACTCTAGGTAGCCTGTCAGCAGCTCCAGGGTCTTCATGCTGCTGGCCCAGCTCTGCACCTGTTCTCTAGAGGCTGTCTTTCAACCAAGTGCCTTGTGGGCCTGCAGTCTGGGCCATGCACAGCCTGTTGGGTATTTTTACTCTAGCCAATATACCTTCTACCTCAGAGTCCATTTAGATGGAAGAATGTGTCACTGCAAGTGAGGACACATGTGGCACATGTTTGACAGTATTATAAGGTTATTAAAACCTCACAAAATCCAAGGTCTGTGTCATTCAATCTAGCACTGCTGGAGAGAAGGGATAGGAACATGAAATTCTTTGAAATTGGTAAAGGCCATTAGAGCAGTAAGAAGACTGTCTTAGGAAAAACAAAATAAAAAGGCTATCTTAGGTGACTTTTTATCCTTGTTTTCCAAGTTGTAGGTGCTAGGTGAACTCCATGCAATTTTTTTTGTTTTATTTTTTGTTTTTGTTTTACTACCAGCTCTGCTGTTGGGCCAGCAAGGGTAGCCATCAGCGTCTTTGGGACTAAGAATGAGAGACCAGGTAGACAATGGTGTCTTTTCTCATTGCTGGGGCAAAATACTTAACACCCACAAATTAAAGGAAAGGCTTATTTTGGTTCACAATTTGTAGAGGTTTTAGTCCAGTCACCAGGCTCCAAGGCTGAATGGCATGGTAGAGGACAAAACAGTCCATAGTATGGCAGGCAGGAAGACACTAAAGCAGCAAGCAACGTCAAAGCAAGTCTCCCTTTTCACCATCTCATCCAGGCTACAAGGCTTTTGGGTGGTGCCACTGACACCCAGAACAACACTAAACCAACCAGTGGGCTAATCCAGTTATCACCCTTAACACATAGTACAACCCCATAGTCCACACTGACACATCTTCCGATCAGCTCCCAAAAGCTGCCAGCGCATGTGTTGGGCAAACACAAGCCATCATAACCTGTCAAGAGCTCTGTGAAGCCAGTTGCAAGGTGGTCTATAGGATTTGGATGCAAACAGTGGTTCCAGGAAGGTTTAATCTTTTGCAGCTCTGGAGGTCTAGGGTTGAGTAGGGAAGGGCTGCTGAAGGAAAAGGTTTCAGTCACCACTGTGATGGGATTCATGATAGTTCTGTTACTCATTTGTGTAGTGGAGACAGTAAATAGGATAAGTAAACATTCAGTTTATCAGGTAGTATGACATGCTAGGAAGGTGAGAGGGAGTTATTTTCATGTTGGGAGTGACAACCCTACAATGTCCAGGGAAGCCTCCCTGAGAAACCATCTCAACAGAAGAGCCAGGGAGCCATGTCAGCAGTGACTGGCCTGTGGCCTATAAATGAGATACACAGCAGAGCATGGGGTTACCATTTGGCAGCTTGAATCATTTGGGGAAAGAATGTTGTAAAAAATAACCGCCAGGTCTCATTTTCATTGTCTCATAGAAAGTAGTTGATGTGACAAATCAGGCCAAATCAAAGGTCTGCTATCTATCTTTCTAGAAAACTCTTCACAATCCTTAGGAAGCCCTGCTTGGGACCCTACATGGGTTGGGCAATGGGGGTGATCTATTCAGAAAAGACAACTGGAAAAAAACTGTATAGAAAATAAAAATTTTATTTTTTCAAGTTTATAAGATAGTTCCCATTACATATAATGTTATGGTCAAGGATCTACAGCCACGAATGCCCGCAGTCACATAAATATATCCAACCCAATCAATGCCTTTTCCTGCCAACAGAGGCATCTGAAGTCCAGAGGGAGTCACGTCCTTCCCGGAATGGCTCCATCAGTGCATTAGGAACTTGCTAAGGAACCTTGCTTGCTAGGGCTGGCGCAGAGCAGGGGAAAGGCCAGACAGCCTGCTGGTGGGGCTGAGATACAACCAGGTCTTTCCCTCTTGTGGTTAAGGTGTTTTAGAGTGCTCAAGAGAGGCCGACTGTGCCGCCTTGGAGTGGAGAGCAAGAGGGAGGCCAAGCTCACTTCCTGGTCTAGACCACTGCTCTCCCACAAGAGGAAGCCATGTGCTCTGCTCCGTCAGTTCAGTGGCACTGACACCTATTCAAGATAGTGGTGTCCCAGCTCCATGTGCTGCAGCTGGAGATTGCCAATGAGATTCTATCTGGGAGCTGTGAAGCTGAGTTTGTGTAAACTGCCAGTACACCATGGCGAGAGTCTCTTGGGATGCTAGTTTGCCTCACAACTTGCAGAGCAGAAGAAAGGCGCCCCCCATCCCATCAAACAAAAGCCTGAACAGGCAGCTACGTGTGGAGGAGGCGTCTACTCTCCTGGTCACCACCAGTTGCCCCCAGAAGAACAGAACAGGATGATGCTAAGGCACAAGTTTACATTCGAAAGTCAAGCCACCTCTTATCCTAGGACACATTTGATACCCCGATAGCCACTAGACAGCCTTGGCTATGAGATGTCCAGACACACTCAGGAACCCTGGTGCAGGGCTGAGGAAGGACTCATTTGGCCAGTTTTGTAGGCACTTGTTCTAATAAAGGGGGCCTCCTCCTGCTGAAAAGACCCACAGTACCCTTGGCCACAGCTTCCAACAGCTCTTGATGTTACCCACTCATCGTCCTTCTAGGTGTCTCTGCCAGGAAGGAGAAGGTGGTGAGAAGGGCCGCTTTCCCTGGACAGATACCTAGGATAGAGCCAGGAAGCTCCCACTGTTTGCCCTCTGAGAGTGGCAGCTATCAGAATGAACACAGGCTACTTAAGTCTCCTTGCCAAGTTTAAGTCCCTTTTGAAGAAAGAGCTAAGCTGAGAAGTCAGGGCAAGAGGAAAAAGGCCATGAACAGGAGTCCAAGTCGTATTTCTTTGCTGCAGGCAGGGAAAGTGTGTTTGTGTGTGTGTGTATGTGCAGGACATGCACATGTGCGGGGTACTAGCCCATAGTCCAGGACCAACAGATGGCCTTCGTCCAAGGTAAGAAATAGCGATGCTGGATATGGGGTGGATCTGAGGAATGAAAGTAAAATCCATCCAGAGCTGCTAAGACCTGGTGGGTCTGCCTCAGACTCCTCCTTCCATCTCATCTCACCTGGGAACAGGGCCAAAGTGGTGGCTAAGGATGCACGCCAATTTCAGCTCCTCTCCCAAAACATTTCTCTTAAACTATGAGTCATGAGGCACTTTCCCTTCAGCTCTGAAAGAAATGTCTGCACCAGCTTCTATTGCTATATGGATGACCTCGCTTGCCCTGTGCAGCCACCTCTTTGGGGATAAGCAGTTAGAACAGGGGTTGATCAAGGAGCTCGTTCTCATTGACAACCAAAGCTGCATCTCTGAGGCACTCACACAGCAGCCTCTCTGTGTATCTGGGAGATACAGTGCCTCAGCCTGAGGAGCTCTATCTTGCCTAAGCAGGTGCCTGGGATGTTCCTGGAGGGATCAGGCAACCGGCACACAGGGATAGGATAGGCAGTTGAGACAAGGGCCCTCGCCTCCACCCAACTTCCCAGGGGGCATAAAGGGAGCCAGCACCCTTATTTAAATCAAGAGTTCTGCCCTTCCCATTGCCAAATGGGAGTTGAGGAGTAAGGTGTTTTATGGGGAACTGGTTTTTGATTAGAGCAATCTGCACTCCACTTCCAGGCAGAGAGCTGGGTAATGCGATGCCTAGGGTACCCATCATGTGGCTGAAGGGCTTCCTCAAAGGAAGTAGTAAGAAGCCTGTCATTAGACTTTACTTTGACTCCTTGGGCAGGGAGTGCCCAGAGCTGAGGTCAGAGGACAGCATCTTCTAGGAAAGAGGCTGCAGGGTGAGCTTATAGTGGGGAAGGGTGCTTCTCTGCAGGAGGAACAGGCAGAATCTTCCTGACTCAAAAGCCAAAAATCCTGAAATTCCTAAGAAGCCCAAGGCCTTTCCAGTTTGGAGGTGAAGCCTCCTGGAACATAGTCTCTGAATGAAGAGTCACGCTGAAAGCATTTAAAAGGAGTTTCCAAGGATGTATTGTTGGTTAAAGGGGAAGAGGGACTGGCAAGGGGACTAAGGCTTCTAGGATAGGAACTGCCAAAGTTTGAAGTTTATCAGTGTCCAGTGCCCCACAAGCGGAAGGGAACATTCGAGAAAGCAGACCACTGGAGCAACTAAGGAGGTGCTGTGGCCACAGAGAGGTATTTCCAATATTTCATTTACTATTTCCACAGAAACTTTCTATGCCTTTTTCTTCCTAAAAACAGAAAAGTGGGGAAAACTTGCTTTCGAGACCAGACCTTACTTATAAAAATAACATACACATTCCTTGAAAAAAGTTCTGTAGCTAAGGAGATCTCAAAAGACTGCAGGAGACAGACATAAAACTCTACTGCATTTCCCCTACCATCATCAGTTAAGAGAGCACTCAGATTGGCCACAGACTAAGAGTCCAACTCTGCCCCAAGAATTGCCTTTTCTTTTTCTTCACTTTTTGGAAACAAAACAGAAGAATTAAAAGCACTGTAGTTGCAGTAAGTCTACTGTTGTCTCTATTCCAATGTTGCCTGCTTCTGTACAAAGACGAACACCAGGCTGCAGTTCACTCTTAGCAAAAATGGTAGCGTTGGTTCTGATTGTGTTCTCGCCAGCATTCCATGGACAGAAAGAAGTGGGCAAAGGGGGTAGGTGAGAGAAAGAGGGAGAGGAAAGGGCGGGGGAAAATGTTCCAAGTTCCCAGGTGGATTTGGCCTCTGGCTCCCTTCAGGAGTAAAAAGGAGCTCACGAGGAAGGCCCTTCATTCCAGTTCTTAGAGAAAATCAAGCTCCAAAGCCTGGTGAAGAGACACTAGGTCTCCGTGGTTTGTGATCCTCCAGAAAGGCATGTTGTGCTGGAAGAGAGGGAGGACAGTAGGTTAACCCAACTTGTTATGAAGCTTGTGCTTGTCCATGTCCCTTCCTCCCTGGGGTGCTTGCTAACTACTGCCCACCTCACAGTGCTGTCACAAGGTGACATGAATCATCTATATGAACAAGGACTTTGTACATTATAGAACACTGTACAAATGTGAGAAATATTTATTAGGTTTCAGTGGTTTTGACATATATCTGTCATATATAGCACTTATATATAGCATAACTCTGTGCTTTTGACATATATCTGTTTCAACTATATATAAGGTCTTTGCAATCAAAATGGCTAAGAAGTTAGGCCAGGGATCTGGCTCAGAAGTGTAAATGCCTGCCTGACAAGCACAAGGTGGTGAGTTCAATCCCCGATACCACCAGAAAAAAAAAAAAAAGGCTAAGAAACACTAATTTGTCATAAAAATAGTAAAGTACAAAAATCTTAGTAATCTTTTGTGCATTTGGTTTCCTTTCCTTCTCCTATTTTTATATAAAGAATAAGATTACTTTTAGTGTTAGTATAAGACTACATTGTCTTGGAGTCAGGCAACTTCTTGTAACTTCCAGAGCTACAGGGTCTAAGTCTTTTTTTTTTTTTGAGACAATCTGGCTTTGTAATTCAAGCTGGCCTTGTGCTAAGTAACCCAGGCTGCCTTATTTTATTTTTCTCTTTTTGAGACAGGCTTTGAGCTCACTTTGTAACCAAGACTGGTCTTTAACTTGCAAAGATCCTCCTGCCTCAGACTCCCAAGTACTGGGATTACAAGTGTGCACTACCAGCCTTGGCTCCAGGCTGGTTTCAAATTCGTAGTGACTCTCTTGCCTCAGGCACATGAGTGCTGGGATTACAGGTGTGCACTACCAACCCTGGCAGGGTCCAAGTCTTGTCCATGTCCAAAATGTAGGACATACAGATCTGAGAAATAATTTCATCATATTATATGGTCAGAATCTTGTCAAGAATACTGTGCTTGTTCTAAGCTACAAATTCAAAGGAGAGTTTCAATAAACCAAGAGTTATAAATCATATTTATGAAGTTAAAGATTTTATTGATTGTCTTATTCAAAGTGGCTGTTCAAGTTACTCAGAACACTGAGGTCCTAGAATATAGTTCATTGGACATGTTTTTTTTTTTTTTTTTCATAATATAAAGACAAAGCAGAATTCCTATCAGGAATGCCAGACTACGACCAGTATGTAAAAGAGAAATTTTTGCTCAATGGAAGGAGTGACACCTTAATCCGCTTCTATAACCTCATGGTGGAACAGGCTATCTTGAATCACAGACTTTATCTTTGGGTATGCTCATGCAACAACTAGTTTCCTGTCAGGCTGCAGGAAAGATTCCCTCACAGGGATTGAATGAATAAAGTATTAAGAAATTTTCCAATTAGTATACTTTAATATTTTTGGCAGTGCTGGCGTTGAACCCAGAGCCTCATGCATTCTGGGCAAGTGCTCTATTACTGAGCTACACCCCAAGCTCCAGTGGGTGTATTTTATGGTAGGTGGTGTTATGGTTGATACACACTGGGTCAACATGAGAAACCCAGGAGCTTAATTAAGTGACTAAGCAGCTCTACATCCTGAGGAGTAGAGGACAAGCCATTACCACTCTAGGCTATTGGTCATTGTGTTAATTGGAGAAGGTCAGAAATTTAATTAAGAAACTTAACTGATTCAGCAGGGAGCCAGCCTTACTTTGTAACATCCTCAGCCCATACAAAACAAGGGCACACAGATAGTGTCAGTACGACACCCACCGGAGGGCACAGCCTGCTTACAGTATAAAGGAAGAAAAGGGGCTTGCTCTTCCTCTTTTGCTCTTGTTCCTTTGCTGTCTTCTTCCTTGGAAGTGTTGCCCCGTGCCATGACACTCTGCCTTGGAGCCAGCTAACTATGGACTGAAACTTCCACAAACTGTGAGCTAAGTAAACCTTTGTTTCCTTAAGTTTGAGTGTTGTGTGTTTTGTTTCAGCAATGAGAGAAAAGTAACCAAAACAGATGGTTACCAACATCAGCTTCTAGATGCCAAAAGTCTCTGAACTACTACTTCCTATATTAAAAAGGGATGATCTTGGTTGGGACTTGTAGAGTGATGATGTTACCATCAGAACTTGAGGATTCAAAAGCAGGAAGGTCCTTTTCTACAAAAACAACTACCCATTTATTATATATATTTTCTGAAGCCTGGAAAAACCAGGATAATATGCCTTTTTGGAGTTAAGCAGGATGCTATTTAGAAGGCAATGTGATGACAATGGGTCCATTTTAGGTTAAAGTGTTTTAAGATTCTTGAGTGGCAAGGAGGAGGGGTAGAGGAGAATCTAACAACTTATAGAGAAACTCCATTTGGAGAAAAAGTGATCTTACTCTTTAAAGAAAAATAGGAGAAGAAAAGGAAACATTACAAATGCGTAACAGATTGCTAATATCTCTGTACTTTTACCATTTTTATAACTGTTTGATGTATACTACCTAGGTTATGTTCTTTACCATTGTTACCTGTTTGGCTGCAATTTCTTCATCTCGCCCATCTCCAATCACTACATATGTAACTTTTTTTCCAAACCTTGACACAATTCTCTCAAAGCAGCTCTCTTTACCTGATTTAAAAAGAAAAAAATTCCTGTTAGGATATTCCGCCTCCTCCCCCGGTAATACTGAAGAAAAGGACTGCTGCTATGTTTGCCCATCTATACTCAGGCAAGTGGCAGCCCACGTAGTTGCTTGGTGAGGAGTTAAGGTTGGCAGCCAGAGAATCTAGTGAATGTGAACTTGTGCCATTAGGCCAGCAATCACCTTTCAAAACCTCACATCAAGGATGAAATCCTTAAGATCTTGGTATAAGCCAAACGTGGTGGTGCATGCCTGTAATCCCAGCACTCAGGAGGCTGAGGCAGATCATTGCAAGTTCAAGACCAGCCTGTGCTACAAAGTGAGCTCAAGGCCAGCCTGAATTGCATAGTGAGACCCTGTCTCAAAAACAAAACAAAACAAAACAAAAACAAACAAACAAAAACTTGGCACAGGTTACTTCTTAAAATGAGAGGTGATAGGCTAGGCTGTGTGAAAGCAGTGAACATTACTTCCTTCTGCTGTACTTTACAGCTTACAAAGTACTTTTATTATTTTTTAAAAATTTATTGATTTTTACTTATTCTTTCATTAATTCTCAAGATAATCTACTGTGACATACCATTCCCCACTTTACAGTTGTCAATGGGACTTAAGGTTTAGTGACTTGTCCTAGATCCCAAACAATTTGAACGAAGGGAGCCTGACTAAAATCCAGCTTCCAGCCTTTGTGCCATGAAAAAAAATTTTTTTTTCTTTTTAAAGAGAGGGTCTAACTGTGTGCTTTATCCTGGGCTTGAATTCACACTCCTCTTGCTCCTGCCCTTCACGTACCTGGGGTTCAGATGTGCAGCACATTGAATAGTATCTTCAGAGAAACACTTTAAGATAGGAAAAAGAAGTGGAAGCTTAAGGGCTGGATTTTTTTTCTAAAATAAGTTACAGGAAAAAAGCTATTTTCCTCCTAATTCTTCATTTTCCAAAAATGGTCCTAGGCATGGGTCTTTTTTGGGGGGAGGGGGTCGCTTAGAAGCTCCAGAAGGGAACAAAGAAAATGACTAATTAAAATGATAGCAACATACTACACTACACACTACACTCTGGAAATACTGCATCAGTAAGACTGGCAGTGGGAAATGAGTGATTTAAATCCACCTCAGACAGTCCTGAATTTTGAGGCCAGGGTATCAAAATCAAATCCCATCTGGAACTAACACCCAAGACATGCACAGATGATGATACTGTGGGAAAGGCAGCCTTTTATAAATACAAGGAAATTATACCCCTTGCACTTTCCTTACCATCTCTTGTACTACATATTTCTCTGCTCTTGCCTGCTTCTTCAGTTAAGCAAAACCCTAACTTTGCTCCCTTCTTCATCCTGCTCTATTAACTTCATTCTTCCATCTTGCCAAATACATGGACTTAGCACTACCTGCTTTCTGTGTCAGTAAAAGTACCTCCTTCTCAAGACACTTGACAGCCACCTACTGGAAACTGACTGTAACACACATACAAAGACTAAGGACTACAGCAAATCCCAGAATTTCCAGATAGGAATGGACTTCGAATTACTAAGACCCAGCAAAAGGAACATCTCATTTAAGGATGAAGACACAGAGACATTTTTATTGTCCTGGCAAACACTGATCAGGGATGAAGTACACTGTGGGATGTCTCCTCTAAAAGTATTAAGAGACTAAGAGAGTTTTTAATAGGTCAAGGTGAAATAGCAACTGCAGGTATATGGACACAAAAAATGACTCTGACAAAAAAAATACTTCCATGTATCTCTCAGAAGAATCCTGGATATGTCCTTTCCTGTTCAGGAGGATGAGACCAATGACCAGGCAGTTTACCAAATGTCTAGCAACTAAAGCTGGTGCACAAGACCAACTAAGCCCTTGGAGAATACCAGTTCCTGGGTTCCCACTAATAAAACCAAGGATGTTTTCAGAAATGAGAAATGATTTTATATCCAAGATCACAGAATGATCACTGAGAGAATTATCTATAGAGTCCACTGAAACAATGTATAGATCAGGAAAACAAAACTTGTATTGATATTTTATTTATTTATTTTTTGGTACCAGCAATTGAATTCACAACCCTCCATTTGCCAGGCAGGCACTTATGCTGCTAAACTATATTCCTGGCCCAGCTATTTTAATACTAAATTTATTGAGTTGGGTGTGGTGATGCATGTTTATAATTCCAGCACTTGGGGAAGATGAGGCAGGAGGATCACCAAGCGTTTGAGACCAGTTTGGGCTACACAGTGAGTTTAAGGTGAGTCTCCTACACTACAAAGTGAGACGCTGTCTTTAAAAAAAAAAAAAAAAAAAAAGAGAGGTATCATGATATTAATACAGGGTACCCCTACAATCCCAAGAAGTTCTCAAAGTGGTGGTCATTAACTTCCAGACATTTGTTAGTAGGTGAGCTCTCTCTGTATTTTTTTCATGGTATTAAGGTTTGGACCTAGCTAGGGTTCTACACATGTGAGGCACTGAGCTCTAACACTGAGCCACATCTCCAGCCCAAGAGAGCCACACTTTTGAAATCATTTCAGGGCAACTGAAATAATCCCTCCTCTTTTGCTCCCATTTCGTAGTTCTGTGAAAACCTCAAACCTCCTGCTGTGGTTTTCATGGCACTAGGTCTCACTGCAGCTTCACAAATTAGCTCTGGATAAAACAAGACTGAGGAAAATCACAAAAGAGGCACACTTACTGTCAGAAGGAAGAAAATCATTTCCAGTAGCTTGAGGAGCCAGGACTCAGTACAATGAGCTCTATGGAAAATGTACCCATAGGGTGTGGGGTGCTCACAGTGAGTGCTCTGGGCTCCCAAGAGGTGCATAGTAAGGCAGCAGTGGTGACAATGACCTGAAGGGAGCTATCAGCTCCATTTTCCTGATATCCTATGCCTTTGTAGAAAACTTCAACCATATAAAAAAATGTGTCCAGAGTCAAAACCCCAAATATCTGCATAGCTACCTACTCCCAAGAGGCTAAGGCAGGAGAACTGCTCGAGTTAGGGTGTTTAGGGCTATGAAATTTACTAATTTAACATTTAAATTTCAAAAACCATGGTTAAAAAGTACATAACATGAAATTTATTATCTTGGTCATTTTCAAATATAGAGGTCAACAGTGTTAAGAATTCTCACATTGTTATGCAACAAATTCCCAGAACTTTATTAATCTTGTAAAACTAAAATTCTAGATTCACTACACAACTCCTTCCTCTCCGCCTGCTCCTGATAACCACTATTCTACTTTCTACTTCTGTGAGTTTCACTATTCTTAGTGTCTCATCCGTCGGTAAAATCACACAGTGTTTACCTTTTTGTGACAGCCTCATTTCACTTAGCATATTATAGACAGGGCTTTTCTCTTTTAAGCTGAATGAATGTGTCCATTGTTTGGAACATCACATTTTGTTTGTCATCTACACATAGGCACTTAGGTACACTACTATGAACGTAGATGTGTAAGGTTTTTTTTTTTTTTTTTTTTTTTTTGGATGTCCTGCTTCTGGATATTTGGACACATCTCAAGACTCTGAGGCCCAATTCTTTTAGGTACTTCCCTAGAAGTGGGATTGCTGGATCATACAATAGTTCCTTTTTTTTTTTTGTCTTTTTGAGACTGGGTCTTACTGCGCGCTTTAGGCTGGCCTTAGGCTCGAACTTCAAGGATCCCCCTGCCTCAGCGTCCTAAGTGCTGGGATTACAGGGAGTGCGCCACCATGCCAAGCCAATAGTTCCATTTTAATTGATTTGAGGAACCATCACACTGTTCTCCATAGCAGCTGTATCACTCTATAATCCCAATGGTGCACAAAAGTTTCAATTTTTCCATATTTCTTGCCAACGCTTAAATTGTTTTTGAAAGAAATTTTTAAGTACATAATTTAGTTTTTGATTTTTTTTTTTTTTTTGGTCTTTTTCATTTTTTATCGGTACCAGGGATCGAACTCACGACCGCCTGCTTGCAGGGCAGGTGCTTATGCCGCTGAGCTAAATCCCCAGCCCCTAGTTTTTGATTTTTTAACCCAGTGCTTTTTCTATCACACTACATACTTTCTGTGAGGAAGAGAAATTTGACATGAGATAAAAATAAATTTCTAAACTAGAAATTATGTTCTTTCAAATATCATAAAAGAAAGCAGCATATTTATATAACCTATTAACTCTGAGGCCTTGAGCAAGCAATGTAACTGCTAAGCCTTAACTGCCTCATCAGATGACTTATATGGATATTATTACATATACAAGGTGTCTAAGAGAGGAGCTGGCAAATAATATGTTCATGAATAGAATGTTTTATTGCAAGGCCAGTGGTGAGAAAAAGAATAGAAACCATACCAATTTTGGTAGCACTATAGATGTTTTCAATAGGAAATATTTCTCCTAGTCCATAGAGGAGAACTTTGGCCAGGGCTGGAACCAGTTGGGTGGTAGTGATCAGAACATTCACACAATTCTTCCTAGAAGGGAATAAGAAGGAAAAGAAAAAACAAACAAACAAACAAAAAAACCAGATGAAATGAAACCAACCTAGGCACAAGAATTCAAATGTGCCAAATCTAGGATTTATTAAAAATTAGTCTCAAAGGGCCTGGTATTATTGTTATTACCCTTATTACTTCAAGTTTTAACTTTTGTATTAAAGGGCATAGATCTTATTTCCTGTTTTTACTGGACCCAGAGTAGCAACTTAATTCATTTATGCCTTACTTCCTTCTGATCATTCTAGCTTATTGCAACTTGGTAGCAAATACCCCTAACTCGTATCATTTATATCAAAGTTTAGAAAACAAACAACAGACAGCTCTCCATTATTGTTCTATTTAATCTGAATGGAATTTAAGTTCTGACGTTCATGTAACAGCAACTGAGATTGCAGAAGACACAGTAATTCCACATGATTCCCCCTCTAAGTGTCAGTTTTGCTGATTACTAGGCTATGGATCTGGAATACCTGCTTTGAGGGAGGGAAGAATAGGGGACTGATAAAGATAGTGCTGTATTTATTTCTCAGTCTAAGCTTTAAAGTGAAACTGCCTCAATCTGCTTAATGTAGTCTTTCTCTTGAATTTTCCCCTCTGAAGCAGGGTGGCATAATTTCTTGAAGCTTCTTCTAACTTAAGATACTGGTATAATGTGTCCTATTTATATTTGTTGATTCTCTATCTCGTAGATTAAATTTTAGTTTGTGAGCGAAAAGTAAAGGAAAATAAAGAGGGTTTCAGGTATTAAATATTTTCTTAAAACCCTCATACATGGTGATATCATAAAATGATCTTGGTTCTCATCTAAATACGTCTTTGAAGCATTTAAACATCTCTTGTCTCTATCTCAAGGTCTATTTTTAGAAAATGGTCTAGTTTTGGACTGGCAAAGAAAGAGTGTATTTCTGAGAAGATGACCTAAAAAGAATCATTTCCATACCTGGACTGGATCAGAAGTAAGGATTTTAATGCAGTTCCTAACCATGAATCTGTTAAAACTTCTATTTCTGCTCTTAATCTCTGCAGTGCTTCCTTTCTCTGGGGACTGAGGAGGCCTTTAGGAATAAAAGCAGATACATTCATCATTTGACAATGTATACTTGCTGAGTGTGATAAATCAACTTCTATATTCAATTTAGAAATAGTGTGAGTCCCAAAGTAATACATTTCTCTTCCTGGTAAAATCTTGTAATAATGCAACTCAAAATGCTATTTTGACTTTCTTCATCAAAATGTTTTGCTATGGACTGGGTGTGGTGATGCACACCTGAAATCCTAGCTCTTGGGAGACTGAAGCAGGCAAGAGGATTGCCATGAATTTGAGGCCAGCTTGGGTTACACAAGTAAATTCAAGGCTAACTTGTGCTACATAGTGAGACTCTGTCTCAACCAACCAAACAAGTTTTCCTATGGGAACACAATCATAGCAACAAGATCAACTAGTAGCCAGGTATGGTGGCACATGCTTACAATCCCAGCTACTCAGAAAGCTGAGGCAGGAGGATTGCAAGTTTGTGGCCAGCCTCAGCAACACAGTGCAATCCTGTCTCAAAATGAAATAAAAATGGATCAGCGGCTGGGTATTTGTCTAGCATGAGCAAGGCCTGGGTTCAATGTCCAAACCACAATAGAAAAAAAAAATCAAAATCAGCTGATAGAGACATTATCATTGGGCTCTGGTACAAGTGTCTTTCATCACCAACTAATATAACTGGAAAACTCAAGATCCACATTTGTGTAACACTGCTTTAAGAACCAATGAAGGAGAAATGAACACTACAGCTAAAAGAGTTCTCAGCACTTTTCCTCTCTTTCAAAGAAATCAAAGCCCACAGAGAAAAAGAGCCCCACCTAACATTATGCAGAAAGTTAGAAGGTTGTAGTCTCAGGAAGTCTTTCTACCACTGCATGTAACTTGTCAGTCTAGATTCCAGGTTAAATGATCAATCCTCTGCACTATACTTATAAAATAACTCCAGCAGATGAAGAAACTAAAACACTGTGTACAACTAGACAACTAAGCACAAAACAGAAGTCATATGATAGGAGTATCTTGCTAGACACAAACAGTAAGTCTGGCTCTGAATTTTTCTGCAGTCAAACTTTAAAAGAATACTCCATATAAACCAAAGGCATTTCTATGAGGAAGACACTGGGAGTATAATTCAGATTTACAGTTTTACAATACAAGCCTAGAACCAAGTAATTCTTTTATTTAACATTCTGGATAAAACAACAAAACCAGTATATATACTTAACTCATATATGATGTGGTATTTTTGTTACTTTTATGGTGTACAGAACATAGACATATTTTTAATTTTTTTCTCAAAGTAGGCTCAGGACACTCAGAGAGGGTTAGTTACATCATTTTCTTCAGAAAGTCAGATTTTGGAACCAGGCAGGGAAAGGATCATATGTTGTACATGAAAACTTAAGAGAAGAAAGGCCAACATCTGGGAGAAAAGAAAAGTAAAAAGACTTGAAAATTAAAAAATAAAAAGTAAAAAGAGTAAAAGCTCTGAGTCATGGGAAGAAATAAATGATAAAAAGGAGGAATCTGAAAAAAGTAAATTAGATTCCCCAAATCTGAAAGCTTATGATTTTCTCCAGCTGAAATTCCCAGGACCATGCTGAGTAAGAGTGGAGATGGTGAACATCCTTGTCCTGTTCCTGATTTTAAGAATGAAGCTTTTCAAATGTGTCCATTTAGCATGATTTTGGTTGCTGGTTTGTCATAGACAGCTTTTGTCAGATTGAAATAATTCCAATTTTTGTAGGTTTTTTTTTTTTTTTAATCACGAATGGGTGCTGAACTTTTGTCAAAGCTTTCTCTACATCTACTGAGATGATTATATGATTTTTGTCCTCAGTTACTAATATGTTGTATTACATTTATGGATTTGCATATGTTGAACCATCCTTGCATCCTCAGATGAATCTAACTTGATCATACTGTATAATACTGATGATGTGCTGCAGTCTGTTTGCCAGTATCTTATGGAGGATTTTTGCATGAATGTTCACTAGGGAGACTGGCCTATAATTCTCTTTCTTAGTTGGGTTCTTCTCTGGTTTTGGAATCAGCTATGCTTGCTTCCAGCAATGAATTTGTAAGTATTGCTTCCCTTTCAATCTCATTAAAGAGTTTGAGAAGTAGTAGTGTTAGGTCTTCACTAAATTTCTTACAGAACTCAGCAGTGAATCTGTCAGGGCCTGGGCTTTCCTTTGTTGGTAAGTTTTTAATTGTATCTTCAATTTCATTTACTGATATTTGATTATTTAGGATTGTTATATCTTCTTAATTTAGCTTTGGTAATCTGTCCATTTCTCCTGTATTTTCCATCTTATTGGAATACAAGTTTTCAAAGTATAGATGATTTTCTGGAGTTCTACAGGGTCTGTTGTGATTTTGCCCTTTTCATTCCTAACTGCACAGATGAGTCTTTTCTTTTTGGATAAGGTTGGCTAAGGGTTTGTCAATTTTATTTAATCTTTCAAAGAACCAACTCTTAGATTCACCGATTCTTTGTATTGTTTGTTAGGCTCCAGTGTTAATTTCTGCTCTGATCTTTATAATTTTCTCCCTTGTATGAGCTTTTGGTTTAGCCTGCTCTTCTTTTTCTGTAAGTCTGATTTTCAAGATTAAGTTGTTTATATGTGCTTGCTCTGTTTTCCTGATTGGGTATTTACTGCTATGAATTGCCTTCTTAAAACTGCTTTGTGTCCCACAAGTTCTGGTATGCTGTACTGTCATTATCATTCAACTGTAAAAACTGTCTAATATCTTCTTTAATTTCATCTGTGACCCACTGATTGTGAAGTAGGGTGCTATTTAATTTCCATATGTTGATGAAGTTCTTGAGGTTTCCTTTGGCATGGTTTTCCAATTTCATTGCACTGTGGTCTGATACTATGCATGGGATAATTTCAGTTCCTTTGCATTTACTTAAGCATGTTCTATGAGCCAGTATATGGTCTATTTTGGAGAATGTCCTCTGTGCAGCTGAGAAGACTGTGTATTCTGATGTTTTGGGGTGCTCTATAGATATCTACTAATTCCATTTGTTCAAAATTTTGATTTAGTTCTAGTATTTCATTATTGATTTTTTGTCTAGTTGATCTGTCTCTTTGTGATAGTGGAGTATTGAGGTCTCCCAATACAATTTTATTAGGGCTTATTTGATTTTTCAAGTCAGTTAGTAATTGTTCTATATAGTTGGGTACACTGGTATTTGATGCATATATATTTATGATTGTTATCTTTCTCTTGGATTATTCTCTTTACAAGGATGTAGTGACCTTCTTTATCTCTCTTAATCAATTTTGGCTTGAAATGAACTTTTTCTGCAAATAGAATAGCTACTTCTGCTATTTTCTGTGTTCCTGTTGCATGGAATATTATTTTCCATTGTTTGACTTTCAGTCTATGAATTTCTTTTTGAATTACATGTGTTTCATGTATGCAGTATATTTTTGGATCTTGCTTCTGGATCCATTCTGCTAGTCTTTGTCTCTTGACTAGTGAACTGAACATTGATGGTTCTAACTGGTATGTATGGACTTATCCTTGTCATGTTACTTTCTTGTTGTTCACTCCCCCGTTTTTCCTCTCACTTTAATTGTTTGCCTTCCCTGGTGAAGTCTTTCTATTGGGGTTCAGGGAAGCTCATGACTTTTACCTAGTATTAGAAGGTTATAAACAGCCAATGATATAGCTCAGTGCCACAGCACTGCCTGGCAAGCACAAGGTTCTTAGTTCGAATACTAGTACTCATTTAAAAAAAATAAAATAAAGAGGGCTATGACAGGAATGAACAAGATTGAACTTCAAAGCCCTGTTTCTACTTTCTGTACTGTGCTACAAGGCCACAAAGTATAGTACAAAGGTCTTTGAGCTGGAGGAGAGAACCTCTAGAGACTTCAGGCAACAGTTTTGTGTACATGTATCTTTGAGAGTGAGAGTTCACAATTTTAAATATTTTCTCATCAGGGTACCTCACCAAGAAAAGAAACTGAATGGAAGGGAAATGCACTGGACCAAAATCAAGTGATGTGGCAAAGCCACTAATTTGCTATGTTTTGGGGTATTTTTTGTCTTTTTGAGACAGAATCTCGCTATGTAATTCAGGTTGACACTGAACTTAGCCCAGGCTGGCCTCAAACTCACAGCAATCCTCCTCCCACAGTCTCTCAAGTATTTGGATTACAAGCATGTGCCACCATGCCAAGCTAACTCACTATGTGACAGTGGATAAAATGTCCCTTCTCCAATGAAGTATTTAGATCAGACCTCCAGTATTTCTTTTCATTTGAATAGTTTATGGTTAATCAACTCCAAAGAGCAGAATCTAATGCACATTTGAAATATTTCCAAGTGGGGAGACTTTCTGATGTATTACAAATTATAACACTTTGATATTACCTATCCGTAATTCTGGGTTGAGTTTTCCACCTACTACAAATGTAGTAACTAGTTCTATCTGAAATGTATTGATGGTACAAGATACCAGGTGCCAAAATGTGGTATAATAACTATTATTGACAGCAGCTGTGACTGAGGAATAAAAAAGTCATCAAACATTATCTATGGAACACATTTCCTTTAAAAAGCATCTGTCTAAAAAGAACAAGAGCAAGCTGGGCATGGTGGTGCACACCTCTAATCCCAACACATGGAAGGCTCAGGCAGGAGGATCATTGCATGTTTGAGGCCAGCCTCGGCTACAAAGTTGCTTAAAGTCAGCTTGAACTGCATAATGAGATCCTGTCTCAAAAAGACCAAAAAGGGGGAAAGAGAGAGAACAAGAGAGCTTTCTAAAATTATGCTAAAAGAAATTAGAAATGCAAAGTTTTCTCTATGGTTTTATTTATTCTAAAGTCCATTAAAAGTGCTGAGATTCCTCCTCAGAGGATTTTAGTTATTAGTTAGCCTTCATTTTTCTCATACAGAGTTAACATGTACACTGTGGTACAAATTCATAAGCGGTTGTCAAGGGGATCTAAGAATCCCTGAAAAAGGAAAGCAAACCACCAGAAGAGAGATTTGGGCTGGTTGGTTGCCTCACTTACCACCCACATTGCTCTTGTGTTTATCATAGATCTCTCTCACTTTTCGGTAACGGAAAGCTAGTTTTCTCATCCAGTCCACTCCGCCCTGGACACCAACTGAAGAGCCATGGCTACTGCTGCCGCCAGAACCACTGAAACCATCTGTTGAGAAACTATAGTTGCTGCAACAAGGAGGATAACGTAAATTAAAATCTATATGTCATGCAGTTTTAAAGTGCTACCTGGGCTTCTCTTGTCTTAGTATCTGATAAACAAAGCTAATGGTTTAAAAATCTTCTGAAGGTGGATATGGTAGCACATGCCTGCATTCCTGAACCACCAGAGGCTGAGGCAGGAGGATTGCTGAGTTTGAGGTCTCTGTACATCAGTCTGTCTTTAATTAGCTGTCTATGTTACTCCTATTACTTCCATCAAAGAAAGGACTGAGGGACAGGAGGTATAGCTCAGCAGTAGAGCTTGCACTTAGTATGCATAGTCTTGGGTTTGATTCTCTTGGGGAAGGGAGAGGGGAGGAAAGAGGAGGAAAGGGGATTTAGCTTAGTGACATAAGTGCCTGCCCGGCAAGCACGAGGTTTTTAGTTCGATCCCTGGTACCAAGAAAGAAGAATAAAAAAAAGAGAGAGACAGAGAGAAAGGATAGGTGGAAGGGAGGTAGAAGGGGAAGAGGGGGAAGGGGAGGAGGAAGAAGACTAAGATAAAGGAGGAGAAAGAGGAGAAAAGAGATTGAAAAAAGAAATGAAGTAGAAATAATTCAAGCACCAGCATCTCCGAGAGGTTGACTTGGGACAAAGCAACTTTATTCATTAATGCAGAGAACAGATACTACTATAGAGTGGAAAAAAGGCAGAACATGGAACTATGCAACTATGCAAATGTTTTAATTATGTGAAAAAAGGATACAAAAAGTTAGAAGGAAATAACCCAAAATGCTAATAATGGTGAGGAGATAATGGTGAAGAGATGTTTTTCTTTAGTGATCTGTTGCCTGATTTTTAGGCTTATGGATGACTGACAAGCAGTGGCTTCAAAATATTCATAAATTCCTGATACTCTTATAATTCTGCTTCCCGTTGGAATGGGGTATAACTAGAATGTAAACAAAATGTGACAAAAGTGACAGTATTTGATTTCAGAGATGATTTTTCTTGCTTGCTCTTAGAGTACTTGCTCTAGATGAAACCAGCTGCCATGTATGGACATTGAAGCTTCCCCATGGAGAGGGAAACACAGTGAGACACTAAGGCCTCCTGTCATCAGCCACAGGTGAGAGACAGGTCCCGCTCCAGTTACACCTTCAGATGAGTCCAGCTCTAACCAACAGCTTGATTTCAACCCCAGTGACTCAGATAAAGACCTCCTTAGCTAAGCTACTTTCAAATTCCCAACCTACAGAAATTGTGAGATAACTACTTACCTTTTTAAAGCTACTAACAAGGATAATTTGTTACATAGCATATAACTAATACAGCTATATAAACTGGGAAGGATTAATACTTCAAAAATACAGATTTAAAAATGAGGGACAGAATTAGAGAGAATTTGGTTCAATCCGAAGTCAAAATAGAAGTCAATGCATTAAGCATGAGATTCTGCAAGTAAATAAAAGTTGCTAAGAAATAAAATGGGAAATTATTAGTTAGCTACATGTGTAAGAGAAACAAAACACCCACAAAAACTAGGATTCAGAGTGGATTATCAACTGCTTCAACCAGGTTTCTTCCTAAAAACACCAAAAAAAAATCTCTTAAGAATAAATAGTGCCCTGCATGACTGTAGGAAGAGCAACAGGCACAACTGAACACAGCTTTTGAAAGAGAAATTTTCAACTTCAGCACTACATGAAATTGTCCTTACTAAAGTGCTCTGTCTAGGTCTACTTTGTATTTGAGAATTTGTGCATGGAATACATTTTAGGACAATCACAAGAAAGAACATTTTACCTATGAAAATGGATGAAACATTTAAACAAATTAACATGAAAATATGTAAGTCTTTTTTTCTTTAAGTATAGAGCAGATACATTTAGCTAGTACTACTGGTTCTGCAGCTAAGGGAAGAATAAAGAGACTAAGCAAGAAACCTATCACTGAGATTCCTTAGTTCACTTAAATAATACAGTGGTTAAGATATATATAGTCTTCCACAAGTTTATTCCCAATACCATAGTCAGTTTCCTCAGCAAAACTCCTGATGTTTATTTGTATCTAAAGCGATCCAGTTCACAAGCATATTATCTCCTGACTGAAAATATGTCTCAAGATGGTATAACCTTTCTTTTGGAAAGCTGTTTCTTTGTTTGTACCAGGAATTGAACTCAGGACCTTGTGCTTGCCAGGCAGGTGCTTGTGCCACTGAGCTGTGTTCCTGGCCTAGAAGGGTGTTTCTTCATCTGATCGCTGCTACCCCTTGTTGAGGTCCTGCACAAATGCTACTCCGCTGAGAAGCCCTCTGGATTGGTGTTATCACATATTCCCTATTCACACCAGAGATACTTTTTCCTTTGTTCTCCATATTCTAACATCACTTCTCACACTATATGCTATGGTTAACTAGTTTGCTTCTGTCTCTTCCAGCAGACTGAAGTTTTTAAGTGTTTTCTTCAAAATCCACATAGTATCTTGCATATAACAGGTGTACTGATGTTCAAATATCATTGCGTTGATCACCTCAAGTCTTGGCCATTGTCATCTGAAGCCACATCTTCCACATGTACCTGGTCACATTCCTGTTAAAAAAACAAAAAGCATTCTTTCAGTTTAAAAGTACCATGACTACTGGCACATGACCACTTACAAAACAATGAAATGTGAACTCCTTTGAAAGCTTGATATATATCCCAATATTCATGAAATCTTCCTTAACTATCCCATCCTTCAGTTATGCTCTTATCTCAGCAGTTCATTTCTTCAGCTCATGAGGATAAGCATAATTTCTCTTACCCTGTCATGTGTGTCTATGTCCTATACTTGACTATATTTACCATTATACTATAGGCCTTGTGGGGCAAGACCCACATCTCCCATCTTCTTTGCACCTTTTAGTCTAGTCCAGTGTCTTTATGTGGCATGTGTCCAATTAATTTTTGTAGATGAAATAGTTGGTAGAGTATGGTATCAAAACTGAGAATGACAAACTGGTAAATTTAAACAGGGTTATCTAAATCAATGTCCTCATGTTCTAAGAGGAAGGTGAAATTTTTTTTCAGGATCATACATGACTAGTGAGTGTAGAAAAAGACTATAAAGAAGCTAGGACTTCTGCTTCTATCCATTATCGCACGCTATTACTGACATAAATGCCACTCCCACTGTCCAACCTGATGCTTGCACTCCTCATACCACTAGGGTACCTGCATCAGAATCCCCTGGGGAAGTTTTTGAAAAATGTATATTCTTGGGTCTATCCCAGATCTATACAATCAGCATTTCTGGGAGTGAAATCCTAGAATCTCCATTTTTAAGAAGCTCCCCAGGTGATTCTTATGCCCCCTAAAGTTGAGAGCTACTGACCTGGGGGCAGGAACACATTCAGGTCATTCTTCACAGAACTTTCAGTCCTGAGTGAGGACTATGTCTAGAAAATCATTACAAATACAATTTGGCAATAATTATTGGTACACAGTAGGCTTTCAATAACTGTTGCTGAATAAAAACTATGCTGCCCTAATTTATTAACATGTGAACTTGCGGGAATATCAAAGCATTATGGAGTCTAGATAAAAGCACTGGAGTTTAGAGCCACATTAGTTTAATTTGTTGGAGAATTGTCTGTTGCATAGAATTAAAATATATTCAAACAGAAACAATGGCTACTTGGGAGGCTGAGTCAGGAGGATAAGTCTGAGGCCAGCCCTGGCAATTAAGCAAGACCCTGTCTCAAAACAAAAAGATTTGGAGATATAGCTCAGTGGTAGAGTGCTTGCGTACCATGTGTAAGGCCCTCACTTTAATCCCCAGTAGTACAGTAAGATGAGGAAACAGGGGAGAGGACAGGAGAGAGACACAGGGGAGGGGATGGAAACAGAATTTTGTGGAGGATAGTTCTGAATTTAAACCTACAAAATGAAAAGTCTGCATTTTCCCTCCTGTTTCCCAGCAATTCATGCCCTTGGAACAATTGCTTCTTTTGTAAAATGACTGCCTAAATGAGCCTCAGGATGGGAACACAAACTTTTCCAACCTGAGGCTCGTACTCTGGTCTTCTGACTCATGGTCCTGTGCTCTTTCTACTACATCATGTTTACCTTGGAGGTGAACTCAACTGTCAAAAGCTAAAAATTTTCCCACAAAGTTCTTATTGTGTTCTGGTTTATCTGGTGACTAACTAGAAAATTCTGCATATATATGGATACATACATATATATGGATATTAAATAAATATAAAAATGCATAAGTTAGAGCAAGTATTTACAGATTAGACATACCAACAGACGTTTTAACCAAGAGACTTTTAAAGTAAAACTGAAGAACAGTTAAAATATAATTGAGGATACAAATAATCAAACCCATTATCTATCATTATATATTAATCAACCCAATATATGTTTAGTATTGATAAATACATTGGGATACTGGTTTAATTATCAGAGTTTTACTTGATGTGATAGCATTTCCCCAAATGCTATGTCACTTCTCAAAAAGCTAACAAACATCAACTTTTTTTTTGTTTTGTTTTGTTTTTTTATCATGTGTCCTAAGCATGAAACAGCTCTGGCCACCAACCAGGCATCAAGCTAGGATGAACAAAGGACTGCTGTCTACTCTGCCCCTGACTGATACAAGAATAACACCACCAATGAGGTGTCTCTTTGCCCAATGCCAGGGGGGCAAACATCAACTTTTTGAGCCAATAAAATTCAGGGCTAGAACGAAGACTATGAACCCAACCATGTCACTATTTCTTCAAGAAGCTTTGTAAGACTGTGGCTGCTAGCCTGTATTTCCTTACCTTGTTTAACCAAGCTTCTCTATCCCTATCTTGTCTATCAGGTATCTTCTACGTAAGTAAAGGTTCCAAAAATTGAACAAAACATCTCACTGAATCACAAAAACAATGTAAGATGCTTACCTCTAAGTCATTGAAAAATAGATGTGTATCAGCCACTTCAAAAATCATTTCTTCCATTGTTAAACCTGAGCCAATCACTACTGTTGGGTCCTGGAAGGCAGTAAGAGCAAAAAAAAAAAACTAAAATGGGTACACAGCCATAAAGAAAGATAAACTGGAGACTTTTATAGGTAAATGGATGCAACTTGAGACCATAGTCATAAGTGAAATTAATCAGACCTGTATGTATAAAAATCATAGTTTCACTAGTATGATAAACCGAATAAGTAAATAGAATCTGAAATGTACAAAAGATTCTGTGAATTGGGAAGAAACTGCTCAAAAGAAAAGACAAACTGTGAGGGGGAAAGGGGAAAAGAAGAAAGGGGAAAAGGAAAAAAATATGTATACACAAAATAGTTAAGATAGTTAAACAACTAGCTTCTATTTGTTCCTTGAAAAGGAATGTTTTGTGTTAATGCTGCTTAGACAAGACATCATGCCTATATCCTGTACTCTGAGTAACTACTAGGAACACAATATGCAGTGTATCAACTAGTATAACGGTCATACTTATCTATTTTGAAACTTGGTTTCACTGTTTTTTTTCTCTTAAAAATGGGTTGGCTTGGTAGTTACAGAACGGGTTCTATTTTCAAATATTTCAAAGTTGAGGTCAATATAAGCCCAAAATATTTCAAAACAACACAGGCTCATAATATTAATTTCAAATATTACTGATGGAACATCATTATTATTTATAAGGATCTAGTAATGTACAATAGAGATATTATGGACAGTTATAAATTTCAAGACAATCGTTTCTGAAAAGTATTATTATCATCATTGAATTTATTTTAAAAAATGTATTTTAAAATTTAACCGTCTAAAGATTATACAGAAGCCATTGTTCATTTCCTGTTAATTGGTTTGAAATACCCTGTAATAATGTCATTCTCTTGAATGGTTTTATAGTGTCTTGATATGTTTGGTGCTACAGTATACGAAGTTATACTCAAAGATTTCAAGGAAAGAGACACTATGATAATTATTTTTATGTCAGGATGTCTTGTGGTGAAACATTATTTTGCTTAAATGGTTATATTTTGACCTGTGCTGTTCTGTTATTATGCCCTCTTTTATCTCAATCCCTTTTTAAAAATTATTTACTTTTTTCTTTTTATCTTTTTAATTAAGGGAAAAATAAAAAATAGCAGGATACATTATAGTAACCTACTTTGATTTCCTATTAACTTGATTTGAAATCCTGTATTGCCCTTACCATCTTGTTTTGACTGATTTTCCCCTATTCTGCTTTGCTGGATAGTACTAAGTTCGAAAGTATAGGCAAAACAGTGAAAACAGGATTCATTATGATGCCCATTCTGGTTGACTATTATCTTCTTTTAAAGTCCTGTAATGCCTCCAATGCTTTGATTTTATTCTTTACTGTTTTGTTCAATTTTATTATAACTTGCAATTCTTAAAATAGCAAGAGGCAGTATGGTAACCATTGTTGATCACCTTGCATTTTGTTTTTATATTATCTATTATGGCAATCTTTTTGATTTGACTGACTCTGTTCTGATATGTCGTATTTGGTTTTACTCTCTTCAAAAAAAGTCCTAACTGTGGGAGCAATAAAACGTGTAACTGTCATTGTACAAAAGAAAAGAAAAGAAAGTGCTCTAAAGGTTATAACTGCATATATGTTTTTTTTTTTTTTTTTGTCCTTTTCAGTTTTTATTGGTACCAGGGATCGAACTCACAACCGCCTGCTTGCAAGGCAGGCGCTTATGCCGCTGAGCTAAATCCCCAGCCCCTGCACATATGTTTAAATGTACAAGATAGATAACCATATTACTGAGTTTTTTTGGATCATTGAACAAAACTGTTTGCACTCTCACTGTTTCAAAGTCCACTTTATATGCTTCAATTTTGTAACTTGAACAACTATTTGTAAGAAGAGAATATGTAATCTATTAACTAGTGATTTTTTACTGTTTATTTTTTAAATTTTGTATTACTTGTACCCTTCTCTTGTTTTTTTTCACCTTAAATAAATAAATAAAAATTAACCGTCTACTTTACAGTAAAAAAAATTACATCCATCATTCTTAGAAACAATTCATTTAATATTTTTGGAAACTTCCCTGTCCACAGGAAACTCTAGTTATGACTAAAATATTGCTCTTATAATACACATTATCTCCTGGTGTCCTTATCCCACATACAATATAATGCCAGACATCTGATAATCTCAACAATGAGAACAGGAAAGAGTAAAGAGTCAAAATATTTTGGAGGACAACCAATGCAAATTTTTAAAAAATGAAGCATCAGTCTTTTACTTAGAAACTAAGAAAAAATTTTTATAAAAATCTTAGTAATATAGTTTATGTCAGCTGGCCAACTCAGACTGTAAAAGCTTGGAGAAACCAATTCTAAAAAGAAATATCAATGACACTACAAAAACAATTGCCTGTAATGAGATGGCAAAGGTAGCTCTTTTTATAAAATTTATTTTTAGAATCTGAAAAATACGACCTGGCAGGTAATTTAGTGTAGAAATACACAGTTCTAATCTTCTGAAAACAGCTCATTCCTTTGCTATTTGACGTTTACAGTGAAGATTAAACACATTAAATTTTTTTTGGTAAATTTAGTTTCAAAAAGCATGTGTTATAGTTTAGATCTAGAATGTTTCCTAAAGCCTGATGTTCTGAAGAAAGGCTTTTGGAAGAGATGACACTGGTCATGTGACCTGAAGGGTGTCTCTCTCTCCTTTTTGCTTCCTGACAGCCATGATCTGAAGTTTTTCTCTACCAAGGCTTTTTTTTTTTTTTTTTTTGTCTTTTTCGTTTTTATCGGTACCAGGGATTGAACTCACGACTGCCTGCTTGTAAGGCAGGCGCTTATGCTGCTGAGCTAAATCCCCAGCCCCTCTACCAAGGCCTTTGGCCATGCCTATCCTGCCTTGGAACCAGCCAACTATGGACTAAATTACCTAAAAGCTGTAAGAAAAGTAAATCTTTCCTTTAAGTTGTAGGTGTCAGGTATTGTGCCTCAGTGATAAGGAAAATGACTAAGACAGCATATAATGTACATTAAAATATATCTATTTACATCTAGCATATGTATGCTGCATTTACACTAGTAAAAGTGACTTAATTCCAGCACTCTGGGAGGTAGAGGCACAAAGATTCCAACGTTGAGTCCCAATTGGACAAATGACTGAATAAGACCCATTTCAAAATAAAAAGGGCTGACGGTTGTAGCTCAGTGCAAAGGTCCTGGGAAAAAACAGTGTCTTAAAGTTTAAAAAATCAGTCTTTGGAACATATAAACCTAAGACTTGCTCTGTTTTGAGACTTACTCTTACATTTTAATCTTTATAACATGCTTTTCTTGAACAATTTTAGCTCTCAGCATCAGTCCTGGGTTTGTTCTAAAGATTTACCATCAAACTTACTCAATCTTGTAGCCTGCCTTGTGTCAGCCACCTGGTGAAGTTTTACATGGTAAGTTAAAAACTAACAAGGTAAGACAGAGATGGCAGAGAAAATGATTTTTTTCCCTATTAGAAGAATAGTTATAACAAAAGAATATTCAATTACCTTGCCATATTTCTGGGCATAGGATCCAGTGAGAAGGGAATGGAAGATGATGATGGTTTCATCCAAGTCCCACAGAAATACCCGCTGAGGGAAGAAAGTATTTAAAAAGAAGTATACTGATTACCTTCCAATCACAATGAAATGAAATAGAACAGAAGAAAAACTGGAAAATTCACAAATACATGGGGAAGAAATAATACAATCTTAAACAACGAGTAAGCCAAAGAGAAATTACAAGTGAGATTAGAAAGTATCTTGAAATGAATGAAAACAGAAACAGCATACTAAAACTTATAGACTATAGTGAAAATGGCACTAAAAAGAAGATTGCAATTGTAAATGCATTCATTAAAAAAGAAGAAAGAGGGTTGGGAGATGTAGTTTAGTTGTGCAGTATGTGCTTTGCATAAGTAAGGTCATGGATTCAATCCTCAGGACCAAAAAGAAGAAAGATTTCAAATCTGTAAGTACATAAACCTAAAGCTAGTGGGAGAGGAAAAAAAAAGTTCAAGCAGGGATAATTAAAATAGAAAAGAGGAAATAGTACCAAACAGTCAATGAAACCAACAGTTAGTTCTTTGAAAATTGTCTATGAAATTGACGATCTTTAGTGAAAGTGACTGGGGAAAAAAACTTACTGCAGCATTTCAGTAATCAAAAAACAGTGTCAAATTACTAAAATCAGTAATCAAAGTAGAGATATCTCTACCAATTTTATAGACATAAAAAGGATTATGGGCAAAATTATGAACAGTTAGACATCAACAAATTAACCCAGATGAAATTGTCAAGTTCTCAAAAATATACAGCATAAAATAATTATTCCAAACACCAATCTTTCCAGACATAATGCATACCTGTAATCCTAGCTACTCAGAACTGCAAGTCTGAGCCAGTCTAGGGAAATTAATGAGACCCTATTTTAAAATAAACCTGTGAGGTCCTGGCTTCAATCCCCAGTACAGGGCAAAAAAAAAATCCTCCCAAAACAAAAACCCACTAATTTTTCCTGAACTTCTTCCCCTACAAATTGACAAAGGACATTTCTTGTTTTTTCTGGCATAAGGGATCAAACCCAAGGCCACACAGAGCTACAGCAGTCTCAGTCTTGAGAAAGGGTCTTGCTAAATCACTCACTAAGTTACCCCAGCTGGACTCGAATGTATTTATTTGTTTCTTTGTACTGGGAACCCAACTCATGACCTTGTGCTTGTCAGGCTGATGCTGTGCTGCTGAGCTATATCCTCAGTTGGATTCAAATTTATGCCTTAGTCTCCCAGAGTACTGGGCTTAGAGACATGTACCACCACCCCTGGCAAGGAGTATTTCTTAGTTCATGCAAAGAGGTCATCATTACCCTGATACCAAAGAATACATAGGATTCACATTTTCTTTTCTTTTCTTTTTTTTTTTTTTTTTGAGACAGAATCTCGCTGTGCAGTTCAGGCTGGCCTTGAGCTCACTTGTAGACTAAACTGGTCTCGAACTCACAACGATCCTCCTGTCTAAGCCTCCCGAGTGCTAGGATTACAGGTGTGAGCCACCATGCCGGGCTTAGGATTCACATTTTCTAATTTCAAAACTTCCTGCAGCATTTCAGTAATCAAAACAGTGTGGTACCTGCATAAAGTCAGACATGAAGTCCAATGGAATTGAGTTGAATTTAGAGATAAAAACCCATAAAATCTGACTGAGTTTTTGACATGGATTCCAAAATCACCCAAAAGGGAAAGGAAACTTGTTTGTTCTGTTTGTTTTATGGTGCTGGGGATTGAACTCAGTATCTCATATATGCTAGGCAAGTACTCTACTACTGAGCTACACTCCCAGATCAAGAAGCTCTTTTCTACAAATGGTGCTGGGAAACCTGGATATCTATAAGCAAAAGTACAAAGGTAGACCTTACTATATATACAAAATTACCTCACAATGAATCAAAGGCCTAAATTTAATAATAAACAAAATCTTTACAAGGAAACAGAGGGAAATGTTGCACTCTTAGGTATTACATCAAAAACAGAACAATAAAACACAAATACTGGATTTCATCAAAGGTTGTAATTTTTTTTTTTTTTTGTCTTTTTGAGACAGGGTTTCACTATGTATTGCAGGCTGGCCTTGCACTCACTTTGTAGCCCAGGCTGGACTCAAACTCACAGTGATCCTCCTGCCTCAGCCCCTTGAGTACTGGGATTACAGGCATGCACCACCACGCCTGGCTCTCTAAATGAATCATGAAAAACTTCTCAAAACATGCAGTGGTGATATTACATAATACTGTGAATATATACACTGAATTGTATGCTTAAAAATGGTTAAAAAGACTAAACTTTTATCCTATATGTTTAGTTACAATTTAAAAAATGAGTTCTCAGTTTTTGCCAAGAAACCTGAGGCAACTTTAGTTTCTTTCTTCTTTTATTCTGACTCTAGTAAACAAAGAAAAAGAGGCTACAATTTTGATTTACCTATCTCTAAGAGCAACTATCAATGGACTCTTTTTATTAAGTAATTACATTATTAAGATTTTAAAAATTAAAAGATAACACCGAAACCCTATTACTAATATAATTTTTATGTCCTTCTAGTCTCAATACAGAAGTCAACTGTATGTCTATAAAAAATTCTTAGTGCTTGCAGCACAGAATAAAAATAAGTATCTACCTGAAGTTACCAGATCTACTTGTGTGTCTCATAGAGCTGTGAATTAAAAGGATGATAGTTCTCTCGTTTCCCTTTTTAATTTCTAGCCACTGAACAGTATGACATTACTTGTAGGGCTCTCGGCTTCCTGAATAAGAGTACTGTCCTTTTTATTCTCTGGAATATAGAGGACAGTTTGTTCTTTTCCTCAACAAGTTACCTGGCTACTACATTCAGTAATGCCTTCTCAGTGCTTTGATGAATAGCATCTGAAAGAGATTTGGTAAGTTACAAACACGGAGAAAATTTCTTAATTTTTCTTTCACTTAGCTATTTTCAGTCCGTTTTGCTTAGAAATCAAAGGGCATACAACACAGACACACATTATCTCCATGAATTTCAGACATACTGGAAAAAAAATCCCCCACTGCCAATAAAAAAACCAAAAATAGGTAACTCCAATGCATTTCTTCTCATACTTCCAATTCACTGTCCTGGGAAGAACTGGCATCAGCTTTCCTCTTGCCCCGGTTCTTGCCAGTCATGTTTTTCCTGGACTGATCATCAGTATCTTTACTTGGTGTAGTCTGGGATAAGGACGGGCTTGTAGAAGGGTCTCCTGGAGAGGAAAAGCATGACATATTGCAGCAGTCACACGCTATGAAATCCAGGGCAGGAAAAGCAAGTCAGCGAATTCTGTTCCTATGAGTTATAATGAATGGATCAAGTTTAGACAACTAAATTTCAGGTAAGCAATTTGAGAATGTAAATCTAGGCATTGAGCATCAACAGTGGCTAACATCACAAATGTCATAACCAGACTTCAATCGAAAAACACACCTATGAAGTTGCTTTGTGTATTCTGATCTTTCCCCAAATGAAGTCTCACTATGTTGTCCAGGGGTGCATGTGTAGACTGAACCTGAGGAGTGCTGAGATACATACATCTCCAGGCCTTTTTGAAAAATCTTCATTTTGGGACAGGGTCTTGATAAGTTCTACAGACTGGCTTTAAACTTGGGATCCTTTACCTCAGTCTCCTGATGCATCATGTCTGGCCCAGGCTGATCTTGAACTAGTTAGGTTCAAATCATCCTCCTGTCTTAGCCTCCCAAGCAGTTTGCACTACCACCATGTGCTACCACATCTGGCTTATGAAGTTGTTTTCTTAAAAACAAACAAACAAACAAACCAAAAAAAAACTCCTCCGCTCAATCTGAATTTGCTCAAGCTTCTAGATAAAGGTTTGTCAACTTGGCACAGCAGATATTGTAGGTCAGGTAATCTTTTGTTGATGAGGTTGTCTTGTATATGGTAGGACATTTAATATAATAAAATTAGACTGGGAAATACTGTGCGATAGATAGTCCAGTTTCTTCAACAAGTAAGTTACAAGGGGGGAAAAAGAGATAGGGGATTTATAGGTGAAGAGATATAAACCACAAAATACATACACACTAATCTTAATATAGGGACCAATTAAGGATCTGATTTTTTCCTTCAGATTTTCTATTTATTCATTGACTTTTTAAAGACAAGATCTTACTATGCAGTTCAAGCTAGTCTTGAACTCACTATGTTACCTAGGTTGGCTTCCCAAGTGCTTGAGCCTACAGATGTGTGCCACCACACCCAACCTCACTGGCTCATTTTTATTTTACATTTTGTTTTTGGTATTGAGGATTGAACTCACGACTTCACATTTGCCAGGTAGGCGCTTACACCACTAAGCTAAATCTTCAGCCCTCACTGGCTCATTTTTAATTGACAAGAGCTTTATATACTTATCATGTAAACATGTTGTTTTGAAATAAGTACCTAGTAGCAAATGGACTGTATTCAAATTTTACAGAATATAAAATGAAAAACAAAACTGACATTTATAAGAAAACTGTTACTATGAATAGCTTTTGGTTTTTCAGATAGGATAACAGTATTGTGATATGCCAATGAGTACTTTTAGAGAGCAACACTTGAAATTTGGGCAGGGAATTTGATACACAAGTGAAACAAAATTGCCTGTAAATGCTGGTGTGGTAGCACATGCCTGGAATCTCAGTACTTGGGAGGCTGAGGCAAGAGGCCCAGTTGGCTATACATAGTGAGTTTAAGGTCAGCCTGAACTATATAGCAAGACCCTGTATCAAACAAAACAAAACAAAACAAAACTGTCTATACAGTGTTAATTGTTAAAGGTGGATGATGTATGTAAGGATTTGCTATACTATTGTGACAACACTACTTGTAATCATTTTAACGTTATTTAAGTTTAAAACAGTGAACATCTACATGACCACTTACTTACCAGACAGATAAGGACAAATTATACAGAAAACTTTAGTTGACATAGAACTCTGTACACATGCATCATCAATGAAAACTAAGTGCTCCTCTTAACTAACATGATGGTAGCTAACCACCAAATTTTCATTAAATAGACACATATAAAAAAATATGTTTTACATGTTTATTAAATTTGTACAGAAAGCCTTTATGTAAAAGTTTTTTTTTTTTTTTGTATCAGGAATCAAACTCACAACCTAGTGCTTGCCAGGCAGGTACTTATGCTGCTGTACTAAATCTCTGGCCCCTATGCGAAACGTTTATAACCTGGACATCATAAATGTATTTCAGAGCTGCATATCTCCCGAAATTATAGGTTACGTTTTTATGTATTTCTTTGGAGAAAAAGGACCATAATTTTCCTCATAATCTTGAAAGGATCCAAGATTAGAAAGAAATCCTATTCTGAGGCTCTAGCAGGAGTCCTAAAATATGCCCACACTAAAACTGGAGTCCTCAGATTTTTATAAAATATGCCCAAGTTCAGGTATTCCCTGTAATGGGCATGTTAAAGCTACAACAAGGCAGGGTAGGGGTTAGAAATACAGCCTTTTCATTGTTAGTACTTTCACTTTCCTGTTCACAGCATCGGGTAGATATTCAGGTATCAGTGACCCACAGACTGCTTCCAAAGTTTAAATGCTCCTTACCTGAGGGGATGCAAACAGAACAGTGACAGTGATTTACACCAGGACAAAATCATTTTCATCATCACCTGAAAACAACTGTTGGATGAAGTGCCTTTAAACCAGTTTTGTGAGTGTGGTACTTACCAGAGGAAAGTCTCTGTGCTGCTGGTGCAGGTACCATGACACTAGGCTTCTCTGCCTGGTAGGTGGAAGCTGCTAGTGTGGAATTCTCAGCATCACTGTTAGCCTGGCCTGTGACTCCAAAGCTGGAGCTGGGGTAGCAGGCCTGGTATTGATTCTGACCAAGAATAGTATAGGTGGGATAATCCTGCAGGCCAAAGGGAACAAGGGAGGAAAAGAACTCTTAGAGGATGTCTTCCTTTCTCCCTTTTATTCATTATTATTTTCTTAAATCATTAATTTGACTTATTAATTACCTATCTAGTACTCTCTCAATGAAACCAATATTGCCAAAATGCAATGTGTGAAAACTTGAGTCCAGAAGAGATGCTTCAGGGTGAGGAAAACCTGTGAGGAGGGGTTGATCTGAATGTACACTCACACACATACATACAGTGTTCTGTTCTCTAACAGCTCTTCCTTTCAAGTCCCATTTTTAATGCACTAAATTTCTTGTGAGGATTTTTTTTGTTGAGTGGTCTTTTTGAGACAGGATCTCGCCATGCAGTTCAGGATGGCCTTGAATTCACTCTGAGGCCCCAGGCTGGCCAAGACTTGGAGCAATCCTCCTGCCCCAGAGGGCTGAGATAACAGGTGTACACCACCATGCTCAGCTTTGCACTGAATTTCTAAATAAATTTCTGCATAGAATTTTTGAAGGAAAATTTCTGTTCTTTAAGAAGTTTATAAATTACTGCTCTAGATGGTAGTACATCTAAGGGTAAATGGGCTTAAAACAAAAAAGCACATCTCCTATATGAAAGTTTCTTAGAATGGAGATTGACATTCCTGCACTGGGACCGAACTCAGGGCTTGTACCCTTTAGCCAAGCACTCTACCCCTGAATTATATCTCTAGCCTTATTTTATTTTAAATCAAGTTTTCATTAAAAATGAAGTTTCCTTAAAATATTGGGAAGAAACTTTTGGTAGTTTCATGAGCACATATATACCCAAACTTACCAAATTATGTAATCTAAATCTGTGCAGTTTTTTTTTTTGTATGTCAATTATATATTAACAGAGCTATAAAATAAAACTGAATATGGTATACAGATCAGATATACACCTTTTATTTTATTTTTTCTTCCTTTTATTTGGTACAGGGGATTGAACTCACGACCACCTGCTTGCAAGGCAGGTGCTTACGCCACTAAACTAAATCCCCAGCCCCCCTCTTTTTTTTTGGATATACACCTTTTAAAAAGTTCCACCAACACCGAGACAAATAGGAAGTGGGAGACACCAGCTGCCAGACCAAATCTTTTTTTTTTTTTTTGCCTTTTTTGTTTTTATCGGTACTGGGGATCGAACTCACGACTGCCTGCTTGCAGGGCAGGCGCTTATGCCACTGAGCTAAACCCCCAGCCCCCCAGACCAAATCTTTGTATAGCTATTAAGAACCTATTTATGAACTGAATAGAATTGTGTGTGTGCGTGCATGCATGTACTTATGCATGGGCAGGACACAGGAATACTAAAAAAAAAAAAAAAAAGAGTAAGTCACTTTAGGAGAACTCAAAGAACTTGAAGACTTATTAGGAAAGAAAAAAAAATTCCAATGAAAATAAACAAACACCCCCAAAAAATATTTCCAACAAACTTGTAATAAATTATATGTTAAATGAGTGAAAAACAGAGGAAGACAACTATCATTGTGAGCTATGATGGTGAGAGTGCTTTCTGAGATTAATACATATGGGAGGCATTATGATTTCAATCTAAAATGTTCCACCAAAGTTTCATATTCAGAGATGGGGCCTGGTTGGAAGGGGCGGATCATTGTGGGTAATGGGTTCTAAGCATACATGACCATCCCTAGTAGCTCCCTTTTCTCCCTGCTTCGTGGTATCATATAAGGAACAGTTTTCCTCTGCCATGTTGTTTCCGCCTTGGAGCTGGGTGACCACGTACCGAATCTATTGTAATTTTAAACTGAAACAAACTTCTCCTCCTTAAGATACGGGTGTTTACAATTTGATCCCAGCAACTAAAAAGTGACTAACACAGGAGGCAAGAACATGAACAGGCCCTACAAAGATTTTATTAAAGGGATCATGGCGGATGTTGAACCTGTTTAAAACAATGGATCCTCACAGGTCTGAAAAAATGGTTAAATAAAATGGCTTGCATACTTTAGGCAACACTGTATAGCTTATATGATTAGGAAATGGGGACAGAAACATAAAAGGTGTTCATGTGGATGACTTGAGAAAAATGTGGCATTATATGCTGGAGTGTGGTGGTACACACCTGTGATTCCAATACTCTAGGAGGCTGAGGCAAGAGGTCTGTAAGTTCAAACCCAGCTGAGACAACTCACTCATGGTGGGGAGGAGCTGGAGATTTAGCTCAGTGCAAAGGCCCTGGTTCAATCCCTAATAAAACACACACAGAAACTTACACACATGTATGCTTGTACATATGCACATACAGTCTGGTTTTTAGATATGATGAATTTAAGAGAAATAGGGATTTAAAGAAGTAACCCTTAATCATCTAGAGGCCTATAAACATCATGAGGTCAAGATTAGAATCTTTATCTTAGAGGCTGTAAACAGATACTATGGTGATGGGTAAACAATCTCAAATTGCAGTTATTATGATGTGGAAAAACTAAATAGGGACTGTCCATGTCAGAAGACAGGGTTAAAAAAAAAAAAAGAAACATGAATGGGAATAGAGAAAGTCTTGGGGCTGGGGATTTAGCTCAGCGGCATAAGTGTCTACCTTGCAAGTGCGTGGTCATGAGTTCGATACCCAGTACACAAAAAAAAAAAAAGAAAAAGAAAGTCCTTTTAAGAGTGGCAGATATAAATGTAGGACCTCAATAAACAGGTGTGGACTAAAAGAAAGAATAAATACAAGAACAGTAAAACATAAAATGAATATAATGTTAACTGCAGCTAGAAAGATCTATGGGGATAATGATAATATTAACTGCTGCATAGAAAAACAAAAAACCCTATTAAACCATTGAACAAATGGACTTAATATATATCTGCAAAGTGTTTCATCCAATAATGACAATATGCATTTTTCCCAACAGCCTACATGACTTTTTCCAAGATAGACTACATCTTACATCATAAAGGATGCTTAAGTAAATACAAAAGAATCAAAATAATTTTCTGCATACTATCAGATCATAGTAGAAGGAAGCTAGAAATCAACAGAAAAAAAGCCACAGAACTATGCAAACACATGAAGATTAACATATTGTTGAAAAAGCAAGGGATCACAGAAGAAATCAGGGAAGAAATAAAAAAAGTTTGTAGAATCAAATGACAAGGGACCAAAAAAAAGACAACGGCAGCACAACATACCAAAAACAACAGGATACAATGAAAGCAGTTTCTAAGAAGGTAGGTTATAGCTGTAAATGCACACATAAAAAGAACTGAATGATCCTAAAAAAAATAGCTCAATGAAGCACCCTAAAGGTCCTAGAAAGACAAGAATAATCCAAATCTGAAACTTGCAGAAGGAAATAAATTATAACGATCAGAGCTGAAATTAATAAAATTGAGACTAAAAAACAATACAAAGGATCAATGAATCAAGGAACTGGTTCTTTGAAAGACAGGAAGCTATTTGGAGATCAGGGGGCAGAAAAGAGGAGAGGGAAGGAAAAGTAAAGATCAAGATTTGATATGTATATGAACCAGCCCCCTCAACGAATGTGCTTATGAATTACAAAATACAATTTTTTGACATTAAAGAAAAAAAACAGAATCTCCTTCTCCCAAAAAACATTCCTCTAAAACACTGAGAATGTTACTAATAATCTTTTTGTTTGGTTTTGGTAGTGAGAATTGAGGCCAGAACCTTTGCATAGCCCCAGTCCCCTCTGAGGCAGAGTTTTACTAAGTGACTAAATTGCCAGTTGGACTTGAACTTATGATCATTCTGTCTTAGCCTTCCACAATACTAGGATTTCAGGTGTGCCGCCACGCCTAGCTTTTAACTAGGGTTCTTTTAAGTATACAGTTAATGTAACAGTGATCAAGTCCAGACCACAAAAATTCACAAAGGAAAGAGAAATTTAAATGGATGTAATATTTATTCATTCTACAAATCTTTTTGCTACTGATGTGCAGGTACTTTTCTAGGTTCTGGGAATATGTAAACGAACAAAATAGATAAGGTAGCAGACACAGCCATATTTCAAAGAGGCTTAGCAGGCAACAAGAGAAACAAGATGGCAGTCTGAGAAGCCATCCAGGGTCCTAGTTCTGAGGATATCCAGAAAAAGAGCACACAGCCACACCATTACTGATTATTTCTTAGACGATCATGGAAAGAAGACAGCAAGATAAATGAACCAAATCAAACAGGATAAACAAAAGAAACATTGTACCTGGTTTGAGATGCTGGCGACTGCTGCTGCTGGAATATTGGCAATTGTGGAGGAAGTGGAGATCAGGCTGGCATTAGTACTTGAAGCTATAGAATGGAAAGGGTTAAGAGAGGTTAACTAAAGATACTGTGTAAAAAGGCTGGAAGATAGTGAAAGTATATCACCGTAAGTGAACATATCCACAAGGACATAAAGAACACTGCTAAAACAAATACTTGGTTTGCTTTTTGCATGCCATGCCTCCTCAATTTAGACTTGTTTAGAAACAAATACTTTAAATATTTTTCTGCTTCAACTTGAGTCTTCCTATTAAAGTCCTAGAAGGATGGATATATATTTCACAGTTCATACTAATGATACCAACGAAATCAAAACTAAATCATTCCACTCCACCTTCTCTAGAAGCTGAAAAATGACTCACCTGCAATGTGACCTACTAATAATCAATATAGCAACTGGTAACTCCCACCCTGTATTATTTATTATCACTTGCCCCAAATTATGCCCTTCCTGATACAATCTAAGCACTTTGAAAAAAGAGCTCTCCAAATTCTAAAGTGCATGGAATTACTTCTTGGGTTCTACATATATATTAACTATTAATGATAACAACACCATGATCTAGCACAGTGGTGGCAAACCTATGGCATGTGTACCATACATAGCAGGCTGTTTGTATCACTCTAAAAGGTTCGTAATCAGTGATCTAGTATTTAGAGACTTTATCTATAAACATGTAAAAATGCAAAAACTTAGAAAATATTAAATATATTCTGGTCAGGTAAAAATGTATGTACAGCTACATCAGATGTCTGTCTTAAGATGAGGAATTTGAATTAAGTTTTTACCCTTCAGTCACAGATTCCACCAAGGTTTTACCCAAAACACCAGTGATTACTAGCTACTGTAAGGATTCTTTTCAGGTAGACAAAGCAACTGGTATTATGAGGTACTAGTTTTAAATTCCTTTCTTACTTATCATGAACACATTTACAACATGGTTTTCACTGTAGTCATGCACATCCAGAGGAGTCACCAGCAGACAGATCTGATTATCTGAGTCCCTACTCCATTACCAACAAAGCCCTCCTGAGGGAAAATCAGTAAGAAAATCTCCATTGAAACTAGACTGGAGGGGAAAAAAAAGCCGCAGAGGGTACACTGATCAATAAAAGAGAGCAGTTTCCTCCCTTTCCCCAGTGGTGCTCTGCTTAGAAGACAGTTTAGAAGAAATTCAGGTCAGTTATTGCTATTGCTGCAAGTCCTGACTGGACCAATGAAAAATGTAACTTCTTTAGAGGCATAAAGCTAGTGGCAGATAATTAAGATAACAATGTGGATCTCTAAATTCTTTATCCAATGCTTTTCCTTGAAATCAGTGGCTGACCTAGGGATCAAATTTCCTGACTCCCGAGGCTGAATTAAAGGAATCTTAACAACTTACTTTCTTAAATAAAACTAAATGAAATAGATTTTTTAAAAAATTTTTTTTCTTTTTCCTTTTTATGTACCAGGGATCGAACTCACGACTACCTGCTTGCAAGGCAGGCGCTTATGCCGCTGAGATTTATCTCCAACCTCCAATGAAATAGATTTTATAACCTTATAGATACTTTTCTTCTCCATCAGTGTTTACTATCTTTTCTACTGTGCCTTAACACATTCTTTTCTCAACAAAGAAATATCCAAAAAATAATAGTACTTAGAGTAGATGACTCTGTAAGTAGTATGGTTTTGTTTTGAGACATTACCTCATTATGTAGCCCAGGCTGCCCTTGAACTTGCAGCTATCGTCTTGTCTCAGCCTCCCTACAAGTGTGTACCACCATACTCAGGATTAATCATTTTGTGGCAAAAGATTTTTGACTGGTTTCCAGATTCTATTACCAAGGCATTATCCTACACAAGGTCTGCAATTGAACAGACTGAACAGAGGTGACTTAAAATGGGGACAAAAGCTGGGCATGGTGGTGTATGCCTGTAATCACAGCATTCATAAGGCTGGGGTGGAGGACTGCTGCAACTTCAGGCCAGCCTGGGATATGTGAGTTCAAGGCCAGCCTGAATTGCATAGTGAAACCCTGTCTCAAAAAGAAAAAAAAAAAAAAAAAAGAGTAAAAAATAAAGAACTTCCTTTTCTTTCCCAGCAAAGCCCATTTCTACATTAATTTTCCATTGACCCTGGATCTGGCAAATGCTCCTCTTTTCCTCAATATTTTAATTCTATTCAATCTTGTCAATAAATTACCAGAGGCTAAAGGTTCAATTCTGTTATATCTGATTTCTATATACAAGGTGGGGAGGAGTACATGTACTCTAAGTGGTTTTAGAAATTTTAACAATTTTCAAGTCACTCTCGTAGTAAAAAAAAAAAAAAAAGCACACACGGGGCTGGGGATTTAGCTCAGTGGCATAAGTGCCTGCCTTGCAAGCTTGTGGTTGTAAGTTCGATCCCTGGTACTGGTAAAAAAAAAAAAAAAAAAGCACATTTTATAGACAATTGACCATGTACTCCATCATCTCTGCTAGGAAGTTTAATGAACTGATTAGTTAGTTGATAACTGTCTGAGGTTTAAATAACTATATTACCAATCATAAATTTCTCTCACCAATATGAATTAGGGGATTTTGGCCGAATGACATAGAAAACTCAGAGCTCAATGGTATTTCTTTCTGCAACTCCACCAAAGCATTTCTAACATGTATCCTTCACTCAAAACAGTAAGTATATCAATATCTATCTACGTGTCTAGAACTATCCAGACCCTGAAAATTAGAAGAATATGCAAGTCAAAATACCTGACCTCACAGAATTTAAATTCTAGTGAGGGAAGTTAGTCAATAAACAAGTAATATTTTTTAGTCTCCTTTAACTATCACTGAATGCAAGTAACACTCACCTAACATATACAGGAACATTGTTTACCTTACTTCATTCACAACAATGATTAAAAAGCCAAGAATTAAAAAAAAAAAGTGCTATCATTCTGCATGTATGTGCAAGTTTCAAAAACAGTATTCAGTTGCAGATTTTTCAAAAAAGAAATATCTAACAAAAAGTACAAATTTACAGAATAAAATAAAATTCAATTGGCAATTCATTATACATGTAAAGGCTATTAAATCTCCAAGGACAGTGATATGGCTCACTGGTTTTGGACATCCTCACTCCTGTTACGACCATGGGGCTGTGAAATTAATGACTAGACAGCATTTGGTTCTTTTGGGGTTTTTTTTTTTTGGTCTTTTTCGTTTTTATCGGTACCAGGGATCGAACTCACGACTGCCTGCTTGCAAGGCAGGCACTTATGCCGCTGAGCTAAATCCCCAGCCCCCTACACAGCATTTGAAAGAGTCATGCTCTCCTAGTCAATCTAATATGTCAACTTACAGAAATAACTATGGACACAGTGACTTCTAATCAAAGAAAGCAGTCCATAAATGGAAAACGAGTAACTCTGCAATGCAGAAATCCACAATACTACCATGTAAGCCAGATGATCAAGTCAGTGTCAACGGTCAGATATTGGGGACAGTATGCATACCAGACATGATATGATTTAAAAAAAAAGACCTTTTACCTCTATGATTTTCATGAGAAAAACATCAGACAAATTCCAGTGGGTAAGTACCTCACAATATACCTGGCTAATATTCCTAGGTCACCAAACTTCCTAGGTCACCAAAAACAAGGGCAGTTTGAGAAACTGTAAAGTCGACAGGGGGCTGGGAAGACATGACAACTAAATCTAATGTATCCTAGATGGGATCCTAGAAAAAGGATATTGAGTAAAAGCTAAAGATATCTGAATAAACAATGGACTTAACTGAAAACAATATACTAACATTGGTCCATTAATTCTAACAAAGGTAGTATCTTATTTTAAGATGTTAATAATAGGAAACTGTATGGTATGTGGGAGGATATATGAGAAATCTATATGCTATCTGCTCAATTTTTCTATAAACCTAAAAAAAGGGGGCTGGGGATTTAGCTCAGCGGCATAAGCGCCTGCATTGCAAGCAGGCAGTCGTGAGTTCGATCCCTGGTACCGATAAAAAGGAAAAAGACAAAAAAAAAAAAAACCTAAAAAAAGATATGCTAAAAATAAATTAATTAAAAACATAACAAAATAAAACTTCCTGGTCAATGAAAGTGTAAGCCTCCAATCAGACAGAGCTGACTCTCACAGCCTAGAACCTGTTTGCCAGAAGAAACAGCACTACTCTTAGCAGGATACTCAGTTCAGTTGTTATGGCAAACACAGGATACTGCAAAGAAGATAAGACAAGACAAGGAATTTTGCAGGTCCTGGGACATCTGGAGACACCTGTAAAATTGACACCAGACCTTCAAGGACTCTGCCCACTGAGGTGCAAGACAGCCAGAGCACTTTGACCACAGATGTTTATTAAAAATCTTCCCACCTAAAGTTCCTTGTCTTCTTTTCAACCCTACTTCTTTCTCTTTGCTCCCTACAGAAGAACTTTTCACTTTCTGCCTGCCTGTATCCAGGCACAATAAATTCCATGCTATACTGCTTTTATACAAGTCTAGTTGTCTCAGCTGGTCACCTCTTCCCCATCCTGTGAATTACAGAAAGACTATTGTGCATTAACAAATTAAAAATTGAAAGTGATTTAAAATTGATTTTAAAATTTTGCCACTTGAATATTATTTAATCCAGTAGACTAACTCAACTGAAGAAAATGATCAGTTCAAGGACATGTGGTCACCAGATACTCTAGGAAAAGTGATATAAAGAAATCAGATCTTAACACCACACCAGGAGGTATTAGAAAAAAGTTAGATACACTAGACTTTCATGAGCATACAAGAGCAATTTCTTCTCCTTACAGTACCACTGAGGTATAAACTCAAGAAAAAGTTTTGATTAGAGTTAAGCCAGAAGCAGAATTTGGTTTCTGAGATAATTTCACAAACTTCCCTGGGGAAGATGGGCTGTTGTCAATTGTAGAATGCTTAGGGTTGAGCTGAGCAAAAACTGCTATCCTGACTACTAAAACAAACAAAACAAAACAACATACACATACCAATGCATTTTAATTCTATGGAATGACTGGCATAAAGCAGCCCTGGCGGGCATGGTAGTTACACGCCTGTAATCCCAACACTTGGGACGCTGAGCTCAGGAGTTTACAGCCATCCTAGGCAACACAGTAAAATCATTTCTCAAGAAAAGAGAAGGGAGAAACACAAAGAGGAGGGAGGCAGGAGTGGAAAAAACCAGACAAGATCATGCTCTTGAGTTTTTTCCTCCTAATTTGTTCCTATCTTAGAAATAAAGATGGCAATAGAAAATAAGAAAAGGGGATAAACTTGGTAAACAATAGGGGATAAAGGCAACTTAGTTCAAGGCCATAAGAATACAATATATTGGTTTTGTTCCCAGTTGACCAAACAGCAGTTACCCCCAACTTTAACTGAGAACAGTTAAAATCGAACATGAAAATATATTTGTACTGTATATCAAAAATTTTCTCATCATTAGTTCATTATCTTAAGAATCTCATACAGGTTATGTATATCCCATTTTCATCCCTCTAGCACTCATTTTATAAGATACAGAGTTAAAGCTGAGAGAAAGAGGGGAAAAAAAAAGCTGGGAGAAACAAGGAGAAAGGAGGCAGATGAAAAGGCAGGATTTGGGGTCAGTAATTCCCAGTGTGAAGCAATGGTAAACTGTCTACACTGGATTCAGAAGGGTAAGCAATTTAGTTTTTTATCTTTTTTTCTGATAGTTCTGATACAATCCTAACCTTTCAGGAAATTTGGGAAGGTAACATTGTTTAGAGTTTGAGTTTAATGCTAGCTTTTTATGGTGAAATACAAACAATAATGAACTTTTTGAGCAAGAAAAATGCCTAAGAAGTCCTGTAGTAAAGGGGATACAAGATAATAAAGCCATAGTAGCCACAGTAGAAAAAGCACACACACCTTGAAATAACGCCTGACAGTTCACATAAAAGAAGTCTGCAAAATTCTCATTGTAGTCTTCTGCTCATACAGGACAATATACCTTTAAGAGATATCAGCACCAACATGCAAAAGGGAAAGCTTTAACTTTTAAGCAGCTCACATTCAAAGGCTAAACCTACTTGCAAACCACTCTTTGGTTCTGGATTGCCTAACACAAAAAGCATGCACAAACGCAAATATCACTGCTTTCTGTGTTTTAGAAGACAGTGTTCCTGTATTATCCAATTTGTTTGGAGATACAGGTAAATTAAAAACAAACAAAAAAACTCAATAGTAATTAATACACACACACAACCATGCCTATTTACCTTGAATGGGGTAAGAATAATGTGCTGGGCTTGGCTGGCTTGTGGTTAACCCTGTCGTGCAGGTAAGAACACTGTGTTGACCTGGAGATGGAGTCTGAATTAAACCACTTTCGGGTTTCATACCTGGCCACAACGCACCTGAATCAGATAAATTGGACCAATTACAAACAATACACTGGGACTGAGAAGCATGGTTATGCTTTCAAATAGCAGCCAGTAGGTTTAAAATCTAAATCTTAAAACAAAAATAAATTTGCTTGTAAGAGAAAATTATTGATTTTCCCATTTGTAACATGCCACAAGCAAATACACTGTCCAAAGAACTAGGAGATGGGGCCATAGAAACAAAATTTTTGCTAAAAATCCTAATAGTGGTATGTATATAAATTCATTTTAATACCTGGGGTAATGGAGTAGGGTTCAGAAAAAGTTACTGAAACGAAACTGGAGTATTTGTCATAAAGTGTTTGATGCTCATATACAGTGATACATCATTTATCCAAATGGTCAAGGTGGGAGATTTTCCATATAAGCTTAAAAATTCACTTACCTATAAAATAAGCACCAAATTATTCTAAAATGTATTAAATTTTTGTTTCCTGATTGGTTTGATTTTTTGAGACAGGATCTTGCTAAGTAGTTCAGGCTGGCCTTGAACTTACTTATGTAGCATGAATTGGCCACAATCTCCCAAGTGCTGGGCCATATACTACCATGCCTGCTTCAACTCTTCTGTTTTCTTGAGCTGATTATTTTGTGACTAACCTTTGTTTCTGTTTTTCTCTTTCTCTGTCTCTGCTCTCTGTCTGTGTCTATGTCTCTCTGCAGCACACAGGACTTTCACAATGAGCTACATTACAGGTCTCCTCACCCCTTTGGAGGCAGGGTCTCACTAAGTTGGTAAATTGTCCAGGCTGGTCTCCAACTTGCCATCCTCTTGCCTCAGTCTCCCAGAATGCTGCGACTCTAGGCATGTGCCATCATGTCTGGCTTATTTCTTCTGATTAGGGAAGACATGCCTTATTTTTATAAATTAAAAATATTACAGAAATAAATCACTTAGGAAAAAAGTCATGCATACTATACATACTTCTGTCATCTAGATTTAACTACCATTAATATTTTGCAAAAGAGTCACCCAGAATTTTTTTACACACTTATTTCTTTTTTTTTGTTTGTTTTTTTGAGACAACTTTCACTATGTAATCCAGGTTGGCTAATTTTTTTTTTGGTCTTTTTCGTTTTTTATCGGTACCAGGGATAGAACTCATGACTGCCTGCTTGCAAGGCAGGCGCTTATGCCGCTGAGCTAAATCTCCAGCCCCAGGCTGGCTAATTTATAGTCATCTTCCTGCCTCAGTCAGAATTCTGAGTGTTGGAATCATAGGCATGTGCCACTACAGCTGACTGATACTTGTTTTTAATAAAAATGGGATGTTATAAATACTATTCATAATTTACTTTCCCATATAATTCCTCTGAGAGACATCATTCTATGTCAGAACGCATAAATTCATCTTATACTGACAGACACCATAACTGCTCACTTTTATTTTGTCGTAAGGCACCTGACTGACAGTCTTCCTAAAATATCCCACCTTCCTGGCAGGGGGGAAAGAGTGAGCCTCTAGGCCTTCTCAGAATTATTTTTACAAAGGTCAGTACTGTGGTATGCTATCTGTGTATTACAGACACACTTATAGAGGCTATCATGATATGTGAAGACAATTGCTTAGTACTAAATGGAACTTATAGTTCTATGATTTTTAGCAATGAACACATAGTTCTACAATTTTTAGATGTATCACTTTTTTACAATCCTAATGATGTGTCATCTTAATTGTACCTCTCTTTTTAACTTAACAATGAACTAGGAAATTATGAATCAAGCTTTTGCAGGAAAGGCTCAGAATATTCTTTGTGAATGAAGTACTCATAAACACATAGTTTTGGAGGTCACTTTAGCTATGCAACAGTCTGGTCTTTTTTAGTATATAAAAACAGGTTGATTTTTTACTGTGCTGTGAATAGAGTGTAATCAAAACGGATAGAAAGGTCTAAGAAAGCACATCATCAAACACATTCTATGTAAAAACACAGTAATAAGGTTAATCATGACTTTGAGTTCAGTATTGATTAATTTCATTTGCTCCTAATTTGAAAAGAAATCTATAGTCAATTAATATACATAATAAATACTTTCATAATGAGGACTTGTGCTTCCGCAAGGCACTAAAATATCTTGATGCAATTCAGATTTGTCAAATCTGTTGACAAGTAAATGTAAGAATGGCAAAGAGATATGACCACAGGACAAGGGAATGGCTTTATCCTAAACTTTTTTTTTTTTTTTAAATGGAGTCTCCCTATAGTTCAGGCTGATCCTCCTGCCTCAATCTCCCAAGTGCTGAAATTACAGGCCAGCACCACTACACGTGGCTAATATTCTCTTATCTACTGATCACATGAAATAATTTATTTGAGGAGATGGAGGAATATTAATATCTCTTCGCATGAAATAGGAGAGTTGGTCCTTCCATTTAGTTCATGATCATTTGTCCACATTAACCAGTGCTAAGGTATTTGTTATGGTTAAATTTCAATGACAAGAATTTTTGAGAATATAATTTTTTAAATATTCATGATGACATACCATCATTCTTGGTGGTTATGTCTGAATTGTTTTTTGTTTTCACTGGGAATCGAACTCATGACCTCACACTTGCCAGGCTGGGGATAGCTGGTTCCCTGGCCCTTCTTGGTTGTTATTTACCAGATTTTTGGTAAGTAAATTACCATTTAAATGTCCCAATAACTTCCAGATTTATTGTAATCAATATGATTTTTTCTTCCAAACAGATTATGACCCTGAGGTACTAGATCTGTGAATATATTTATTATTTCTAAAGCAATTACTTAATAACAACAGTATCAAATGAGAATGACTTGTTAGTTCTATTATTTACAATACATTTTGAAAGCTTCAAACTGTAAAATGTTTCGAAGCTAGTTGTTCTTGGAAGGTCAAAAATTAAGGTCTTCCTTTTTTTTTTTTAGGTCTTTCTTTTAAGGGCAAAAATTATCTAAAATGATTTAGATAATTAGTTTTGAACATTTTTGGCAAGAAACACAAAAATGTTTAATACATAATTATTTTTGAGGAATAAAAGACAATAGGAACATTGCCTCCAGCATCACTGTAGCCCTGATTTTAACAGATAGATAAATTTTTCTCTAAATTTACCCTGCCCAGAATTCCAGATAATAGGCAGCATGACCAAATGAGTTGACTCTCTAGCACTACTGCTAACAGCAAATGAAGAAACTAAACTCTGATTTCTTGACTCTTAACCCCACTGCTTTTTGTCTGCTACTAATAAAGATTTTTCTAGCACTTTTAGGCCCCAGGAGCCTGCTATGGCAAGACTATTAGTCTAACAATGGGAAAGAAAGTCTTCCTGAGTATAGTACTTTCCTCTTGCTGCCCCTGGGTGGGGTCTTATCAGAAACTCTACCACTCTAACTAAACCAATCTGATCATTGGGTTTACAGTAACAGATGTCAAAACCGTGGCTCTTTAGAGATTGATTAGACTAGGAACTGAAGTACACACCAATACCAGAAAAAACACCTTGGTTAACTGACTAGCTCATTCAGATGAACTATTACATACACTAAGTAGCTTAATTCAAGTACTTTCCCTAATTATAAAAGAAGTAGATGTAACCAGGCATGGTAAAGCACATCTGTAATCCCAGCACTTGGGAGGCTGAGATCTTGAGTGCAAGACCAGCCTGAACAGCAAGACTCTGACTCAAAAAGAAAAAGTAGATGTACATTACAGAAAATTAGGAGAATACAGAAAGTATAACAAAATGTAATAAATCATGTATTTTTGCTATATAGAAAAAAAGTAAAAGCAGTTCTCACTTTTGCATGTGGGATTTTTGGTAACTGACATCTTTGTTTTACAGTTCTTTGGTAACTGACTTGAAATCTACAGAGCCTGTACAGTTAAAATCCACACTGCTTCCCTTCAAAATCATTTTCTACGCACATATTTGTAAAAATCCTAAATTGATGTTATATTGTGCTTTCAGTGTTTTTTTTCTTCTTCTTTTTTTTTTTTTTTCCTTTTTCCTTTTTATCGGTACCAGGGATCAAACTCACGACTGCCTGCTTACAAGGCAGGCGCTTATGCCGCTGAGCTAAATCCCCAGCCCCTTGTGTTTTCAGTTTTATATACTGTCTTTTTCAACTGTTAATGTTTTCTGAAGACCCCAAATATTTTTTAAGAGTATCATTTATAGTCTTTTTCAATTACTAATGTTTTCTGAAGACTCTAAATATATATATATATATACACACACACACACATATACATATATATATATATTTTTTTTTTGGTACCAGGGACTGAACTCATGACCTCGTGCTTGCCAGGCAGTCGCTTATGCTGCTGAGCTAAATCCCTAGCCCCAACCCCAAATATTTTTTAAGAGTATCATTTATAGCCAGGAGTGGTGATACATGCCTATAGGCATAGCACCAAAGAAGACTGAGGCAAGAGGGTTATAAGTTTGAGTCTCACCTGGATAACATAGTATCCAAAATACAAAATAAGAGGATGTAGCTCAGTGGTTGAGCACCTCTGGGTTCTATTTCCAGTATTACCAACCCCCGCCCCAAAAAGAAGGAAAGAAAAAAGAAAAAAAATTACATATAATGGTTACAGAGTTCTACCCATACACTGAAATTTAACACATACCTTTCTATTCCATCAGTAGGTTGTTTCCAATTTTTTGCTATTATAAATAATGCTGCAATAAATAGCTTGATTAGTGAATGTTTGAATCTCTAATTAGTTCCAAGGGATAAATTCCCAAAAGTGAAATTACCGAGAAAAATGGAATGAACCATCCTTACGGCTCTTACTATGTATTTCCAAATCTTTCACCTCACATAAAAGTTCTTTCAAAATAAATCAACAGCAGCTAAAGGCAGAATAAACATCAGTTTCCTCACACACATTCTTTCAGATCTCTACAAGTTACATCTCTAATCCTATTTGTATGTATCTCCAGAAAAAATATGAAATATATTTCATATGAAATATGAAAAAAATATACTTTTAACTTATCCTTTTTTCTCTAGATTTCTAGACTTTTCTATTTTTAGAGGAGAAATCCTTTTAATTTCAAACTTGAATCTGAAACCATCTTTTTAAAATAGACCTAAATTTATGAGTCCCTCTAGAATTAAACAGATATAAATTCAATTCTAATCCCGGCCATTTACTAACTGTATGATTCTGGTTAGTGATTTAATCAAGTTTCTTGAGTAAATCTCAGTTTCTTATAAAAGGGGACACTACTACTTACTTAACCAAGGCTGACCTGGAAATTACGTGAGACAATAATAGAAGTATGAGTACTTATTCTTACATATTGTTTGGTATAGTAAGTATTCAATAAACATATTAATGTAATGAAACCTTCTGAAGCCCTATGTATTTCTGAAATAAAATAGACTAATCTGAAAATAGATAGCACTATAATAAAAAAATCTTAATTTCAAAAGAAATCAAATGTTTTCTTAGAATAAAATGAACACATTACTCAAAAAAGTCATGTGTTAAAACCTAAGAAAATATCTTTTAAAAAGGTTGCTTCAGGGCTGGGGATATAGCTCAGTGGTATCGTGCCTGTCTGGAAAGTGCAAGGTTGTGAATTCAATTCCTAGTACCAAAAAAACAAACAACAAACAAATAAAGGTTAATATAACCTCTTCAGAAACATGTGAGAACATGTTATATCTGTCAATCACATTACCCCAACTCTACTGGTTTTATATATTACAGTCAAATTAAAGCTAATGATTACCTGTCTCTAATTATTGTGTTTTTTGGTTTTGTTCTATATTTTGAGACAATGCTCACTATGTAGGGTAGGCTGTCCTTAAAACTAATTTAGGTAGTCCAGGCTGGTCTCAAACTCATGTTAATTCTTCTGCTTCAGCCTCCTGGGTATTGGGATTACAGGCATGCACTACTATGCTTGGCTTGTCTCAGTTGTTGACAAAACAACTCGCAACAGAAGTCTTTCTTGCCCCAGATATTAAACAAAAAACAGATTAAAGGAGCATATTATTATGATTTTTCTCTACAGTACAAAAAGTATTTTCTGTAGGTTTAAACATAGATATTTCTACTTCACAGGGTTTTCTTTTTTAACACAATGGAAATATAATCATAAAATACCTCACAATATCCAGGATCTATACACACATGACAATGTGTTAGGTATTCCATAAACTGAGTTGACAGACAACAGAAATTTTACTTAATATTCAACAGCAAGAATAATTAATGTTCAACCATGTTATAAAGGACTTGAGCTTACGAATAATAATAGTAATTATACACACACACACACACACACACATACACACGTGCGCGCGCGCGTAATTTTTTAATTTTTTCTCTTTTTTTGAGATCATCTTAGTCTGTAATTCAGGCTGGTCTTAAACTCACTATGTAGTCCAGGCTGGTCTTGAATTTATAGTGATCCTACCGCCTCCACCTCCTCAGTACTGAGATTCCAAGTACACAACATCACACCTGGCTTTAGATCTGCTAAAAGGACTATTTGGAGTTGACTGGTTAAATATATTACAAAGGTGCATACTTAGAATCTCCATACCCCAGGAGGTTGAGGCAAAGACTCGCTAGCTTGAGCCCTGTCAAGGGAACTCAGTGACTTTGTAAGACTGTCTCAAAAAATGAAAAGAGAAAAGGAGGAGGAAACAAACAAAAACAAAAAGAATGGGGCTATAGTTCAGTGCAAAGGGCCCTCGTTCAATCCCTAGTATTGCCAAAAAAAATTCTTTTCTCATTCTAAAGTTTTGTTTTTCACATTTACCAGGAGCCAAAGAATGGTAACAAGACTAAGGAAGTAAGACTAAGAAAGTAAGAAAGCAATTGCTAATAAAAAAGAATTAGTCAAATGGATCAGGAAAAAGAAAAACAAAGTCAAAAGAAGACAACACTATTACTATAAAACCTATGTAGTGTGGTGACTTCTTTGAAAATTTTTTTCTAATTCTACTTTGTTTAAAAGAAATCTCTAGTTAAATTAAGATATATTTTTTCCTATCAGAATTTTTTGATAGAAATGCTAAAAGAACAGAGAAGGGGAAGTAAAATATACTGCTTATATCTATCAATTTATACACACATAGAAAAAATCCATAAATATTAAGTGTTCAAAGAACTTCAAACTAACTTCAGATAAATCACTTGGCAATATAGTTCATGTCCAAGATACCTAAAACTAATGTAAATAATTTCCTATTCATGTGATAAAGGTATAGAAACTTGGGGATTTTTCCATATTTTAAGATGACTTTTTGGTTCAGCATAATGTTTGATCAGTTTTGGGTAGAGGTAGAGTCAGGAAAAAATGAAATTGACCAAAGCAAAACAAAAACAACTCCCAAAACTCCTACAGTATAAGCTATGAAATATATTCTATTCACACTACTTGGATTTTGCAAAAAATTGGCCATCTCAAAATGTATTTATTATGTTTACTTAACCATGCTATCATGTCATACATTAAGTCAAAGCAACCGTAATTCCTCAAAGAATTTTCCATACTTTTCTCCCTTCAAGCTTCAGGGTTAAGACGTCAGAAACAGCTAAATTTTGAAGGGTAAGCAATGAGTATAGAAAACTATGATTTATGATATGTTTCAAAGATACTGTTGTAAAGTTGTACGTTCAACTTCTATCACACACATCACTAAATACCTACTCTGTAAAGGACAATGTATCTTTATAGATCAGTCTTGCTAGCTTTTTTGGGAAAGAGCAAAGCAATGTTCTTGGAAACTGCTTACAATAGGATGCCTTACCAAAAGGAGGTAGTCCATACGTTTGTGTTGCCTGAGGGTAGACAGCATAGGGTTGAGGCTGCTGTAGTGTCTGGTACTGAGTCTGCCCAGGGTAAGCAGTTTCCGAAACAGGAACTGAGAGGATATGTGCATAAGGTCTAGAAAAATTCAACAACAACAACAAAAAACTTTCACATGTGACTTATTGTAGTAAGAAAAACAGGTAAAATAGCTAAAATCATCAAAGCATAGAATCGGAAATGAGAAGACTAATCTCCCACATAAATGCGTGTTATTATTTAAGTCAGACAGTGGAACCCTTTTTCTTTTCAGATTCCACTGTCATCTATTCAAGGAACAATTTTATGCAAAACATAATAGTTTCAAACATCTCTGATGTGCAAGCAAGGTCCTATGTGAAACACAAAGATTAAATTTATTTATGCCTTTGGCTAAATACAGAATAAAACTCTAAAACAACAGAAAACTGGATTCTAAAAAAGAAAATGAGACGAGCAAAAGAGATTAAAGCTGGTGGAGAAAAGACAAACAACTACATCAGAAAACAGCAGGTAGGACTGTGCCTTAATATCTTCCTAAAATCAAGCCTATAAAATAGGAATCAAGTTAACTATCCAAATCTAGGAAGTCCCAAATGTGATGCACTGAACATTTAGATACCATTTATTTTATCTGTTATGAAAGTGCTTATGTACAATATAAATCATAAGAACAAAATGCAGACTGGAAGGCAGTGTTTTATCAGGAAAAAATTTTTCCTCCCCTCCAGTTTTGGGGGAAAAGGACAACTAAAGAAGGCTATCAAGAAGTGGTATGCAAACTGAGTAGGTAGGGGAAACACAAAATTGTTGAGAAACGGTGTTCTAGGACAGGAAAAAAAAAACCCAGCAAAGGTGCAGCAGAAGGAAGCAAGGGCTTTAGCCTCCAAGAAACAAACATTAAGGCAAAGTAGTTAAGAGAAGGAAAGTAGCAAGTGAAAGAGAAAAATAGCAAGCCCCTTAATGCTAGCCTAGAAGTTCACAAAAATCTAAAACAGCTCAAATTGTTAAGAGTGACAAGACAAAGTATTCTTTTCTTTTTTTGTCTTTTTGAGACAGGGTCTTGTGATGCAGTTCAGGCTGGCCTCGAGCTCACTTTGTAGCCCAGGATAGTCCCAAACTCGCAACAATCCTCCTGCCTCAGCCTCCCGAGTACTGGGATTACAGATGTGAGCCACCACACTTGGCAAGACAAAGTATTCTTTAATAAAGATTAATTGGACATGTCTGTCTAAAACAGATGAGAGGCTGGCCATGGTGGCATATGCTATAATCCCAGCACTTGAGAGGCTAAGACAAGAGGATCATTGAGTGTTCAAGGCCAGCCTGAACCACATAGTGAGAGCCTGTCTCAAAAAAAAAAAAAAAGAAAGAAAAACAAACAAAACAAATAAACAAAAAAACCCAAAACAAAACAAACTCACTCAGAATGGTTCTGAACACCAAGTGGTAAGAAAGTCTAAAGACAAGAAGACATAGCTAACAAGAGTGCCTTGAGTATAGTGGATATGCAAATACTTTGTTGTGCATTTTAAATTCACTATGTAACATATTCGTATCTCAGTGGATTCTGAAACTGTATTCTTTTAAAAATTTTAATGAAAAAAATAAAACAAAATTTCTTAACAAGGGAATAATAAAACCAAAGTAGTTACTTAGAGACAATGACGCTATATTCTTATCTACATCTAAATCCAGAAAATAGTCCAGATTATAGTTGTTACTCAAGTCACATGGGAATAATTTGAAATGTTAGCAGATCACAAATATCTCAATCTTCCAGATATGACAAAGATCATAGGTTAGAATTTTAAGTTCTTTGTAATGATTTCAGATAATAGCTTTAGTCATTTCACATATGAAAATGACTAGCTCCACGACGCAATTAGTGTTAAAACCAGATTAGAATTTGGAAAACTTATTAAACTGACTTTTTAATTTACTTCTTTTTAACTAATGTGAATTCAAATGGAAAGGCGTAAGAAGAGGAAAAAATGGCAGTTTCTCTCACAGGCATCTCTCACCTCTGTTACCAGTTTCTTTATATATCCTGCACTTGTAAGCACCTAAGAATGAATCCTGGTTTATAAGGACACCTATATATGTCTGTGTATGGACACACCCACTCTCTATCAACATGCAATTGTTATCTTGGTACACAACTGTTCTACACCTATTTTGGAATTGACTAACTTAGTTGGTCATAAATGCTAATCTTACCCTGGGAAGACCCAAAACTTTATCTCTCAGTGACTTCGACCTAGCAACCTGGTTTTGTTGTTATTGTTGTTTTTTGAGTCAAGATTTCATTATATAGTTTAGGCCAGCATTGAAGTCGCTTTGTGGCCCATGTTGGCCTCAAACTCACAGTGATACTCCTACCTCAGCCTCCCGAATGTTGGTACAGGCATGGGCTGCCATACCTGTCCTACCAACCTTTTTAATTTCAAGCCCAATTTTTTTTTTTTTTTTTTTTGTCTTTTTGAGACAGGGTCTCTCTATGCAGTTCAGGCTGGCCTTGAGCTCACTGTTGTAGCCCAGGCTGGTCTCAAACTTGCAACGATCCTCCTGCCTCAGCCTCCGGAGTGCTGGGATTACAGGTGTGAGCCAACACGCCCAGCTCAAGCCCAATTCTTATGCTGAAGTCATTTCTCACATGAAAAACCAAACACAGATCACGATGAGAAGTCCCAGTCTGGGGCTGGCCTGTGCTGCTATTATTGATCTGTATATCAAGGTAAAGAGAAAATGATCAAAGGTCAATCAGTAATATGCTTTTTTCACTAATGCTATTTTACATTTTCCATGGCTCTCACATTGGGATCCTATGTTACAGGCAACCATTAACTTTTGGAAAGAATGATATATAGTCTACATTATAAAGGGTTTTTTTTTTTTTTTTTTTTTTTTTTTTTTGAGACAGTCTCACTATGCATTCAAGTTTGCCCTTGGCTCACTTTGTAGCACAGGCTGGTCTCCAACTTGCAATGATCCTCCTACCTAATTCCAGCCTCCCAAGTGCTGGAATTACAGACATATACATCATGTCAAGCACTACATTTAGAAGGAATAAGAAAATCAGAGTAGAGATACAGAGAATAAGAGAAATGAGAAGTTAAATATCAAATTAAATTTTGCAACAAACCTAAAGGAAAAGTATATATATTTTGGAAATAATTATTTGACTTACTTTGCAGAATACATTTGTGAGGTATAATCATTGGATGAGCGAGGGATGTAATCGGTGCATGTCATAACTGAAAGACAGAACATTTTCAAGATTAAATGGGAAAATTGCATATGCTACTATATAGTCTCTTAAACTAAACAATAGAATACAGCTTGGATAGCAGGAAGTTTGAAAGACTATGTAACAGAAAATATTTCACTTTTGTGTTTACAGACTTGAGAGCAAGCACAAAAAGCAAAAACGCGGGGATTATGAAAAAGTCAACAGTTGGTAGCAGATGATCTACCTTTGCCCATCACTGATCTAAATCATAGATGAAGTAACCTCCTAAGCTTTCAGCTGGCAAACTTAAAACGTGACTTTTGTATCTAGGAAATTACATTATGCTTCTTCTCATTACTTATTCTCTGGGTGCTTACTCTAGTCTTAGTAAAGGGCCATTAAAATGACTTTTAGGAAGCCAGATTTGGGGGGAGTACTCATTCTTATCAGAAAACTGTTGCTAGACCCAATATGCTTCTATATTATATTTTGTGACTTGTAACTAAACCTTGTTTTAAATTTGGCACAGTGGAGACAGACTTGAGGAACTGATGTGATGCTCTGATGTACCAGCAAATAAAATGACTTTTCCAGCTAATCTCCTCTTGACCCTCATGATTTCTCTGAAAACAACTGCTATAAACTCTTGATTTGCTTAATTTTTAGGATAAGTGCTATAAATATTTGAGCCAAGTTTGACTGGTAACTAAATTCCACTTATTAGGCACTACATTTAGACCAGGTTGTAGACAGTTACATCATGAAGTGTTTTCACTAGACTGTTGAATTGTTCAAGAACTTCCTCTAATATCCATAAAAGCAGCTACTCTGAACAGAGACTAAAGTGAATCAACCAAGTTTGTCTAGCTAGATTCCCTGAAAAAATATCTGACCCAAAAAGAAACCCTTGGTTAAGAACAGATGAGGGGCCAATTCATGCCCAAAAGAAAGACAAATTATCATCTGTGAGTTTATCACAGAAGATCTTGTTCAATGCCACTGTTTGAGGTCTTTAAATATAATTAGTGGAAACTTGAAGATCACATTCATCTATATAAGCATTTCTCCTAGACCTGAAGTTTTACCATCTATCACACAGAAGGTAAGCAATGTTCATTCAAATTCTGCAGGTTTCATTCTGTCAATAGGTACTTTATAAAACACAAACCCTAGGGGCTGGGGATTTAGCTCAGCGGCATAAGCGCCTGCCTTGCAAGCAGGCAGTTGTGAGTTCCATCCCTGGTACTGATAAAAAGGAAAAAGACCAAAAAAAAAAAAAAAAAAAAAGTAAGTACCCTAGTTTGTCCCTTCTGTCAATCAGCAGAAGCCATGCTGGGTCTGGGAGGAGCACATCAAGAAACCAGTTCACCATTCTGGTAAGCCGCACAAACGATGTGGGGCCCAGGAAGAGAGATGCCAGTTGGTCCCTCCTGTGAATTGGCAGAAGCCATCTGGGTCTACGAAGAGTACTTCAAGAAAGTAGCTGATGACAAGAGTAGTTTCAATGGAACAGTGGAGAGAGAGAACTCAATTTGACAGGGTCTGAAACAAGAGAGGGTAACTCTTTTCAGGGGTTCTGATGTGTGCTGCTGCAGAGAGAAAGTCTACAGTGCATGACGTGGAGCCAAAGGGGACTCTTATTTGTATTTGAAGATGGCAGATACCGTCTATCATTTATTGACAGGAAGAATTTAAGAAAAGAAGACTGTGATGAGTAGTAGTCACTGGATAACTGTACCACCAAAGTTCTAGCAGAAGATAAGAGAGGATATGATATATAATGCAAATGTAAGTATTTAAAATTTGACAGGAACAAGAATATCTTTCCCAGTCTAACAAGAAGGAAGCAAGAAAACACGCATACAAATACCAGCATATATGAGACTTGTCATGGCAGGACAATAACTACCTGTCTGAGCGCATTTATTCAAGAAGTTAGCATCCACTGACTGAGGTAAAGTGAGCTTGGTGCTTTGAAATATTACAAGGCAAAACTAATCAGGAAAGTATAGAATTTTTAACATACTGTGAGCCCACTTGAGGCCCTGTACTTTGATTAGTATAATAGGATTATGATTATGAGTTATGGAAAGGTTAAACTAGGACAGGGGTTTAGCAAGGGTTTAGGATTTTTAAGAGGCATTAAAAGTACTTGTTATTGAAAATATTTGTAAGAGAGTAATTATAATAAAGGGCCAGAGAATCTATGCCTCATAGGAAGGAAAATGAAGGTATGTGAAGTATGATGGGTACCAGATAAGTCATCTACATGAATGTTAAAATCACAAAGAGCAGTAAGAATTTGGATAGGGAAGAAAACAAATATTTAGTTTTTAAAGAATAGAATGACTTTTACTTTAAGTAGCTCAGCCTAAGGTAATAAGGAAAGATGGGGAAAGTATAGATCAGACTTCGTAGAAATTACTTTTTGAAGAAAACTGATGATAAATTATTTGGAAGGATTGAGAATACTCAACTTACTTTTTAGACCTAAAGTATGTACATAAAGCATAAGATTTTAGGGTATAGGTCTTTTAACAGAGGGTGGTGTATTTGTGTATAGGTGTGAGTTCGACGCTCAGGACCCAAGAGATACTGCATTGATTAGAGCAGTTTCTCATAATATGAAGTTTCCTATATGTAGTAGATTCATCTAGTGTAGTAACATCATGAAAATTCCACTTATAACAGATCTACTAAATAATATCTGATGATATAGTTAGAATTCTACATTACAAACAAGCATTTTAGATGATTTTTTGTGTTAGGCTAAAAGTTGAAGTACTGAGACTTAAAGCCTCCTTTAAGGAAATAATATACAGAATTCAAGACATCTATTTTTTTTTTTAAAGTCATACTTCATTTAAGTAAAAAAGTCATACATGTCAAGGATACTTGAGAGGAAACAGTCCCCAAACAAATGCCATTTGAAAAAATGTCCTACATAAATTTCCCCTTATAAAGTATGTGATAAAATAGTAAGGCATAACTATTTAATTTCAAGAAGGACTACTTTCCCTGTGGAGCCAATATGGGGAAGCAAGTAGGTATGCTACACAAAGTCTGTCTCCACGAGAAAAAACCCAGAACATTCCATAAAGATTCTGTATAATATACTAATGTAACTGTCCTACAGGAGAGTGAGAGTTGGTACGTGGGGGGTTTATCTTACTGAGCTGGTCTTACTTTTAGACCCTAGTATCAAACTTGGGCTCAGGGAATTGGTATTCTTTCTTGGCCAAGATTTAACAGATGAGGCCACTTGATTTTATTAGTAAGGAAGAAAAACATCAAGTCTCCCAGAAGAGCAGAGCAATCAAGGGTTTGCTCACAAATGTTTCTCATTTTGAGTAGGGCACTAGTACCTTCAAAACATCCAACTTCAGACAAAATCACTAAGTGTGACTTCTGAGTGAGAAGATCCCTCTCAGCCAGTTATGTCAATAACGCTTACAGGACAGTACAACTGAACATACACACAAGGAGGGGAGATCTTTCTGATTATTCTGAGACAATCTAGGCAATCAGTGAAACCCAACTACACACAAAAAGCATCACCTGGCTACTGGAATGCCCCTTCCATCATGCACAAAATATGGTACTTACTTTCCTCTGATATGGTAAGGTTTGAAGCAAGGCTTGATGTTTCAGGTTTCTGATCACTGACATCCGGACTGCTAACTTGACTGAGAGAACCAAAATGAATACATTAGCACCTGATTGATTTGTGGCATTGCTAAAAGTGATGAGCTCAAAAAATTAAAATAAAAGTGATGAGCTCAAAGTCCTTTGTTCCTAGACTATACAAGTAAGAGGCCAGGTAAATCTTTGTAATATTCTTATTGGTTTTTAGCACCTACATGAAAAGAGCTAGGGTCAGGTTTGATACCCATAGAATTCTATTGTCCTTTTTAGATTCCTAAACCCCTTTTAAAAAAAGTTTTCATACCTCTCAAAAACTCTGGTTAAGTTGTGAGCAAGCAAAACTTTTCTTTAAGAATACAGTAGAAGAAAAATTCAAAACTTCTAAAACACTATTGTTGTCACTTTTAAAAACACTATATACTATGTATTTTTAGGAAATAATGTTAATGTTTTGATTCTGATTACACTGTGGGATGATAAAATAAAGCTAATTAACAAATCCACTATACACTTACTTTCTGTAGCAAATATATTTTAAAATTTATTAATAATTTTGAAATATATGATGTATTACTATTTACCACAATCACTATTTTGTTTACTCTGTCATTTTGGTTCCACAGTTCTGTAGGAAAGTAGGTAAAATCAACTTTCTCAAATAGTTCTTTTTTTTTTGTCTTTTTCCTTTTTATTGGTACCAGGGATTGAACTCACGACTGCCTGCTTGCAAGGCAGGTACTTATGCCGCTGAGCTAAATCCCCAGCCCCTCTCAAATAGTTCTTAAACAGCTTTAAATCATAATCATTTAAAAAGTTTTTCCAAACTACACAAGCTTATTTCCAAGTAGGGGTTCCGAATCCTTGAAATGGTTGAATTCAATGTATTTCTTTTGTCATATGTCAGACAAGTGTTCCACCACTGAGGGATTTTTTAGGGGGGAAGAGGGTTCTTTCTGGATACAGGATTTTGCTATGTACTTCAGGGTAGCCTTAACTCACTTTGCAGCCCAGGCTGACCTCAAACTAGCAGTGGTTCTCCTGCCTCAGCCTCCCAAGTGTTGGTATAGGTGTGTGCCACCATGCCCAGCTTTTTTATTTTCCTGTTAACTTAGGAAATTTAAAAGAAATTTTAAAAGGTAAAGCAACAAACTGGGAGGGCAAGTTACCACATTAGACACTGTAATGCTGGAAAGATTCCAGTGAAATTCTGGAATGGAGATTATTCCAACATGCTGTCCCTCATAATTTTCTTTTCTTCTCTTCCCATTTCACATCTCTCTCTCTAGTTATTCCCTACCACTGTAACAGTGGCTAGAAGCACAGATTCTACAGTTAAATAGTTCATTTATATTCCACCATCCCAATAACTATTATGAACTTGGATAAGTTGATGACCTCTATGTTCTAGTTTATTTGTTGATGAGGTCAAAATAAATCAACCATTCCTCATGGGGCTGTTTATACAAGAAATACTTAAAGGCAAAGTTAGAACATATCAAGTACACTATAAACTGGAAATATGATTATGTTACAACTTCTTTTCAGTCCAGGAACCCCATCCATACTCATGCTCCTTAGAAAGAAATCTCTTTCTCTTTCCTACTCCAGGGAGGGGTAAGGACACTGCAGCAGAGGTGTCATATATCTGAAAAGAAAAGGCTGACTAATCAGAGGTAAGCCTAGCTTCTACGTAGGAACATTAAAAGCTCTATGTCCTTTCTGAAACTGATAACTAATATGAAAATATTAATAGAGGAGTTTTCTGATACATTCAAATAAATTTTTCTTCAGAGGGTTTCTTTTTTTTTTTTTTTTTTGGTCTGCCAGGGTCTCACTGTACAGTTCAGGTGGCCTTGGGCTCATTCTGTAATCCAGGATGGTTGCGAACTTACAACAATCCTTGTGCCTCAGCCTCCTGAGTGCTGGGATTACAAGTATGAACCACCATGCCCGGCTTGTTTTGTTTTTTTTGAGGCAGGAGCTCACTATGCAGTTCAGGACAGTGTTGAATTCACCGTGTAGCTCAGACTAGCCTTAAATTCTCAGCAGTCTTCCTGCCTCAGCCACCTGAGTACTGGATTACAAGTATGCACCATCATGCCTGGTTCAGAAGTATTTAATTTTAAAAGTTAAATCCTCAGAGGTTTTTATATCTTTATTCAAATGCTTATTTTTTAGAAGACTATTTACTATAGTAACCAAAAAGAGAACTGTAAGGCGAGGCAAGAAATCATATACAGTAGTTATATCAGTGTTTTTCCACCTGGCTGAATCATGATAATATCCTGAATTGTTGATATAAAATAAGGATTTCAGAGCCTCATCTCATGCTTTTGAATTCCAGAACTTTAAATTTCAAACTTCAGTGACTGATTTGTCTTCTGTGTACACTTGAATACTCTGGGATTCACCACTATATCCTCTGTTAAAGACTATTTCTAGATACTGTATCTTAGGAGATATTTGTATGGCCCAGTAAATATTGAACCAGTTTCTAAAATTTTTTGGTCCTAGAATCTTATGTAACAGTAAAATCTTCTACACACTCAATTTATTCAGTTGAGCATTTATGAACTAAATAAACAGTGTTAAGACAATGAATTAACTCTTACTATTTTTAGAGAAACTGCACACTGCCTTAAAGTATAATTCCTTTGAGGGCTATATAAGCATGAATTTTGCTTAAGAGTGTGTGTATTGATCTGTGCATAGTGGTGCACTCCTGTAATCCCAGTACTCAGGAGGCTGAGGCAGGAAGATCGCTGCAAGTTCGAGACCAGCCTGGACTACAAAGTGAGCCCAAAGCCACCTGAACTGCATTGTGAGACCCTATCTCAAAAAGACAAAAAATCACCAATCACAATGTGCATATCATGAAAATAAAGTTGCTCAAAATAAAATGATGGAATAAAACAGAACAAAAAAAAAAGTGAACCAGATATGGTGGCACATGCCTGTAATCCCAGCACTTGGGAGGTTGAGGCAGGAGGGTTTTGGTGAGTTTGAGGCCAGTCCAAGCTGCACGATAATACACTGTCTCAAAAAAATGAAATCAAAACCAAAACAAACAAAACAAAAAAGAAGAGTGAAAACAACTAAAGTTTAGAAAGATGAGCATCACAGATATCTATCTCCTTAATAAGTAGGACTCTTGTCCATTATCAACAAGATCAGAGGGTGAATGCAAAGATAAAATATACTATACCTGAAATATTATTCAGACTTTAAAAAAACAAGACGACAAATTCAGTACTGTATAATTCTACTTTTATAAGGTGTTTATAAAAGAAGTCAACCCCAAAGAGAAAGAAAATAGAATAGTGGTTCTAAGCAGCAGAAGAGAAAAAAACAGAAATTAAGAATAGCCAATATAGGTTTGTGTTTTTCTTTTATAACATTAGAGTGACTAGAACATGCATTGAATGAGCAAACTGAATTTGAGCAAGGTTGTGTTTTTGCTAGGTTAAGTATGACACAGGAAAAAGAAATTAAGAATGTCTACAGCCAGGCACAGTAGAATATGACTGTAATTCGAGCACTCTGGGAGGCTGAGGCAGGAGGACTATACCTCAGGCTTAGGCCTGGGCAATTGAATGAGATCTTATCTCAAAAACATAAAGGGTTGAGGTTGTAGCTCAATATAAAGGCCCTAAATTCAATCTCCAGTACTCTTCCCCAAGAGAGAATTTCACAAAGGAACTGATAGTAATAGATATTAAAATTTAAACAGCACAAGGAAGAAACTGACATTTTTTTGAGGGAAGAGTAAATGGGTAGTAATGAAAAAGTAATAATCATTTAAATGGAAGTGTGAGAAATCATACAACTACTGTGCCAGGAATTTCTGAAGTGCATGTGTTAGAAGTGCTGGGAGTTACTGCCCTCATGATAAGTGGACAAATGACAAGGCGTAATAGTGGGGAGTCAGAGCACATAAAAAATAAAAATTTGCCTTTTCTTTCTTTCCTTTATATAAGTCTTCTTTTTGGAGACAAGTGTCTTGCTATATAGCTCAGGCTGGCCTTGAGCTCACTGTGTAGCCCAGGCTGGCCTTGAACTCACATGATCCTCCTGAATCAGCCACCAGTGTACTGGAATTACAGGCGAAGACCACCACATCCAACTTTTATTCTTTCTTTTTATCTTTTCCTTTCTAAACACTTAACAGTTTACCCCAAGTGCATCACTTTGGCAGCATGTTTATGTATTTACTGACTATCCCAAGCATCACTTGAGCAGGTATCATTTCAACCAGTTGATTCTTTTTTTATCTTTTTTTTTTTTTTGGTATGTGGAATCAAACTCACAACCTCATGCTTGCCAGGATTGCTGAGCTTTCTCTCCGGCCCAAATTTCCGTCATCTTGTATTTAAATAACTAGACTTGTGTGTGTATATATGATAACCCAGCATATGTACTTTGGGGAATAGCCATTTTGGAGAGCTGCCTTTTTGGTTTTTTTCCTTCTCTGAGATGAGTTCTATGTTTTCCAGGCTGGTCTCAAACTCAAGCAATCCTGTCTTGAAAGGAAATTTTAACATTAAACCCGGTAATTTCAAAATGCAAAAACTGACACTAAGAACAGAAAAAAAGGGTAGTCTTCCAAAAGAGGGTAGTCTACTATATGCCCACACAGTAACCAGAATGTGAAAAAAATAAACAACTGAGAAAGTCAATCTAGAGCAGAAGTTTGAGTGAATTAAAACACACCTAGAGATGGCTGGATTATGAGGGTGCTAACCTCATCAGTGTATTAACCCATTAATGAGTGCACTGCATCAGCAGGCTGATAGGAGATAGGTCCCAGAGGAGAAGCAGGTCATTAGGAGCATGTCTCTCAAAGATGTGTTTTTTCTTGGGTTTCTTCCCTTTCTTCTTTCTGGTTGCTACAGTGCAAGCAGTTTTCTTCTATCATTCCCTTCCACCATAATATTCCTGGCCTGAAGTCAACTGAACATAGATGAAAACCTATGACACTGTAGGCCAAAATGAATCTTTCTTCCTTTAAATTGTGTATGTCAAGCATTTTTTCCCAGCAACAGAAAGGTAACTAAATACAATCATTAAAAAAACTTCAATTTTACATACCTTAAAGTTTGTTCTCCTGATTCCTGCATTTTGGCTTTTTTTACCTGCAAAAATAAATATATAAAGAAATCAACACAGTGATTTGTTTTTGAAACAAATACAGGTGTGCTACTCAAATACAAAGGTTCCTTTGTATCTGTGGGGAATTGCACATACCAAACGCCGTAGACGCTCAAGTCTTGGTAAAATGGTGTATATTTGCACATAACTTACGCATATCTTCTCATGTACTTATCTCTGACAATGTAAATACTATGTATATAGTTGGAATGATAAGGAAAAATCTGTACATGTTCAAGACTGATGCAATTTTTCATCCAGTATTTCCCATTCTGCTACACTCTGATTTTAGAGCTCTCTTGTAAGAATAACTGGCAATAATAAAAATATGCATCTAGGTGTGGTGGTGCCTGCCTATGAAGCCAACCCTCAGAAAGCCAAGGCAGGAGGATCACAAGTTTCAGGTCAATGAGGACTACAAAATGAGGTCACAGCCAGCTTGAGCTACACAGAGAAACCCTGTTTCAAAAAAGGAGAAGAAAAAAGGAAAAGAAACATGCTTAGATATTCAAATTATGAAACTTTAAAAGTACAGTATTTCAAGTTATGAAAAAAGCAAACTGTTAGATAATTTTAAAGAAACATGTAAATTGGTAACATGGCTATTTATTAAGATTAAAACTAACATTTTTGACAAGGTAAATAATGAATTCAAGGCCCATAAAAATTTTCATGGACATTTTTTTCTCATGAGAACATATAACCACAAAATAAATAAAACCACTTTCTGTTTCTTTTTTTTGTATCATCTAAACTTTTGTTATATTCAAAGCTGGCCTAATGTTCACAAGGCAGCCAAAAAAGATAAAGGGGAAAGGAAAACTTCCTGAACTTAACAAACAAAATTACACCAGCATTTGAAGCGAATGCTTAAACCCAAAGCTATAAAGGAGCAAATAGACATGTAAGATTACACAAAATTGTGAAGTCTGTTTATGATACTACACAGAAGAAACCAAACACGAGGATGATGGCTCCAGGACATTAAATAGACCATAAATCTGTTTTATAAATGTGAAACATAATCTCACTGGAAAGAGTAGGAGAAAAATGACCTAAGTAATGTTAGGAAACAATAACTGACTAGAAATTCTCTGGCTAAAGATAGAGAAAATTTACCTAATTTATCTGCCTGTCATGTCACAAATGACAAAATATCAGCTCATTATAAAATGTTCTGTTCAACCTACCTGAAAAGGATAGTGTTTACATAAGATCAGAGAATGTTCTTTTTCCAATAATGCAAATGAATTTATGCTTCGCTCATCTAAAGATGCTTTTTATTAGCAAAGAAAAGTATCTGTAAACTGTTTGGTTTTATACCCAAAATAGCCTATAGTAAGTGGTGGCAAACTTATGGCACATATGTCACAGCAGGGTGTTTATATCGTTGAAAGCAAGGTTTGTCATCACTGGTCTATGGTCTCCAAGTGATAATTCACACACTTATCACAGTCTTAATTTTATTAGAGTTATAGACTAACAAATTTAGTTAATCACCGCCTTGGAGCAAATATGTGTCACTCTTCTCTTGCCCCTTCTCTCTTCCTGAGACAGGGTTTCACTATGCAGTTAAGGCAAACCTTGAACTCACTTTGTAGCCCAAACTGGCCTCAAATGTGCAGCAATCCTCCTGCCTCAGTCTCCTGAGAGCTGGGATTACAAGAGCAAATTTTAAAAATTCAGTCATGCACCTTATAACAATGTTTCAGTAAATGACAAACTAAACATACAAAGTGGTTTTTTTAAAGATGGAGCTGAAAAATTCCTATCACCTAGTTACATTACAGTATTGTAATGGTGTTTGTGGATGCTGGTATAAATTTACTGAATGGCCAGTTATATAAAAGTATAGTCTGTACCAATTATGTGTAGTACATAATACTTATAATAACTGTTACTAGCTTATATATGTACTTAGCACTATAGTAGCTAGTGGCCTTGTCCCACCTGCTAATTACCCTGCAAGAAACTCTCCAGTGTTAAAAGTATCCCTCTATAATAGAATTTGTTTCAGCCATCCCATCATTCATTCAATGAGAATTCTGGTTCATAGTCATCCTAGAATTCATTCAATAGATTACTCCTTATCAAGTCTTTCTGACAGAATATAATGATAAATCAAATACACTCCTTAACCTCAAGGAACTTACAATCTTGTTAAAAAGAAAAACAAGAAAATAGATATTTCTAAAGCAAAGAGACTGTGGATTCTGACATTAGTGTAAGATATTACGGTATTGGGGGCTGGGGATTTACCTCAGCAGCATAAGCGCCTAACTTGCAAGAGCGTGGGCATGAGTTCGATCTCCAGTACCAATACAAAGAAAAAAAAAAAAAGATACTATGGTGTGCACTGAAGGGACACTGAAAAAAGACTTTACTGGGGAAAGTCGCTTGGGAATGCAGGGACACAGGAAAATAGTAAATCAGGTAAACTTCCTGCAGAAAGTATTATGACGCTAATTTTTTAGCTGGGTGTGATGACACAGATTTATAATCCCAGCACTTTGGAGGCTGAGGTAGGATTGCTTGGGTCCAAAACCAGCTTGGGCACAATGAGTTCAAAACCAGCTTTGAATACACAATGAGATCTTGTTTCAAAAACAACAACAACAACAAATCCCAGAAGTTTTCAGATTGTTTTTTTTTCTCACTCTGCCTATGGACAGAGTCGATAACTCTAACAGTATTTTCTGATTTTAATTCAACTGAGAACTACTAGTCTAAATTAAATTTGATGCTCCCACCTTTCTCATTTAGTCTTACTCAGGGAAAGCCAGTAAAATAAAAAGGGAATATAAAACCACTAATTTACAGGTTAGGCTTTTCAAAAAAATTTTTCCCAGATGATTCATCATATTGCATTTATTGTAAAGTTTGTTATTATTATATTGCAATATACTGTGAAATAATTATACAACTCACCATAATACAGAATCCCTAAATGTGTTTTCCTGCAACTAGATAGTCTAACCAGGGAATAATGGGAGACAGTAACACCTGATGTGTTGCTTATCTTAGGTTTAAAAAAAAAATGGTTTCTCTTCCAGCTGATATAGTGAATTTTAACTAGTTTCATCTGAAAAGATTCTAACATAGTACCCTAAAAAAGTGAGTAGTGGTATGTCAGTGAAACATGATGTTAGGACTGAATTTTTATATTTCTTCCCGAAATAAATTTTAAAATTTCATGCAATGATATTATCTAATATTGCCAGTGAAGTATTTCTATTGTTATTGGCCTACTCAAAAAATCTAGCTTTTTTTATTTTCGTAAATGGAAAAAGAAAAGAGAGGAACATATGTTAGGGAGAGAAAAAGATTAATAAAATCTGAAAATCTTCATACCAAAATGTATCGGGGTTTGTACATAGCTTGTAATTAATAAAGAATTTCACACTACAAGGGATAAATGTGATTACATATCTAGACTGTAATTTTTCAAATTGAGCATGCTTTTTTAAAATCATGTAATGTGTTGTCTTTAAAAAAAAAACAGACAACAATTGTAAGAATGTGTCGGGTGGTCAATTCCTAACAAATCAAAGAAAGGCCAAATGACCTTACCCTTCTACTGCTTTGTGTGATTGGCTATCTAAGGGTTTTGTTTCATTTTGTTTTTCTGTTACAAGGCCAATTTATCCATTATTGGATATGCTGTGCAAATGGAATTTACTATTTTGTTAGTAAAATATTTCTTCATACAAAAAAATTAAACTTGATGAATGATCTGGATTTAGTCAGGTAAAACAGAGAAACTTACATTTGAAAGTGGGAGAAATATAGAGGAAAGAGCAAGAGTAAAAAGATACACAGATAAGAGAAAATGAAAGTCAGTCTACTGAAAATTCGCTATAAACCAGGAATGAGTCCAAGGGAAGGGACGGTAAAACTGGGCAATGCAAATTAATAGAAGCTTAATCATGAAGGTTCTTATAAACTTGATTAAAAAGGAGTTCATTTATATCTTGAGGGTAACAAGGAGCCTTTGAATAGTAGCAAGATAACATGATTCACTCCGAATTTTAGAAAGATTATTCTGATACAAGACAGACACAAAATGAATGCCTGTAATCCCACCAGTTTGGTGAATGAGGCAGGAGGATCACTGTGAGTTTGAAGCCAGCATGGGCTATGTGGTGGGTTCAATGACAGTCTGAACTATGTAGCAAGAGCTTGCTCAAAAGACCAAAAGAATAAAAAAGAAAGGAAAAAAGGAAGGAAGGGAAAATGAATAGAAGGGGAAACAAACTAAATTTAAGAAAAGCTGAAGAAACTGTTGCATTAATTCAGATAGAAAAGATGGGCTAAAATAATTTTGCCAGTAAACTAAAGAAAATGAAGACCACAGCTGGACTGAGGTGGTCCCACCCTCCAAAATTCATACGATTATTACTGATAATTTAGCTATGTGCTAATTTCAGGGGGGAAAAGGTGGCAAATCAAAGCCATGAAATACAAACACAAATAAATATAAAACAAAAATACAGGGATTCATTTCCATTTACTGAATATATAATAAAGAGGAAAATCTCATCTACTGAATCTTTTTTAAAAGACCTTTTATACACAGGACACTAAACTGGCATTCTTTAGTAAAGAATATCACAAGGACAAAAAATATAATGGAACCAGGCACAGTGGTGCACATCTATAATCCCAGCACTTGAGAGGCTGAGGCAGGAGGATCAATGTGAGTTTGAGGGCAGTCTGAACTGCATAGTGAAACCCTGTGTCAAAACGATAAAGAAAAAAACTGGAAAGAAAAAATATATATAATGGTAGTGATATACAGATCTTTTGTTGGAGAGGCACTTCTAGCAAGTACACAGGCCCATTCTTCACTATTAAAATTTTTTTTAAGAATCACTGTTATAAATGATTTTGCTGGGCATAAGCAATCATCCAAATACACAAGAATCTATCAATAGGTTTGGAGATCCTCTCTGATGATCGTATAGCTTCTACTGGAAAAGGACAGAATGAAGCAATAGGGGCAAACCTACAGTGCAAATGCCACAGCAGGCTGTTTGTATCATTGAAAGTTCTAAAAGATTTGTCATCACGAGTATGAAGAGTAGCACTGAAACAAGGATAAGAAAGAGCTAGGGGCTTTTAATTATACAGCTCAGCAGTAAAGGACCTGCTTAGCATGTTCTAGGAGTTGCTTCCATTCTCAGTAGCACCAAAAACAAACAAACAAAAAAATCAACTTCATACTGCAATTTACTGAAGAAGAGAAGTGCTATTATCCTTTGATACTTTAAAATATTGCTGTGCTATAGTGATGTGCTCTGCCTGTAATCCCAGCTGAGAAGCTAAGGCACAAAGATCTCAAGTTTGTGGCCAGCTTGGGTAACATAAGACCATGTCTCAAAAATATATAAAAAATCGGGGCTGGGGATTTAGCTCAGCGGCATAAGCGCCTGCCTTGCAAGCAGGCATTCGTGAGTTCGACCCCTGGTACCGATAAAAACAAAAAAGACAAAAAAAAAAAAAAAAAATATATATATATATATATATATACATAAATTTTTTCCAGATCACACAGATATTTGATGCATTTATATCCTAAAATTTGAAGCTGTCAATTACTAGCTCCTGATGATTGATAGTCATATCCTTTTCTAAGTATCTACAAACATCTGCCAAATAATGCATTTTAATGCTGTTATTAATCAGCATTAGGACAGCGTAAGTCTAGAGCTTTTACCACCTAATTCTTTCCTATTATCATCTTTGAATATAAAGCAAAACAAACAAAACACTGCAACATTTCTTTATACTTTGTTCCAAGTTCCTGTCTCATTCTCTATGATTTTTCAGAAATAGTGACCACTAGCTTGGTAATCATGTTATGTTTTAGGTCTGCAGGATAAAAATCTCCATGAATGTGAAGGATTAGAACTCAGCTAAAGTAATTGTCATATTTACTTATAAATGATAATAAAATCTTTTTTTGTTGTTTTTTGTTTTCTGAGGCAGGTTCTTTGTAGTTCAGGATGGCCTCGAACTCATGGCAATCCTCTTGTCTCAGCCTTCCATGGAATTACAGGTATGTACCATCATGCTTGGCTAAAACCTTTTTATTCATTTGGTTTGTCTGTTTGTTTATTTATTTTTTGGTACCAAGGATCAAACTCGTGACCTCATGCTTGCCAGGCAGGTGCTTAAGCTACTGAGCTAAATCCCTGGCCAAACTTTTTTAAAAATTCAAATATACTCTCTTTTACAATTTGTAGATAGTGCCTCTTGACAGAGAAGATAAAAAGAAATTCTGGTGCTGATCATGGAGTACATATCCATAATCCCAGCTTCTTCAGAGTCTAAGGCATGAGGATCTCAAATTCAAGTCCAGTTTGGGCAACTTAGTGACTTACTAAGACCCTGTCTCAAAAACTTAAAAATAATAAAAGTTCAAAGGTCTGGGATGGCCGAGCGTGGTGGCTCACACCTGTAATCCCAGCACTCGGGAGGCTGAGGCAGGAGGATTGTTGCGAGTTCGAGACTAGCCTGGGCTACAAAGTGAGCTCAAGCCCAGCTTAAACTGCATAGTGAGACCCTGTCTCAAAAAGACCAAAAAAAAAAAAAAAAAAAAAAAAGGTCTGGGGATACAGCTTAGTGTGAGTGTTCTGGATTCAATCTTCAGTATGGAGAGGGGGTCAAAATTCCAGTTTGAGTTAGTCACTGTGCCACAGGTTCCACGCTTTTCTTTTTTTTACTGTAAACCAAAAGGTCCTCTTTTTCTATCTCTTCTCGTTCCTCTTCTTTTGTAGTGCTGGAGATTGAATCTAGGACCTTTGTACTGGGTTGCATTCCTAGGTCTTTCCTCCTCCTTTTGAAACACTAAGGTAGGCTCCAATTTGCAATCTTCTTGCCTCAGTTTCTAGAATGCTGGGATTACAAGCACATGCCACTACTTCTAGATAAAGGTCCTCTGATGTTCTAAAGAATGTTTTGTAGGGGCTGGGGATTTAGATCAGCGGCATAAGTGCCTGCCTTGCAAGCAGGTAGTCGTGAGTTCAATCCCCGATACTGGTAAAAACGAAAAAGACAAAAAAAAAAAAAGAATGTTTTGTACCAGTCACCCCTTTTCTATTTGTAGCTTAGACTATATTTTGTCTATAATCATGATACTATTTTGTCTTCAGTATAACTGGGTCCTCTTTTTAAAGGTTAAATTCATGCTGAGAATGATGGTGCATGCCTATGATCTCATCACTCAGGGAAGCTCAGGCAGGAGGATCCCAACTTCAAACTTAGCCTCAGTAACTTAGTGAGACCTTGTCTCAAAATAAAAAAATTAAAGAAGGGGCTGAGGTTAGAGCTCAGTGTAAAAACCCTACGTTTAATCCCCAGGACTAGGGGAAAAAAATAAGAGTTAAAAACACTTCCAGGCACAGTTATACAGACCAGTAATCCCAGCTAATGAGCTGGCCAAAACAGGAGGATTGCAAGTTCAAGGCTTGCCTAACTAAGTAATTCAGTGAGACTCTGTCTCAAAAATCAAAAAAGGGCTAGGGATACAGCTCCCTAGTAGAAGGCCCCTGGGTTTAATCCCTAGTACCACACACATGCACACACACATATATGCTCAAAAGTTAAATATAAAAGGTATATGCTTATTATTTTTAAAAATTCTAACTATACAGATATATTTAGAATAAAACATGAAAGATCTATCATACCCTCTACCAGGGTGATAAGCATTTACACATCATAGCAGAAAACTGAGTTTTAATGCTTCAGCATCTTACCTTCCTCTAAAGTAACAATCAGGTTCTGTAGATCATGTTATAGAACTTTAACAGAATGACAGGAAAATGAGGCAGAGGAAAAAAGATGACTTGATAGCAACTCAGCCTCACAATTCCCTTGTCCTTAAGTAGGTAAGAAGTAATAGTTATGCCAACAATTACATAAGTCTTTTGAAAATATGAGTAGACTTTTGTCTTACACTGACCACTGAATATAATTTTCCCTAGAACACTTAGTGCCTATAATTCTGCTCTTTGCCCCAGTGGTGTATATACTATATATGAGTACACTGCTCAGGATATATTTTTCAAGCTACCACTTCTCTAATTATTATTGTCCCAGTGTTTGCTTCAGCAGCACATATACTAAAATTATTATTGTCCCAAAGATAGGGGCTTACATACATTTCAAATGTTTCACAAAGTCTTTCTACTAGTTATGTCTTATTAGTATTATACTTATCTTAACTGAGAGGGTAAAAAGAATAATAACAAAGTAATTATCATATAATTCTTTTTTTCAGTATATAATTCTTAACAAAGAATAATATTAAAAATACATTAAAAGATGTCATTTAAATAGAAGCTGTTGTTTGTCTTTTTGTGATGTAAAGCCTACATCTAGACTCCTGGTATGGCGGAATAGGTTTGCAATCTTAACACACTGGAAGGCTGAGGTGGGAGGATGCTAAGTTCAAGGCAACTTATCAAGACTCTGTCTCAGAATTTAAAGGGAGGTTGCTGCTGGGGACATGGGTTAGTGCAAAAGCTCTAGTTCAACTCCCAGTATGAAAAAGAAAAAAGGAAAGAAAAAAAAATACATCTGGAACATACACATAAAATCTTATTACCTGCTTTCAAAATTCAAATTTTTCTAGACTGGTCTTTCATAAAATTATCAGTATGTATTCTCTCTCAATATGAAATCCAAGAGGCCCATGAACTGAATCACTGTTTAACTTTAGAAAATACAAAAAGACCCTTAATTAGACATGGTGATACTAGCCTATAACTGCAGCTACTCAGAGGCTTAGGCAGGAAGACTAAAGTATAAGCTCAGAATGGGCAACATAACATCTGTCTCAAAAACAAAATTTAATTAAAAAAAAAAAAGATCTGATGATGTAAAGCTCTTGTGTAACCATGTACAAGGCCCTGAGGCTATTCCCTGTGCAGTTAAAAAAAAGACCCTTTAACATAAAAGTTATCTTATACACATACACAGACACTATTATTTCCAGTTTTTCAATGATTAGGATGAAAAGACAAAAGAAAGTCATGAAAAGAAGCCATGGCAAGGCAATAAACCCATAGTGGACATTTAAATTGTATTTATTAAATTAAATAATTAGCCGGGAATAGGGTACGCTCCTGTAATCCCAGCACTTAGGAGTTGAGGCAGGCAGATTGTTGCAAGTTCAAGACCAGCCTGGGCTACAAAGTGAGCCCAAGGCCAGCCTGAATCACATAGTGAGACTCTGTCTCAAAAGGCAAAACAAAACAAAAATTAAATACTTAACAGATACTCAATCTGGTCTCTAGGATGTTTTAAGAATTAACAGGTGGTCAAATCACACTTTCCTTATTATGCTTAAAAAAATTGAGTCAGTGAGAGAAATTTAGACAAAAATAAGACAAAATTTTCTGCTAGAAATGGTGATTCACTGTATAAGTGATAATCTCTTTTAGAAAATTAAAAGATGGGCCAGGGATTTAACTCAATGATGTAAGCACCTGCCTGGCAAGCACAAGGTCGTGAGTTCAATCCCTGATCCAAAAATAAATTAAAAAATAAACAAATAAAAGTTTTTTATTTTCTAAAAATTGGAACACGAGTCACTGATTTTTTTTAAAATGACATTTCCAAATACAACAAGATTTTGTAATGATAAATTTTTTAAATAGACTCTTTAGCATTAAGTTAGCCAAATATGAGTTTAAAAACATAAAAATTGTTTTCTTAGAGGAAAACTATTAACAAGTCTTTATTTTCATTTTTAATTTGGAATTTGTAAGTACATACAATTAAATTTTAAAATCTCTATAATCATTAAATTGTTAAAGGAAATACTTACTGGTTGCTCTGGTAAATCTTGTTCTTCTTCCATGAAGACCAGTATTTCTTTATTACACTTATGGGACTGGATTCCAAGTCTCTTTCTGCAGTCTTCACAATCTGTTCAAGAGATGGGGATTCAAAGCTTTATATACCTTTAAAATATAATCATTGAGGCCATCAGAGAATAATTTTTAAATATTTTGCTATCCCAAGCTTTTTATGCTAGTTATCATCTCAAAATCTCAAACTTGCACGTGGCTTTTGAAAACTGACATGCTGCACCATGTCAAGAAAGGAGTACACGATGATTTTATAATACCCTGCAAAAGCCAACACGTGGAATCACTTCTGCTGGTTACTATAGTGCCTAATGCATTAAACATTTTACAGTGACAGCAACGTGCAGATAATAAAACAAAAAATACTTTACGGATTAGAGTTACATTTAAAATGATAGAGACTAGCCTAGCCAGTCAGTAAGTTATGATAACATCTAACCTGTTTTAATGTGGAACATTTATATAACTGTTACAGACACACAGAATCACTCTAAATAGGGCAAACTGGAATACCAATTAAATACATTCACAACCAACTGTGTATATATAAATAATTTAAAGGAAAATGTAATTATTTAGGATTTTAATAATGAAAATAAAACAAGTGAAATGAAACTTTAAATATTAGACTAAGGAAAAATAATAACATAAAGTTAGACCCCAGTGTAATTCTGAAATAAGTTTCCACTAAATATACAACGCAAATTAAGCAACATCTTTTTCTTCTTAGACCCTGCACTTTCCATCCAGACTTTTGAACAAAAAAAGAAAAACAGGTTTTAAACCCCGCATTTACTTGTTTGATCACTGTTCTGTTCCCTGCTGGCAGGAGACAGACAGAAATTTTAAAAATAAAAAATTCCATGTCTATTTAACACATATGATCCTAGTTCTTTTCCCAGCCAGGTATGATTGCTTATGCCCTTGAAAGTCACACCTAGGTTCATTTCATCTATGAACTACTGTACTCACTTGACGTATGAGCACAAAGCTTATGTATGGAATCTTTTTGGAAAAACAATGAAAATGGATAAATAATGTGAGTAGGGAAACAAAAACCTTCAGGTATGCATGTACTATTACTGTTTTGGTGCAATATAAGACATTTTACTCTAGTACAAGGGAAAAAGAAAACACATGTAAGAGATACATTTAGATGCAAAATTTTGACAATCAGATGACACAGCTTTACTCCTTTGTCTTGGTCTAACATGTCAAAAGGAAAAAAAAAGTTTAAAGGTCAGAAGCACTTGCTTAATGCACTCACATGTAGCTCATACAAAGCCTCAAAATCTAAGTTCTCCTAAAACATGACGCAGGTAACTAATGCTGCAGAATTACAAGGTACAAACACTAAAGCTCACAGGCTTTTGGTTAAATCAGAAAAGTACTGTCAATGTGACTCACAATTGTGGTTTTTTTTTTCCTTTTTATCGGTACCGGGGATCGAACTCACGACTGCCTGCTTGCAAGGCAGGCGCTTATGCCGCTGAGCTAAATCCCCAGCCCCAATTGTGGAAAAAAAGTAAAAGCGAATTTTTTTTACCAGTTTATATCTCAGTTTTAGATTGAAATGTCTGTATAAGATTATAGTACTGTCTAAATGTATAATATGTACATATATAATTTTAACCCATAAGAAACAGCAAAATGGGACCAAGTCATTAGAATAATGTAATTATTTTTAATACCTCATTTGCTGAATTTTTATGAGCCAATTCTTATCTATACAAAAAGTGGTAACATTCTATTTCCTTCAATTAAAGGACATGAATGTTGAACTGCAACACTAATGTATAGTCTTGGCAAAAGAGACAGGATTTCCCTTTACCCATCTTGGTGTAAGAGGAAGGTAAGAATTGGAAAAAAAAAAGAATGATAATAATGTGCTTTAATTTTTTAAAGCACAAAAACTATTTTATTTAAAAAATCTGAACAAAATTTTTAAAACAACTTATTTTATAAGTTAAAAAAAGAGTCACAGTTTTTAAAAAGCAAGAAATGCTATCTAAACAGTAAGGGTATCAATGCTCAAGTTACACAAAACCAAAAAATAAAATCTTAAATTTATGACAGCTGTGACAGAGAATGCCTATTATAGTACCAGCTACTCAAGAGGCTGAGGAAGTGAGATCAGAAAGTCTCATGCTAGTCTAGACAACTTACTGAAACTGTCTCAAAATTAAAAAAGAAAAAGGCTTGAGAATGTAGCTCAGAGATCCTTGGTCTTAGTCCTCACTACTGGAAAAGAGGCTTTGAATTGTGTTTTTTTAGGGAAAAAAATGTATATGTAACATTGATTTTTATTAGCAAGATAAGACTGTTTTTTTTAAGATGAATTCTATGAGAAGCTACAAGACAACTTTAAACAGAAAAACTGGAAAAACATTCCTTTATACCTCTATTTGTTTTGTTATTATTCTTTTTCTCTATTTTTTCCTTTGAAACAAACACGTTTTATTTGTTCCTATGGAAATAACTACCATTATTTTCTCACTCTTCAACTCATAGAAATAAAAAGGACATAATTTCTATATTTGAAGAACTTTTAAAAACTAGGTGTGATATATTAAGGTAACTAATAAATAACCACTAATAATTTTAATCATTTAAAAATAAAAAATCTATAAATAAAAAATATGATTGAGGGGCTGGGGATTTAGCTCAGCGGCATAAGCACCTGCCTTGCAAGTGTGCGGTCGTGAGTTTGATCCCTGATACTGATAAAAACAAAAAAGACCAAAAAATATATATATATATGATTGATTACAGAATTTCCTGACATTCTACCGGCAATGTGATGTCCACGAAGTTTGCAAACATATATTCTGGTACATGTGTATAAAAATGTATCAATAATGACACGTTATGTAATTCCATCATAATATGTAGATAACTATACCCCTGGAGTAGCTGGGACTGTATCTATCAATATAGTATTCCCACTCCTCCTCATAATTTATATTCTGAAACATAAGAACATACTAATTGTAAGAATGCAAGTATTGCCACATGTGATGGTGCAGTAATTCCAGCACTTAGACGGCTAAGGTAGGAGGATCGCCATGAGTTTTTTTGTTTGTTTGTTTTGTTTTTGTCTTTTTCGTTTTTTATCGGTACCGGGGATCGAACTCACGATTGCCTGCTTGCAAGGCAGGCACTTATGCTACTGAGCTAAATCCCTAGCACCTCGCCATGAGTTCTGACGCAGCCTGAGCTACATAAGTAAGTTTAAAGCCATCTTTTAATACACGATGAAATCTTGTCTCAAAAACACAAAACAAAATGAAAATGAAAAGATTTATCACATTCTCAGCATTTATCAATACATTAAAACTTTTACTTATTTTTTGTGGTTGAGGGATCAAACCCGGGCTTTGAGTATGCTAAGCACTCACTTATCTCAGAGCGACATCCCAAAGTCTAAAACTTTTAATATTTAAAATTTCATATCAGTTTTGAAAGTGGCATATGCTATATAATCAAGTCACATTCACTACCACTGAAATTAAAAAGTGTAACAGATACAATGATTCAATACTTGATACTAATCTTTTAAGATATCAAGTAATACAATGGCTATGACATAGAAATGGAAAGTGAACATTTTAATGTAATTAAGATAAACACAACCAGGCCTCACTAAAACAGGTGATGAAATTACAAAACACATCTAACTTTTTAGTTTAAGTATTTTCAGGGCATTTATACAATAAAGCTTTTCCACAATTTTAAAATTTCATTTCTTAATATTGGTTTCTAAATATATTTGTTTTTATCACTTTTGGAGATAGACTGTAAGTATCCATATGCCTGCATGGATAGAATTTAGGGAAGATAAAAAGTTGAGAACAGAAATAGTATTTCCTAAGACTTCATGTTCCCTACTTGTAAATGCTGACAGTGAAACACTTGGACACCTAAGTTTGACTTTTAAAAGTCCCAATTTTATTTTACTTTATTTTCAAACAGATCCTCATTATGTGGCCCAGGCTGGTCTTGAACTCTTGGGCTTAATTGATACTGACATAAGCTACCAGAATAGCCAAGACTGTAAGCACACACCACCACACCAGGCCAACACAAGTTTAAATACTATTGTGATCTCATATGTTAAAAATTTTTATAGTATGTCAATATAACTTTAATTTTGACTCCTTAGAAGTTAGAAGAGAAAAACTTAGTAACAAAAGTTGATTTCAAAATTCTAATTAGATTCCTACCTTATAATTTGCTGTATACCAGGTTCAATACAAAATCTTAAAACAAACAGAATGTAGATTACTTCAATGTGTTACAGTTCTTAGGCTTAGAAAAAGGAATTACATATATATATTTATAATTATATATTTTAAGGGCTAGGGATTTAGCTCAGTGGCATGAGTGCCTGCCTGACAAGCACAAGGTTGTGAGTTCAACCCCCAGTACCAAAAAAATATATATATATTTATATATTTAAATAACATGAATTATATACAAATGTAATATGCAATATTATAAATTATACATAAATTTATAAGTAACTTTATACATGATTAATTATATATCTGTTTATAAATATATTTTATATAATATATAAACATATAAATGTGTTAATAATCATACACATAAATACATATACTTTCCCTTCCTGCATCTAGGAGCTGCAACAATATAACATATATACATATATACAGAATAAAGATCAAATTGTTTCATTGAAATTAAATTATATTTCTCTTAATCACAATTTCAAGAGAAGTATTTAAATTTAGCAAAAGTATCTGATTATAGGTCCCAGAAAGGGAACCCACATAAATCTATCAAAACAGAGACATTCAGGTGTTAAACTTTGATATAGTCCTACAAAGAACCCAGGTAGCCTATACATTTGACCACTGACTACACTGTATCCTAGAAGTTTACTATTCCTTCCAAACTTACACATAGTTTTAGAACACACCAGAAAAAAAATGCTATAGGGGCTGGGATTTAGCTCAGTGGTACCTGATTAAAAAAAAAAAAAATGCTATAGAAATTTTTCCAAGGAAAATTAATAGCATCCTTCACAAAATAAAA